ATTATTCAATGAAAAATAATGATCTATTGAATTTCATAAAACTATACTTACTGACAGTTAAATCTTAGATCAGAGGCTTTAGCTCTATTGTGTTTCAAATGAGCCCTTTAGCTAGCTAGCCTGTGCTACAAATTGAAAGTTTTGCCACCCGAACTTCAGAGTGTGGCTTACCCTTGGCTTTGTAATGGGGTTCCTTTCCAAACCAGGTCATCCGCTTTTGAGTGTAATTCTAAGATGACAGTACAACTGTACAATTAAAATACTAATTTGTTTCTCAATTTTTCAGAGATTTGTCCTCTGAGATTCTATTTTTATTTATCATCATGCTATTCTTCTCATCCAATAAACTTAAAATTTTCTTTCGTTCTCTTATCTTAAAACTGTTTATTATCTCCAAGGGAGCCTATTAACAGGCATAAATCTTGATTTTTATTTTTTTATTTTTTTATAAATAAATCTAGTTTTTAAAATTCACGAGTATTACACCATAAAAAAAATTACATATTTGATTATTTATTCACCCAACATTAAGCGGTTGAGATTTAAAATTGTGTCTTATTCTTGATTTTGAGAACAAAGGATGTAAGATTATGTCTCAAACTCCCTGTATATATTCAACAATCACACTCAATCATTATTATTCAGAAATCGTGAGATGCGGTCTGGTGTGATGTAGATTTCAGAAAAACATTTTGTTTATCGTGCCAACGTTTCGGCCTTTATTGAGATCATCTTCAGGGCCTGGGATTTACATTGTTTAAATTTAACAAATACATGTAGGATGTGGAAAAAAGTGAATTTATACAATGCAAAAAAAAAAAATTATATTCAATCAAAATATTTCTACTCACTCAAGTGTTGGTTTTCTGCGTAATTGTGCCATTCTTGCATATTGCTGTTTTGTGCTTATATACGTTGGATTTTGAAGGGGTGGGGAAGGAAGTCGGGAATAGATAGATGTTTTTGTATAAGGGAAAAAACGATAATTAGGGAAAGGAAAACTAAATTGTTGAAAAAGTTAGACTATGTAAAAATGTTTGATGTGTGGAATGTGATGAATGTTTTATGTTATATTATGTTTTGTGCGATGTGAAGATACATATATGTATGTTATCGATATTGAATTTGATTAATGATATTGGCATAGCTGCGACTGAGTTTACATGTGTCTGTTCTGTAATTGATGCTGTGTTTGTCTGTTGATGTAATCAATCTTATTAAATTCTAGTTGTATGGAGGTTGCTTCGCGAACAATTGAGCTTTTCATGAGGAACATCTGTTTAGTTCGACCAGTGAATGAAAATGGTAGGAAGAAGCTAATTGCAGACTTCAAATGTGTAAGTTCTCAAAGGTTAAGACATTAAATATTTATGAACAAAATTGTTCTCTCTTGTTTCTTATTTGTTGTTCATACAATTGGTCTACCAACATTATTACACATAGTGAAGTTCTACATTCTACACATTATACTTTCATTCGGCAAGACATTTTAAGTCCAAATTTGTAAAATAATTTCACATGTTACACAGCTTGAGATGGCGTTATCACCACTTTGCATTCAACTGAGTGAACTTGGTGGTATTTATAGTACCCTTCGATCCCTACGACCCCTAATTACATCAAATCCAGAAGAAGTAGCCAAATGTCCAGTCCTTGGCCAGGTCGTTCCTTACAGCTTGGCAGTCACATTGTTGTTTTCTATGGGTCCACAAGATCTACCTTTACCCCATCAGGTACGCTTAAATATAAAATTTCTTCTTACCACTCCTTTTCCTATTTTGGTTGATTGTCTTTTCTTCAATCTTTCTTCAAGTTGGAAAAATTAAATATTGAATTGTTTCAACCAATTTATTTATTGATGCCAATGCATTTTGGGGGCCAATCTGGCTTCCCTCTTTATGTCTCGTTACAGTTTGGTACTTGATGAGCCCTGAAGAGAGGAGACAGATTGGCCCCAGAATTCATCAGCATCAATAAATAAATTGGTTGAAGCAGTTCACTATTTATTTGCCCATACCTATCATAAAAAAAAAATTACTTTATAATATCTATGTACTATCTATATCTATAATATGTATAGATTATAAATATAAGACTATATTGATCTCTTTACAGCATATACAATTAAACAAAGCTATCAAAAACTTGTGATTATGTAATTTTACAATGTAGGAAGTGGATACCATTATCACAGAAATTTACTATTAGCGGCACATGTTGTTTTATTTATTTGACTTTCTTTAATATATTCTGTTATTTACAGAGTGTCGGTTGGTCTATTAGTAAATTTTCCCAGTGGCTTGATAATCACAACAACGAGAAAGATAGACTGGAATTCTTGAAAGGAGCACTTTGGTCTTATCAAAAAGCGAACAAACAAGCAAAAACAACACAACTGTACCAAATTATTAAAGACCTTATTGATAGAGGGAATGTTTACCTTTTGACTGAACCAAGTGAATTTTAAAAAATATCGTATATTTGCGTGTTAATTATTGAAAAATACTGTTGCCGAGTTTGAAGCAAAATGGCAATAAATCTGTTCTTATTTTCATTTCTAAGGACACAAAGAAATATAATTAACCAAGTAAAGTCTCTGCTGTTGAAGTGCAGCAAAACAGTTACTATAAAACAAGTTTAGGCTAAATAGGTACTAGAAGTTATACATACTGTAAGTAATATTTGTAACATTTTTTTCTCTATTTTTTCCTTCTTTTTTTTTACTCTGCAAATTCTGACTTTTTCTTTTAATTATAAATTCTGCACAGTTTATATCATCTTATTACAAATTTGTTGTAATTTGTAAAATAAAAAATAAAATAATTTACCAATTGTTACACAATTCTTCCATCCTGAATGTAAAGGTGGCCATCCATGATCACTCCAAATGGAACTGCGCCAAGCCGTACAGCTCCATTTGGAGTGCCTGAAATTTGAGGGGGCATTCACGACCGCTCTCCAGCCAGTCGCTCCGAACGTCATCTAGTGAATTACCTTCTCAAAATGGATGATGATCTCTTGTGCTAGTGTTTGTTTATATGTAAAAAGCAAAAAACCAAAGAGGAAATGGTGTAAGAAGTGGCTCCTGAACAGAAGCCATAATAACCACATCAATTTGATGAAAGATTTTTCCCTTGAACCTGCTGATTGGAGGAACTATTTAAGGATGGATGAAAGGTCTTATTTATTCATTATATTTAGTGTTCTATTGACCAAATTACTTCTTTCAATTAATTAATCTTTTTTTGTAAGGTTTTGGTTGAAATGAAAAAGCTAGTGCCTCGAGTGGGATCTGAATCCATGGCCTTCGGATAAATACGCCGCTGCTCTACCACTTGAGCTATCGTGACTTCGATCCTCTCGGACACCAAAAAATGGCAAAAAGAGAGAAAATTCGAAAAGTTGTAGGTTGAGATGGAGAGTTGGTGTTCAAGTGGATCGAACTATCAAAGTCACAATAGCTCAAGTGGTTAGAGCAGTGGTGTATTTAGCCGAATGTCGTTTTGAAAAGGTCGACCAACTGGTTGTGAACCGAATTTCTTTTATTTCTATCGTGGTAATCATTGTCCACCACTTTCCATAAACATGGTAAATTTTCATTCAATTCAATCACCTCAACAATAAAATCTCGATTGGATGTCATTGCCAATAAAGAATAAACGTTTTTGACTTTTTGAGAATGTAGGACGGAGATGTTTGCTCAGTGTCAGAAAGATAGAGACTGCGCCAAAAAAACGCGGGTTTTCCCATTCTTGACCAATCCAGCGCTCCAATATTCCACCGTTCACGCCATGTTTTCCGATTCACGAATGTGCCATGCCGTCATCTCGCTGTAGATGTTTGAAGTGGTGCGATGGAGTTTGGACCGGACGAATATTCGGCACAGCTGGGCACGCCAGTTGTTTTGCTATTGACGCGGTTTTTGGAACGGCACCACTCTGTTTGGACTGCTAGGAGCGATCATGAATGGCCACCTTAATACAAATGTTCATTTAAAAGAACTAGCTGGATATCCTCAAAACCATAGAAATTTGTAAGGAATTATGTCGAGATAAATGAGGATGACGCAGAACACATTTTAGCAGACATCTGAACGCTGGTCTATTTTTACATCTATGCCATGACAAAAATTCTGAATTGAATAGTGATCGTAAAATTGCGACACTTCGAAAAATAGGTGCAATTGTTAAAGAGTGAAAATTTAATGCTTCACGAATAATTTTACAATTTATAGCAAAAAGCAAATGAAAAACAGAAACATCTATTGATGCATTTGAATAATTTAATGTTTGCTATGCAATCAACCAGCCTTCAATACGATGTTGATTAGGATTCCGGTTGTGGTCTTCAAACGTAATATAATACATTGACATACATGATCCCTTGAAGAAGTCAATAAAACTTGTCGAAAGCTTGAGAGTTGATATAACATTTATGTTTGAAGACCACAACCCGAAAACTAATTAACGTCGTAATAATTTAATGTTTGAAGGCCAAAATCCTTTTCAAATATCTTGACTGGTCCGGCTGGTTTTGGCAAAACATTCGTGATGAGGTGTCACTTTAACGGTGTAATATTGTACACAGCTGACTAAGGTGTGAAATTTTTTTTTTAACTCTGTGATAATGAAATATGAAAGTAGAATAATGACATTTTTATTATTATTTAATCAAATATTTGAAATTATGAATGGAAGCTGCTTTCAATTATTTTACATGGTCTCAGGGAAGATTTCATTCTAAAGTACCCTCAAAGTATTTAGTAACCTATATTTAATATTTATTAAAGGGAATAAAGGAATGCTTATTTATAGGTCTTCTTGAAGTTGGGAAAAAATTTCAATTGGAATTCAATCCACTTCAAGAAGGCCTACTAACAAGAAGAATTAAACTATCTACAAAACATTAAAAAAGACATAAAATAAAAAAATGGAATATTTTGATAACAATAGCAATAAATTATAATGTTTATACATTTATTTTATATAAGTACAAATTAGCTCACACTGTAAAAAGTTAATATTTACAAATATATATGAAAATTATTTATGTATAATTAGATTTAGGTTTTTTCAACTGGTGGTGGTTTGTGTGCAAGATATAGGAATGCTATTGATGAAAGAGCACTGACTAAAAATATTACATCAAACCATCTATGGTAAAAGTTAAACTGCAAGTCGCCCAGCACTTGGGTGATGATCATTCGGTATTCTGGAGGCATATTCATTCGCATCAACAGTACGGATGAGACAAAATGCATACCCTAACCAACAAGAAGAATTTTAGAATTATTCTGAAAACGCCTGATTCGAATTAATTTATTACCATAATTTGAGCGAGGATTAAAACGATAATATTGGAAGATTTACTGCTGGATATGGCATAAAAAAACTACAATAAAAATAAAATGTAAATAACATAATTCATCAATTAATCAGAAAACATCACTAAAAAATATTTATTTTGTATTACACAATCCTCATTTTCTGCATATTTTCCTTTTACAATGCCAAAATAATTAGTTAAAAGCTAATATGAATAATTAAATCAGGTCAAATGGAATTGCACTGCACATTAATTGCCAGCCCACCCTGTACACAATGGTGATGGCTTGTAATGGTCGATCATTAGCCATTGGGTAGAGTTTTCTGGTTGTTATGTCCCTCCATAACAAGAATATGTACATAGGAAATTAGTATTTCCTACAAATCATTGTACTTTTTTTTTTTTTTTTTTTTTTGTACTACAATAATAATAATAAATAGGTGGCGTCAGTGGCCGAAATGGTTTAGGCGTTGACACAGCGCTCATCACTGTAAGCTAAAGGTACAGGGTTCGAATCCAGCGGCTCTGCATTCGAATCCGGAATTCTTCCAAACGGGCTTTTTTTCAAAAACACCGGCACCCTGAGGGTTTATATGACCTCTGCTGTTGTGAACCCTCATTAAAAAATAAAAAAAAAATATAAAAAAAAATAAATAAATGCACGTAAACTGATAAAAGGAAAAAATGGTGGGCTATTTCCTAATAACCAAATAATTAGAAAGGAAAATTCTTGAATTTTTTTTTTTATCATAACATTGAGAATTTTCCTTTTGGGGTTATGGTTAAGCAGTATTTTGGTCGTTTCCAACATTTTGGTCTGCCTATCCTCACTTTTTGTTCTGTTGACACATTTTGATTTTTCATAATTTTCAGTAACAGAACCATCACTTTAGATGGTGTGTGGCCTTGACCAAAAAAAAACAGAAAAAAAAACAAGGATAAATGGACCAAAATGACCAAACTATAAATAAAATAAACCCAAAACCAATGATATAACTTTAAGGCTCAGAATGTTAAGATTATAAATAAATCCATATATGTATTTAGTAGTCATAATTGACTGTATTAATTATTTTAATAAATTATACTTTTAATGTAAGGTCTTGGTTGAGATAAAAAAGCAAATGTCACAAATGGGATTCGATTTCGAACCCATGACCTTTGGCTCAATACACTGCTGCTCTAACCTTTTATATTGTTTTTTATTTTATAATGTTATTAAATCTTTACAAATTATTAAGAAGAATATTGGGGAAGTATCCTGGTACAAATTAATAAATCAAGATAGCTCAAGTAGTTAGGGCAGCGGCGTATCGAGCCGAAGGCCATGGGTTCAAATCCTGTTTGTGACACTTGCTTTTTCATCTCACCCAAGATCTTAGATTAAAAGTGTAATTAATTATTATAAATAAATATCAATAAGTAAATAAAAACAAATTAAACAATTTTAAGCTTGTAAATACTTTTTTTTAGAAAGATGTGCAGTTGTAAACTTAAAAATTTACGAACAATTAATTTTCAATTAATATCAGTTTATATAATCTTTAAACTTACTTTAGTCAATGTGAGTAAAAGGCCTCTTATAGATGTTATGACGATACATCCAACAAGAAAAAAAGAAATATGCTGCGACCAAAATGCAACATCTATGTTCATTCCTAGCCAATGGACTACTATCTCCATACCCTTGGTAACAGGATCCTTCTTGCCAACTCGATCAAAAATAATATTCACTGTGGACTAACTTAAAAATAAGCATCAAGTAATGAATTTAGTTGCATTATATCTTACAATAATTATTTTCCAGACACAATATAATGAAAAGAAATAGCCAAGACAGTTAAAATATTTTCCCTGCCATGTTTTGGCCCATTCCATTCTGGTTAGCATATCCTTCAAATCATGAGCTTCAAGAAAAAGCTGTCTGCTAAGCTCTTCCAACCCAGCTGTTTCTTGTTTCAATTGCCAAATATCTTTTATAAAATAGGAAAAACGTTTGTACTTATGTTACCACTCTTTCTAATAAAACTTGGAAAAGCAACAACGATTTCATAAAAGAAAATGAAAATAACGTGTTAATGGCTGATGAATTGTAGAAAAATCTCTAGGGTAAAAGCTAAGGGAAAAGACCTAGATAGGGAAACTATCTTTACCACCCAAGAAAGAAAACAACTACACTATCTTTCCAAAATAGTTGGCTCATAATTTCTGACTTAAGAGACAGTAGGTGCATAACATAACAATAAGAAGAGCGCACTCAATATTATTACACTGAATTGGAAAACTATAAACGTAAGACTGCCTGACACAGAAATTGCACTGAGAGGCAAAAAAATTGGCCACCCTCAATGGCAAAATACTTGCAATTGTTATAATTTTTATTTTTTTGCTATTTACTGTATATTTTTAAATAAAAATAGAAGACAAATAAACTAACGAATAAAACTCTAGGAAATAAAAAAATTAAACTGAGTAAAATTTTTTACCAAAAATGTTACTATATTACCAAAGGAGAAAATACTTTACAATTAATTAAGGTTTTTAATTGAGATGAAAAAAGTAAATGGCACGAGATGGGGAGTTGATGTCCGAGTGGATCGACGTCACGATAGCTCAGGTGGTAGAGCAGCGGCGTATCTAGCTGAAGGTCGTGGGTTCGAATCCCTCTCGTGCCATTAACTTTTTTTCATCTCAACTAAAAACCTTAATTAATTGTAAAGAATTAATTGGTCAAGCGGACCACGAAATTAGTGAATTTAAAGGAGAAAATATTCAATTCAGTAAGGAGTCTTTCCTTCTCTCGGGTTGATCAGTGCTTGCATTCGACGTGGCATCAATTTTATAAGGTTTTGAATGTAGAGTTCTGGAAAATTTTTGTTCGAAAATTCCTCCAACAACACCATTTTTACTTCCTGCAAATTTTCTCTCATCTTTGAGCAACTTTCTATCCTCTTTAACAACTCCCGAAGGCGTTCGATATACCACTCTAAACATTGAATTGAAGCCTGCTCCAAATAGTGGCCAATGATCCTAGCTGTGTGGGGTTTGCATTGTTATGCGTAAAAATAAAACCGGCGCCAATTAGTGGCATTTAAAGAACAAAGTGAAAATGTTCCGGGGATATATCGCTCACCTGTTCTTCCCCCAAACTCTCTCTTGGCCATCAGAAGACCTCAAACAAAACCTTGACTCATCTGAAATCAGACCACTTGACATGATTTCTTGCAAAACTTAACTGAGCTGTTCTGTGTTCAGCTCCTAAAAGTCTTCACCTTACAGTGCTCAAACTGACATTAAAATTTCTAACTAGCTGAAGTCATTTCTTGATATCAACAGTGGTAGAATGTCGATTATGGAGTAGATTTGAAACAATAAAACGATCATCTTTCTAAGATGTGACACGATGGAAAACCCTTCAAACAGTTCTGAGAATGTTAAGCACCCTAGCCACATATGCTTGACTTCTTCCATCTTCCAACAATGAGGAGATTCTAGCTGAATCTATATCACTTAAAATCATCACTCAAACAAATCTGAATCTTAAAAATGGTACAAATTAAAAAAATCAAACCACCGGAACATTAGAAAGAAGCTTTACAGAAAAACCAACAAAGATGAGATTGACTTTTCAAAGATTTGTTTATAAACTCCAATTGTAGAAAAATGTGGGAGATTTTATCTTATGTTTTATTTACCTCTAATCCTTTAAAATGGACCAAATATTGTTGTAAGATAATAATGAAGGATTGTCTAAGAGATAATTGAAAATACTAAGTGGCACTTTTTTTTTGCCTCACTGTATATTCGTCGGACAAGGATAATAATAATAATATCCTTTCAACAAAATTTAATTTCTTGGCAAGAATTTTTTTTTTCATTAAGTATTGTAAAATAAAAGGATACTTTCTGAGTCTGTAATTTTCCCAGTTCTAAGCATACCCCATAGACCTTGGGGCGACCCAATAGAAAAGCCAGCCTTACTTCCTCTTTTAGATAAAGCGATCCTCTTCTTCTTTGCCAGAATCATGTCCATTGTGAACATTAACTTTTTCTCCACGACGACCACATCGGCAGTTGATACCTCTCTGAAATTACATAACACTCCTAAATTTATTATGAATCATAATAGCTTCTATGACTATCAAATTACCTGATGAAGTAAGCCATGGAAGAATAAGGATAATTAACAGCACCAAAACCTGAGAGCAAGGCCATCACTGTTACTCCGATAACACCGACCCTGCTTATCGCTTGCTCTATCGACAAGATGCCCTGCTTGGGGCTCAGAAGAGGGAAAGGGTCTCCGATCTTCCAGAAGAGGTAAATAAATATACACCATATTGCAGCGGTTAGAGGTTTTATCATTTGTTTTGTTACTATTTGAAAATCGACACATAATTAACAGGTTACAAAATAAAAAAACAAAAACAAAAAACATACCATATCTTATGTTTATAACAATATAGTATCCTATGTAATAAGGAATTGCCACAATTAACATGAAAAAAATTAAATAAAGGCCAACAATCCAGTGCAGGTAACGTGACCTGGAAGAATTATAGATATTGTATAACTTGTTATTGAAATCCACTCCATCATAACCATTTTTATCATCCCACACCAGTGATGGCAGCCTGTGGCTAGCCATTCTTATTCGTCCTCTCACCCAAGTATCTTTTAACCGCCAAACTTAAAGCTTGCTGTTTTTAATCAAACCACATGAGTCACTCATCTTGTATATATACATTTGCATTTCATATTTCTTCAATATATTCATAACAATAATTATCATAAAAGCGTTTTTAGGAACATGGAAATTTTTAAGACTACTAAGTTGCCATAACTCAATAAGGCTGACTTTCCATTGTCCACACTGTTATTCCACTTGTCCATAGTTTTTGTGTATAACTTTGACATGAACTGTATTGATTGCTAGTTGTGATATCTTGAAATTCTATGCTTGGCATGCTGAAGATAGCTATAGCCCGAAACGTCAATCTCTAAATAAATTAAACTACCATGGAATACCTTGGTTTTTAAACTTTAATATTCTATCTCCCATAGGCTCTATATGTACTGTGATGGCAAAAGCCCCATCGGCCCTCTCATTTACACGAACACACAACTATTTTTCAAACAAGCACTCCTGTTTCCCTTAAAAATCAGAACAACAGTTATTCAGATATCGATTAACGGTCACTAATCTCTACACAAATCAGAACAGCCTACTTTCATTGCCCAAGGACTGTCTTTACGTGTCGTGCCTACTCATACCCTGTAAGGGGCCTCGCATTCCTCAAACAAGCGTGATACACCAAGCAACCTTTTTTTTCGGGTACGGCCTATCCTCAAACAGGTGAACATGATTCCTTCTTTGCATTTAAGGCCACTGGAGGCAATTGCTCAGTCATGCATTGACATGCAAGAACTTCTTGGATGATCTTCCACAGTTGTGCTACCAATGTTCTTTTATTGCTACAGTATCACCAGGACTCAACATGGTTAAGTTTAGAGGGTGAGACATCTAAGCTTTCATTGCCTCATCTGTGTTCGTCTACCACTATTTCTCTGAGGCGCTCCAACTCTCTATAGTATATCTCTAACAAGAGCAATGAGAGGAACCACCAAGTCTGATAGCTGAAAGGGAATCGGTATAGGCTAGATAGGCAGAGCCTCTTTCATGTCGAATTCCCCCAAGCATGTTTGTCAGATCACATACAGCTCCACCATATACATGCTGCAATGCCACAGAAGTAGAGGACAAGCCCGCTATACATTGAGCAGTACACATTCTTGCTGGTTCTAGACCCATATATAAAGATGCCATCCTGGATGTGTATGGCCAAGAGGCCCCAGGACTGTCCCCAGTATCCAACTGCCCTCCCTAAGCTTTTTCTGAAGCAACTACAGTCAACTCTTGTTAATTTGAAAATTATAATTCGAATTTCTTGATATGAACTTTTCAGCAGGTCACTTTGCTAAATCGAAAAAATTCTGGGTATTTTGATACAATCGTAATACGAAACATTTTGCCACTTTGTAACTTGAACTTTTTTTTTTTAATTTTCCTTAAAATGCTATTTACTTCCTTACAGCATAAAGTTTGTTCAAATTTTCTCTAGTTTGTCGGTCAGTGTTTCGTAATGTCAATGTATGTCATGTCTCAGCACTAGTTACTTTGGAAAATCATTTAGACAAAGAACATCAGGTCACATTGAAACAAAACTCCCTTCTTCAATTTTTTAAATAATGCACAAACACTATTTAATTCGTCAGTTGATATATTTAGACTTTTTCATTATTTTTACCATGTTTTATGTACGTACAGTTTAAAACAACATCAATTCTTAATCATTTGTTTTCTTCTTTCCTCTTAATAATTTGAACATCTCGATAATCCAAATTATTTTGTGTCCCCTTGGTTTCAAATTATCAAGAGTTGATTATACGAATGGTTGCAACTGAGTTCAAAGTCTACACCTGATTAAGCTTGTTTTTCAGGATCATGCCTATTAAGGGTGGCCCGGCATGGCCAAGAAACCTGCTGCATAGTTGAGAGTAAGTCACTTCCCCTGGGATTTGGGCGGTAGCAGTTCCTGCCTGGTACAGCTCAAAGCCCCTAGTAATAAGAGCTTCCTGAACCTCAAAAATGTGTTTTCTGAAACGTTGAATAGGTGTTCCTGAACGTTCAACTGTAGAACAGTCTTGAGCAGATCAACGCTTCGAAACCTTTCAGTAGGGTCTCCCTGTCCACCCCATACCTGAAGTGATGAATACACTTTACCAGTCAAGTTTTTTTTCCCTATAATGAACCTCGACAGCTTTGACTGTGCAACTGCCACTTTAACTTTTCATCGGACGTAAGACCAAGGAACCGCACCCACTCCACGTACTGCACTTGGTAGAGTTGAGGTGGGTTATGAGCTCTCCCCATCTGCAAAAGTGGACGCACGCAGGGATTGACAAGGAGAAGGTAAAACATCCCTCAGCACTTGCAATCAAAACTTTTATTGCAAACCTCTGCCAAATCCTTACCAGTAAGGTAACAATAGAAGTTGTCAATATAAAACAATTTCAGTCAGCAATCTTGTTCACCACCACCAGAAACAGTATGGCACTCATCACTGATTCCTGGAGGTGTTATACTATTATATATATTACAACGATTGACATAATTTAATCATAGTAACTTTGTTGACTTTTCTACATTATAATCACAGAACTAAAGTAGAAATAATGTTTTTTTTATGCAAAACCTCTTAATGTCATCTTGTCAAATATTAGGTAAGTTACCAGTATAAATAAAATTTCATTTGAAAAATTGGATTATCATTCATGACGGGAACTTAATAAAACCGTATTAATTAGTTAGATAAGTTAGTTAGGTACATACATGAAATTTTTGGTAAGAAAATGTTACAATTAATATGGTTCCATTTTGATTACGTTCTAAGGTAATCATGATAAGATAGAAATGATAATTATTAATTTTTTTCAATTATTCTTACTTATTTTGATTTTAATTGATTTTAAAATCTAAAATTTAAAAAAGTCAATAACAACTACAGTACCAAAGCAAATCATAATTTACCTAGGGTCTAAAATGCCTACTATCTCGAAGATAATGAGTTCAAACATAGTGCAAGAAAGAGAGAAAGTGATAGCGAAAATGAGCTGGACTGTTCTATGATGAATCTCGTAATCCTTAAAGAGCATCTTGACAAAGAAAACCCAACCTCCAGAAAAGAAGAAGATCTGCAGCAAGGGGAAAAAACAATGAATTTGTTAAGATAAACTGACATTAAATACTAACCTGTGACACGAGAATGATTAATGAATCTTCGATATAACCCATATTAAATTATTAGGAATAATTTGGAAGAAAAAAAACCAACACAAGACATGCATTTAAGTATAATCGACCGACACTACATTTTGACATATGTGCATGCATGCACATCGGGCTTACGAGACTATTAACCTTTACACGATTGAAGCCTCCCGTCCTAATTCATGTATTCAAATAAATGACCTATTTTTGTTTATGTGGTTGAATCGTTGTAATGATGAATGTGCAGTCTTTTTTTGCTCATATTTATCATTTAATTTAAAAACGGTTGTTGAACGTTTTTTCATTTGTGAAAAATTGGTTAGCCATTGACTGACTATTAATTCTTGAAATGACATTTACTAAAATAGTAAAATTTCTTAGAGACTGGCACTCAACGCGACACACAAAATGACACATCTACACAGAAAACAAATACTTTGAGCCTTGAAGATTTTTTTTTTGTGTTTCCACATTAGCCATTTTTTATCTCAACTAAAAACCTTAATTAATTGAAAATATTAATTGGTCAAGCGGACCACGAAAACTAGTGAATTTAATAAGTTAAAATGAAGTACACTTCACTAAAGCTCTCCATGGCCATTTCATTTGTCGCCGAGAATTAAATTACACGAAATTTGAAAAATTGCAAAAAGGAGGGAAAACTAAAAAAAAAGGTGGGGTTGAGATAGGAAGTTGGTGTCCGAGTGGATCGAACTTCGAAGTCACGATAGCTCAAGCCTCAAGTGGTTGAATAGTGGCGTATCTAGCCGAAGATCGTGGGTTCGAATCCCGCTCGTGCCATTGACTTTTTTATCTCAACTAAAAACCTTAATTAATTGAAAGATATCAATTGGTCAAGCGGACCACGAAAACTAGCGAAGTTAATTAGCCATAGGATTACATTCAGTACGTTCCCTCATTAGTATTGAGAGTAAGCAGTAGTCATATAGCATTTTTCAGTAAAATGAAACTTTTTTTCAATCAAATGGAACCTTATTCCAAGCAAATGAAACCTTTTTTCAAGCAAATGAAACCTAAAATCTAACGATAATAATTATGTAAAGGAATAAATAAATGACATTATAGTACTAACAATAATTTTTAAGATGATGGAGTGGGGTGGAGTTCAATCCTTTTTAAAAAGATGGTTCCTACTCACAGTAAGTTGTTTCACTACAATCCGGATTTCGTGCCCTTTAGCTCATCATCAGGTTGAAGGGTTTCTACAAACACGTCTCTCGACATGAATTGCAAAAGTGAACCCGCTGATACCCCCGCCAACGCGAAAATGCCCTTCAAACTGATGATGAGCTAAAGGGCTCGAAATCCGGATCGTTGCGAAACAACTTACTGTGAGTAGGAACCATCTTATTAAAAAGGATTGAACTCCACACCCACTCCATCATTCATAATTTCTATTACAGAAAGTTGTTGCTCGCTCAAAAACACTTTTCTATCCTACTTAATTAAACTTCGACGGGGTGGATGTAGAAAAGTTTGATGAATACGGATCTTCATAAGAAAGGTTCTTGTACCTAAGCCTTACGATTCAATTATTGTAATATTAATATTCAATCATCATAAAAATTATTGTTAGTACTATAATGTCATTTATTTATTCCTCTACATAATTATTATCATTAGGTTTTAGGTTTCATTTGCTTGAAAAATGGTTTCATTTGATTGAAAAAAGGTTTCTTTTGATTGAAAAAAGGTTTCATTTGATTGAAAAAAAAGTTTCATTTGGTTGAAAAAAGGTTTCATTTGATTGAAAAAAAGTTTCATTTGACTGAAAAAAGGTTTCATTTGATTGAAAAAAGTTTCATTTGGTTGAAAAAAGGTTTCATTTGATTGAAAAAAGGTTTCATTTGATTGAAAAAAAGTTTCTTTTGATTGAAAAAAGGTTTCATTTGGTTGAAAAAGTTTCATTTGGTTGAAAAAAAGTTTCATTTGACTGAAAAATGCTATAAATATATTAATGAATACATTTAAACAGATCAAAATTTTCTTTTTTGTAAAAGTGGCATAAAATAAGCTCTAGAATCGAATTGTACAATAAAAATATGGGATTCACGTTTAAAATAACAAAGTTCGTGTTATTACCCAGCTAGATTAGGTTATGTTAAATCTCCAATTCACGCGAAAATTAAAAATTAAATCCAAGCCAAAATTAAATTGGGATTTGTATAAGACTATTTTTTGCTAAAGTTATTCATTTCCGCATTAAATAGGTGGACCATAGAACACCCTGTATATATTTAAATCAATCATCAAGTATTACATATTAATTAAAAAATTTACATAGGTGTATAGGTTAAAAGTTTACATAGGTTTACTGTACACATCTACACAGAAAACACAGCCTTTGAGCGCCGAAGATGATCTCGATAAAGATATAAACGTTGGCGTGATAAAGAAAATATTTTCCAAACCTACATCATCGCACAAAGCCAAATTTCAATAAAAAACAAAAATCCTTATTACTAATATAAAAATTAATAAAATAAAAGCCTTTGAGGTCGAATTATTAACAAATAATAGATCAAATAAATAAACTAATGAGTAGTACTATCTTTTATTTAAACTACTAATTGTTAATCAAGAAGGTTTCGTTAAAACAGGTTGTATTAGTTACTAGACTCGAGTTGGACTGACGGACCACGTGTTTATGTTTGATTAAATCTGGTCGACACTGTCATTTATTAATTAAATTCATTATTAATATTAATTGATATTCAGGGGGAATATTAAGAAGAAAAACAACTGACCGCTTTATGTTCGTTTGATTTAACGATTTTTACGATGGATGACATTTACAACGAAGCGAATGTATCCAAGTGGTACGAAGAGGTGAGTTAATTTTTATTTGACATTATCCCCAAACTGGTACACGTATTCTATAATACATCAATTTACTGAATATTTATGTGTTTGTTATTTTTGTTATATGTTTGTCTATCACTAAGTGTAGTGGATTAGGCGGTGGCCGCGTAATGAAAGTCGTGTTGTGACAAGCGCACATAGGTGAATTTAAAAATACTGAAAAACCGAAAATAATCGTACCATAGTATAATTTATGTAGTATCATAAAAATGATTATTTTTAATCGCTTGATATTCTTCGTCGTTTTCATTCAATAACTGTCTTTTGACTAGTGCACTCTGGAAACTGATCATTTCCGCTCCAAATTGTGAATAATGAAACGGACTTTGTATATCACTAAATGCAAATAGTGTCCAAGGGATGTGCTTTTTTTTCTTGCTTTGTTTTGGAACATTCAGCAAGAGTACCTATGAAATATCAAATTCCATTTTTTAACATGACTAGAAATTCAGAACCATAAAGCAATGAATAAATAACAAGTAACGAGAGAATAAATATTGATCAACCACAATAAGTACTAAAGATCAAAAATTCGATACAAAAACAACCACAACAATAAAGGATAAATAAAGACGAACAACAATGAACAAATAAAAGTGCAGACCTACCAAATAACAAATTACATTTTGACACACAAACTAATAAATAAATAGCAAGTAACAGATGCAATATTTAACTATCAACTAACTACAATAAATACTACAGAATAAATAAAGATCAAACACTCGGGAAGCCAGTAGCCGTCCTACGAGGAGGGGATCCCCACCGGCCGCAGAACGCCAGCCCCGAGGAGGCTCTTGTCCACACTTTATGCTATTTAAAAGGCTACTGCTCTTCATAAAATAGGTGTTTCAGGAAGATATGGATAAAAACCATTTACAAAATATAACGCATGGAATAGTCCACATCCCCCCACATCACACTAAATGCCCAGTGCGTTTAGAGAGCTTGACCCGAAGACAGCTCCGCATCTGGGCTGAACCCCAATGGGATTGAACTGACCTCTACCTTAATGATTTCACATTTACACGTTGATGCCACTATTTTGTAAGAAAGAATATATGACCTGGTATACATCCACTCTGTTAAGAGCAAGTAGGCTCTCCCAGCTGACGGGTTTGTTGATTTCTTTTATGCTGTACAGATTTTCAAGGAAGTCTATTGTGGTAGACTTGTATTCTGGACACTCTAAAAGCAAATGTTTGGTAGTTTCTGGTTGATCACAGGTGGCACAGTTTGGGGACGCTCTACAATTTATTTTGTGCAGATAAGCCCCGCAAATGCAGTGGATGTGCTGTTCTAAATTCATTATCTCAGTTCAAGTGTGGCCATAGTACTGGCATCTTTTCCATTGAGCTGTTTCTGTAGTTTTGTTCTTCTACCCTATCTACTGTTGTGTTGTTATTTGGTTACAAGTCAGATATATATATACATTCGAGGAAGCGTACACAGAATCTAATTTAATTACCCTCGGTCCATAATTAAGTACCTCGGGTTAAGAGGGAGAAAAATGCAATTGTGCTTAATCGACATCTGATAAGCCAAGTGCATTTTCCTGTACAAGTAACACTATAACTAATATTGTTTATAATATATATAACTCCTCCATCCTTAGAATAATGCTTCCCCTGGGGGGGGGTCGTTTTTTACTACCTTTATTGTTTGTTTATTTTTATTTACGATTTTAGTTTTTATGCTTCTAATTATAAATATTATTGTTATAATAATGATTAAAATATAAAGGAATAATGTCCATAGGCTTAGATTAACATGTACATATGGTATAATATTATTTTTTGTTCACTAATTTCGTGGTCCGCTTGACCAATCCTTTTTGCCATTTTTCATGTCACGATAGCTCAAGTGGTAGAGCAGCGGCGTATCAAGCCGAAGATCGTGGGTTTGAATCCCGCTCGTGCCATTGACTTTTTTATCTCAACTAAAAACCTTAATTAATTGTAATATATTAATTGGTCAAGCGGACCACGAAATTAGTGAATTTAATGATTAAAAATGAAATATACTTCACTAATGCTCTCCGTGGCCATTTCATTTGTCGTCGAGAATCCAACCCGATTACACGACATTTGAAAAATGGCAAAAAGGAGGGAAAATTCAAAAGGTGCGGTTGAGATAGGGTTGGTGTCCTAGTGGATCGAGGTCACGATAGCTCAAGTGGTAGAGCAGCAGCGTATCAAGCCGAAGATCGTGGGTTCGAATCCCGCTCGTGCCATTGACTTTTTTATCGCAACTAAAAACCTTAATTAATTGTAATTATTTTTTGTCTCAAAGTTTGGAGAAATATCATTAAGCGTAAAATGACGAAGTTTGATGCTGAAGTTGGAGTTCGCAATTGATGATTGGTATTCCATGGCTCGTGGTCCGATAGACGAGTGGGTGTCCTTTGTATATTATTTTGCTGTTGCCTGGTTTTAGCAGAAATATACCTTCCAGGATTTTTGTTTTTATCGTATTGTCTTGCGTGATCTTGATTTTCTCTGGTGTGATGACGGCGCATAAAAATTGGTTGATTTCCGGAACGAATACCATGTGGTTGTTGCTTATCTGAAGCTCCATGTAGACGCACTGTGTATTGTTTCCCGAGGTGAACTCATGTTGAACCAGCACAGAGTTACTTATTGGGTCTGTCTCCACTCACGTTTTTTTTTTCTTCTTTTAAATTAGTTACTCACTGAAGATGTCGCAGTGCCAAAATGTGTTTGAATAACTGAAAAAAATAACTGAGAAAAAAAACCCCCCATTCAAATGCTGTAATGTACTTTTGGCTTGTCATAACTTTGTAAATTTATTCATGTAAATTAAAGTATTTTGTAAGTTTTTGCTTATTGACGCTATTTTATAATTATTTTAATATATACAGAAGCCTAGATCCAACCAGGTGAGTGATTTGAGTGACAAAGTGTCGTAACTAGATCTGTAACGCATTTGGAATAAGGATGTGCATTTTACTCTGTTTTATTGTAAGATTGTTTATGTAGAACACATTATTTTTTAATGTAGAAGCAATAATGATTGCCTTTCTTCTAGCCAAATCTCTAAATGTGTCAATTGTGTTACTGAGGCAATTTTTATTTTTTTCAATATTTTTGTTAGGCTGTTTTATGATTGTTAAATTCTATGCTTATTCAGTTTAAATTTATTTATGTTTATACATTTTCAGTTTAGAAATGAAGAATTTGATGATCTTAAACTGATTGTTGAAAATGATGAACTAATTTCCTTGAGGATTGAGGCTCAGAACGTTTTAGAAAATGAGAGTAAAATTTATCATTCCAGTATGTTTCATTATAACTGTGTACTGTGGGTGCAATAATTAATATTTAATATTAATTATTTTATTTTGATAGGGCAGGGAAAAGGTGGAAACAACCGGAATGTGTCTTGGGTAAAAAAAATAATGTCAAAAGGTACGGCAAAGGATAAAGTTGCAGCTTACGTACTGACTATTCAAAATTCACCGATTCATAATATTAATCATATATCGTCATTGATAAATATGGTAAAAGTTTCAAAGAAAAAAGAATGTATTTTAATAATGGGTATGTACATGTTTATTTATTTTATCAAAGAACATTTATTTAATTGTAATAAAATATTAACGAGTTATTATTTGTTTAGAAACACTTGCGGATCTTTTCTTAGAAGACTTGCTCATACCGAACAAAAAATTAAAAAGTTTTGATAAGCAACCTCTATCAAAACTAAATGAGCTAACATCAGGTTGTGCCCAGGCTAGAAAAAAGAGGTTATTGGCATGGATCTTTGAGGAAAAGCTGAAAGAGCTCTTTGACCAATTTGTCTGCGCTATAGATACAATTGCAAAAGACACTATTGAAGCCAACAGGATTAAAGCAGTGTCAATATTATTTAAACTGCTTTCCTGCCACCCAGAAAAAGAACAAATCTTACTTCAAAATCTAATTAACAAGTTAGGCGACCCAAGTCAGAAAGTTGTTGCCAAAGTAATATACTGTCTAACAATGTTACTTAGAGTTCACCCAAACATGAAGCAAGTTGTGTTAAATGAAGTGGAAAAACTTTTATTCAGGTAAATGTTCAAACTGGCTTGGCATTTAAAATTTTTATTCAAACTTCTACTCTTCTATTTGGCCCTCATTTATTATTTTCATACTGTACATATGAGGCATTGCGGATACGAAGGGCGAACTCGACATCAGGTTAATTTTTTTTTTTTGGTCACCTCCGAATCTAGCCGCTTCAGAGAATGTACAGTTATAGCTTTCATGTTGAGTTCGCCCTTCGTATCCGTATGAAGAGAATGATACGATGCTAGTTGGATTGTAGTTGGAAACTGCCATAGGCGGGCGGATACTAAGGGCGAACTCAACATCGCTCCTTGCCCTTCTCTTCGTGCTCCGCTGTATGATGCAATCCTTCGTTTAGTTTGCATAAAACGCTTGTCTCGTGCAGTGTTTATTTTGTTGTTACTGTTATTGTGATCTTATTGTGTGCAGTAATGGATGTTAACAATAATAGTGCGTTTACTGGATACTCCAGAAAACGAGTGAAAAAGGAGAATACATGGAAGACTGTTGTGGCAAAAACGAAAAGGAACTCTGGCGAAGAATACGTATCGAGACACACGAATGCAGTGGTTCCAGCTCGTCAAATCGGTGAGCCGTGTAGTTGCCAATGTTTTTTAAAGGTAGGCCAAGATAATGTTCTTCAGATTTTTCGTGCTTTTTGGGACCTGGGTAGTTATGACCTACAAAATTCCTACTTATCAAAGTTTGTGGTAAACAGTGATGTTAAAAGAAGGTCTAAAGTAAAGGGAAGGCCGAGTCGTACTTTATGGTGTCTTGAATACACTGTAGCAATAAACAATGAGAAATACAGTGTATGCCGTAAAGCATTTTACAGTATGCACGGTATATCTGAAAAACGTGTGCGCATTGCTATTAATAAAACTACATCAACTGGAACTGTTATTTCTGATCAAAGGGGGAAAAAGACATCTGGTCATAAAGTGCCAGAGGTAAAAAAGAATAAAGTGAAAGAACACATAATGTCATTGCCAACCGTTTCAAGTCATTATAGCCGCGCAAAAAGCCCACACCATAAGTATCTTCCAGTTGGATTAAACATTTGATCGCTGTTTTCAATGTACTTGGAGTGGCTGCATGAAAACTATCCAGGAACTGAACCTGTCACCATGCATTATTATCGAGACATTTTTAATTCTGAATTTAACATCGGATTTGAACCTCCTGGTAGTGACACTTGTAACTTCTGTGATAAAATTGATATTTCTTTAACTAATCTTTAAAAAAATAAGAACTGTGCCTCTGCTGATGAAACAATAAAAAAACTGGAAGAAGAGAAATCGTTGCATCTCGTGAAAGCCAAAGCTCCTCAACACCTCCTAAAAACATTTAAAAATGATACGAATGAAGAGACTCTCGCTATCGCATTTGACTTACAGCAAGCCCTCCCCACCCCTTAATTGACTAGTGGAATTCAGTTTTGTAAATGGAAACTCTGGACCTACAACTTTTGCATCCATAACATTAAAACGGGGGCCTCAAAAATGTATTTGTGGGACGAAACGACAGTAAGACGTGGATCATGTGAAATAGCAAGTTGTGTTGTTCACTACGTGTCAAACCTCGATCATGGTATTAAAAATGTTATAATGTTTAGCGATAACTGCTTCGGGTAAAATAAAAATTTGAATTTAGTGTTGGCCAACTTGTTTTTAATCCATCAGAATAAATTTGATGAAATCAAACATTTTCATGACGCCTGGTCATTCCTATCTTCCTTGTGACCGTGACTTTGAGCACATAGAAAAAGAGGTTCGACATGCCAACGTATACTCCAAAAACCATTATGAATACTTCATTATGAAATGCCGTAGAAAAAAACCATTTACGGTAGTACAAGTTATGCAAAATTTTGTCTTGAACTACGCTATTTTTCAACATATATACAACAAAAACCCAGCTCCAAGTAGCCAAATTCAAGGACGGTGCCGTTTTCGAGTTCACCAAAGAATTCAAACAGGGGTTCTGCATCCACAAAACCTATAATTTCGGTGTCAAATCTGCAGTTAAACTCCAGAAAGGAAAAGTTAACACTTACGATCCAACCAAGTTCAATCTGGTGAATAGTACGCCAACGCAGCTTTATGATTCTCCTTTGCCTGTGCCTCCTGCTAAACTTAATGACATCAGAGATCTCCTGCCATACGTTCCGCTACCGTGGTCAACATACTTTAATAATATTATTGAAAATAATCAATCTTCCATGCCCATGCTCAACGAGGAAATGGAAGATGACCAACCCGATTATGAGGATTAAAAAATTAGAAATTACAATTCGTTTTCTAAGTCATTTTAATATTATTTTATGTACGTACGTTTTCAGAATACATACTTTATAAATAAAATGTGTGTTTTTTGATTAATTGAAGTTCAACCAAATTCTTGACCAATCTCTAGATGGGGTAACCATTAATAAACAAAAAATTAGGCATCCTTCAACGAAAACAGGTTTAATCTTTTTTGTTGAGTTCGCCCTTCGCATGTCAACGGAAAAATTATTTTCAAATGCGTTTTTCTCAACACCTCCTTTTGTTGAGTTCGTCCTTCGTATCCGCAACGCCTCATATACACTAAATGTGTATTAAACATCCCATAACTTAATATAATTTTGCTTCATTGAGGATTCATATATACATACATGTATAGTTGAAAGATTATAATTTTGTTTAAGATTCTTTATTTACACGAAAGCATAATTTATTGTATTTTCTTTTTAAAAGTTAGTTAATTTCAAAATTATTATTAAAATTCAAGTCAGTTCTCTTTATTTCACATTTTTCCCTTATGTTACACATTTTTTGTTAATTATTTAAGCATTTAATTTCCAAGATTTATTTTTATTTTAATTAATTAATTTATTTTTATATTTTAATTACAATAATCCTACGACTTAAACACTCTTGTTAAATATTTAAAATTTGTTTCAGGCCAAATGTAAATTTTAGGACACAATATTATTGCATATGTTTCCTTTCTCAGTTTATTTTCAATGATAATGATGCTAACATTGCTAGAAATGTAATAAACATTTATTTTTCTTTTTTCAAGGCTTCAATAAAGAAGGTATTTGTTGTTTTGGTGAATTATAACTTAATATAAATTTATAGGGTATGTAATTTTATTAGGGTGAAGTTGATTCTCGGTTGATGGGTGCACTTCTCATGGGTGTGAAAAGGGCTTATCCTTTTGCAGATATAAAAGATGGGAGTATGTCACAACATATAGATACATTGTACAAACTTGTACATTTGACAACGTTTAACATTTCGGTTCATGCTCTTTGCCTACTTCAGCAGATTTCTGATTCAAACAATGATAGGTATGTTAACATACAATTTTCCGTGAATAAATAATGCTTTATATTTGGTGGTTAGGTTTTATGGAGCCCTGTATAGAAAAATACTCGACCCAAAACTCAGTGCCTCGTGCCATCATGCAGTATTCATCAATCTTCTCTATAAAGCATTAAGTGTCGATCAAAATACCAGCCGCATTATAGCTTTTATTAAAAGACTTTTCCAGGTAAATTGTTTTAAGATTCTAGTGTATATAGAAATTTTTAGTTTCATATATTTTCCAGATATGTTTTTATGTACCTGTACCACTTACTTGTGGCATATTATACTTGATATCTCAGCTAATGTCGGCAGGAGGAAAAGAATTGTACGCTTCAGTTTTACAACAAAAAGATGACTGTTTGGATAACTTCAGTAGTGATGAAGAGGAGAAATATATTGATATTGAGGTAATAAAATGTATGTAATTAAAAAATATGTTGTGTGCGTGGGTTTGTGCGTGCGTGCGTGCGTGCGTGCGTGCGTGTGTGTGTGTGTGTGTGTGTGTGTGTGTGTGTGTGTGTGTGTGTGTGAGAGAGTGTGTGTGAGAGTGAGAGAGTTGTGAGAGAGGAGAGAAATAATTATCCCAATGAAACAAATTCCTTGTAGGTACAATATAAATTAAAACTACTCTTGGATTAAAACAGTAAATTAAATATTGAATTCTCCAACCACAAATTGTCGGTATCTCCAGGCTGCTCTGCAAAAGTCTGGCAGTTTTTTCATTTGTTCCAGTCAGCACAGCAGCAACCTGATCACCCGATCGCCTCTTCAGCTGCCAATCGTGTTTTCCCCAGTGCTACCTTTCTAAATTCATTAACACTTTTTCAGCACGGAGTCGCGTCTCAGCCGTTTTTGACCTATGCCCGACCGTTATTATTCCCTCTTTTGACCCTTTTGCCAATTGGTTATCTCGGCTGTCTCTACGACTCTACCTACTTCATTTGTCATAGATATTTGCAGTTTTTATAGCTTTTCTCAAAAAAAATATTTCTTTTCATTGGGATCTTTCTTTGTTGCTTAAGTGAAAGGACATATAAATATTTTACAAATACATCTATTAGTAACACATTTTTATATTTACACAAACAATAAATTTGTTAAGATTTTTGTAGTTTTATATAAAGTGTATATTAATAAAAACATAAAATTGTACACACATAATTCTTCACATAAATTCACCAATTTCATGGTCTGCTTGACCAATTAATATTAATTGATAATATAATTAATTGACTTTTTTATCTCAACTAAAAACCTTAATTAATTGTAATTCTTTACATAGTTTAAAAAATACAAATCACTCATATAAATATAAAGTTTTGCCCAAATCTTTGCAAATCTGATAACAAACTAAAATTATATATTAACAAAACAAACATTGCTATAAATGAAACCATGATTATGTGAAAATACAAATGTTCAAATTATTCTAAATACTAAAACTAAATACATCTATTACTTACACATAGATAACTTACTTATTTTAAAAATCATAACTATATACATAGGGAATTCGTTTTGGAAACATGACTAGTTATGTTTGTGATGTTCCTGAAAACAATTAATTAGGCATAAACCTGGCAAGTTGAGTCACTTGGGCAATAGTAGGTTACATATTTTTTGGTCTTACAAACCACACTTCTTTTTTGTACTAGAAGAATTTTCCCTTTTAAGCTTACATACTCTGGGAGGTCTCTTTTATTTAGTGGGGCTTTCAGCATTGTTGCTGGAAGCGGTAAAAGTGTTTTTACGGATTCAAATTGTGCAAAACCCACGAGTTTATTAACATTATGTGAAAAAGATGCAACCTTAGATTTTTACTATCAAAGTGTTTTTTGATAACATTTGGTCTTGCTAATTGACCCATTTTATAGGTTATATTTAATGACGACACAGTTTTGTTAATTTATTTTTCTCTTATTGCTAAAGATATTAAATCACCCCCGATCCCTAATTGTTCGGCCAAAACATATAATTTTATTTCATATTTATGGCGTTCCCCAAAATAAATTGACGCATAGATTTCCCCTTAAGATCATACTTTAGTCCAGCGAAAGCCCTTTTTTGGGGCTATATATTTTCTCCATGACATAATTGAAGTGATTTACAATGACTGAATTTTTTTCAATTTGTCATCCAAAGTGGTGTTTTCTTGAAAATGGATGGCCTGTAAAATTAGCGAAAATTTATCCCTAGAGATAAATTTTCGAAAGGGCAATTTAAATAAATATTCTGACCAAAAATCTATTTAAACGGACAATGCCCATTAAAAAAAATTATTTCCATAAATCTTTTACTTAAAATCTTGTACTGTGATCTGATTGGCTGAACCTTTGTTATGCCAGATTAGCCGAATGTGTTAAGGACCTGGAACACACAGAGAAAGTAGCGAGTGCCCTCCTCCTCATGCCTGTTACACATTGAGCATTTATCTTCACCTTAGGGTTTAGTTTAATGATTCCCCCCCACCTTGTTATGTTGAGGCCCACTCCTGCATGGTTTACTAAGTTTGCACATCTGATAGTCATCCTCAGTACAACTTAAATTTGTTGGCAGTTTGGAACTTATCTAGAAATTTAAATGTCTTAACTGTTGCAGCAACTGTTGCATCCCATCTCCCCAAGAATTTGTGCCTTTGTAGTGGTCATTGTTGTTTATAATCTGCCTATCTTCAGGCAGCAATTCTTATTGTACTTTTTTTAGTGATTTAATCCATTTGTCATGCACTTTTACTTTGTATCTAATTGAAGATCATCACTTTTGTAATGGTTAGGTTAAGAAATTGTATACTGTTGTGCTCAGTTTCTATAGAGTTACTATGTGAAAATTGTTAGATAATAGTTAAAAGAAAAGGTCTCCAATTTTGTAAAATTGTTTTTATTCTTGAAGGAACAGCAGGAAAAAGACAAAGACTTTTCAAATTTTCACAAAAATGAGAAAAAGACATCTGCTGGATGGGCTTATTCTGAGTTTAATATAAGAAAAGGGATTCGAACATCAGGAAGTTACAATCCTCTCGCTAGAAATCCTGCTTTTGCAAGTGCTGACAAATCGATATATTTTGAGTTGACTCAATTGTCCCAACACTTTCACCCTACAGTAGCACTTTTTGCCTCAAAACTTCTTAAAAGTAAGTAATTTAATAAGAATAATTGTTTAACCGTTACTAAAATGATGATATTTCTTTAGGAGAGCCGATAGTTTACGATGGTGATCCTTTAGCAGATTTTACAATAAACAGATTTTTAGAAAGGTTTGTGTTCAAAAACCCAAAGAACACCAGATCTGTAGACGGAATGACTAAAGGGCCAGATCCTCAGTTGGCTCCTAGGAAATATTACATCCCTCCTGGTGTAAAGGCATTGCATGTAACGAGTGATCGTTACTTGGACCAATCCGAATGCCAAATTCCTGTTGATGAACTATTTGTTTACAAATATTTGAAAGTAAAGCATGAAAAACGAAGTGCAAACAAATCCAACAGTGATGATGATGACGACTTAGAGAGTGTGGCCAGTGAAGAATTTGAAGAAATGATAGATAATATGACTAGGACAAAAAAAGAAAAAATGGATTTTTTTAATGATATTGGACAAAATCTGATTAAAAAAACAAAAGGTGTGTCTATATTACATTTTTCTTCTTTTAATACATGTAAACTCATACATATTCTGTTCAACAGGAAAAACGGAATTGCTTTCAGAAGATGAAATGGAAGATGATGAGTATAGTGATTTATCAGATGACAAGGAAGTTATGGAGTTCAGTAGTGATTCAGATTTTGATAATGATAGAACCTTTAATCAAACAAAGAATGAAAAAAGTCATGTAAGTTAACTTTTATTTTATGAAATTAGTAAATTTTGTTATTACGCCATTGTTTTGTTCAGTCTGTCAAAAAAGGCGACCGTAAGAAGAAAATGGAGAATAATTTTAATAACTTGTTTGCTCCTGCTGAGGAATTTTCTGAAATACTAGAAGAAGCAGGATCTGCTGTTCATAAGCACGGAATGATAAACTCAGTCGAAAATAAAGACAATGCTGGTAAGTAGTTTGAAATTAATTATTCAGTGTCATCCTTAATCACGTTCTTTTTTTTCCCCAGCACCTAAACAACTGGACTGGGAGAAAAAGAGAGAAAACTGGAGAAAAAATAGAAGCAAAAAAACAAAGAGGAAGATTCAAAACAGTTCTAAATTTGCTAAAAGACAAAAAAAGTAAATCTTGTGTAAGTGTTGTACATTGATTTATTATTTGTCTTCCCCTTCCATATTTTATTCCTTTAGTCCTTCCATCACTGAGGAGGGCGATTTCTCCGGAAGTCCAGTCTATCCTTGTACCCTTGAGTCGGAGTACTTTACAGCTCGGCCATCCTGTGAGTAGCGTAGAAATCTTGAGATGCGGTCAGGTGTGATGTAGGTTTCAGAAAAACATTTCTTTATCGTGCCAACGTTTCGATCTTTATTGAGATCATCTTCAGGGCCTGGGACAAACAATGTTTAAATTTAACAATTACATTTAGGATGTGGAAAAGTGAATTTAAACAATGCAAAATATATTTTTTATATTCAATCAAAGTATTTCTACTCACTCAAAGTGTCAAAGTGTTTGAGTGAGTAGAAATACTTTGATTGAATATAAAAAAACAATTTTTTTTTGCATTGTATAATTCACTTTTTTCCACATCTTACATGTTTTTGTTAAATTTAAACAATGTTTGTAAATCCCAGGCCCTGAAGATGATCTCAATAAAGATCGAAACATTGGCACGATAAAGAAAATGTTTTTCTAAAACCTACATCACACCAGACCACATCTCACGATTTCTGAATAATCAATGTCAAATCAAAAACTTTAAAATTTGTACTTTAAACTTAAGTTAACAAAAGTTGAATCATGAGAACGAAAAAATGAAATGTATTTATAAACTGATTATTGGGAGTAAAACTAATATAATTAAAGGATGAAAAAATTAAAAATGGAACAGTACAGTTTTCTAGTAATTTTTATTTTATATCATAATATACTGCATTATAATAATGCATAGATTACTTAAGAAATATATAAATGTAATAAATAAAATATACATGCTTAACATCATTAATTATTTTAATTACTGAAAGTACAATTTTAAGATTTAACAAAACTGTCCAAATTATGGTGACTGTACAACAATAGTTGTTGAATTTGCAACGTCATTTAGTTGATTGGATGAAAACACTGCCACTAATTTCTTTTGACCAGGCCGTCTCGGATGGAAGCTCTCTGTATAGGCAAAATGTCCTTTTGGCTCAACATTTCTTGTAAAAGAAGAAAAACCCAAGTTTTTAAAAATTCATATATAAAGAAACAATACCAATAATTTTAAAAATAAACTTACTCGCATTTAACGATCTTGGCCCACTGGAGACCAGGTCCTTCAACGCTTATTGAACAGTTTGTTAACGGCTTGTCAAGAGGGTTGGTAAATGAAAATGTTGCAGTGCAAGGTTCGCCGACCACCAATTGTCCTCCAACCTACAAGTTGAAATCAATTTAACTACTGATTTAAAATTGTATTTTGATTATTTCAAAATTACGTCAATTTTTAATGAAGGTTTTATCAGGGGGAAATCATCTTCTTCTGACCACGTCTGCTTGGTTTCCAACACGTTTGCTATTGCGTGTATCTTGATTAAGGAATGGTCGACCAATTTATCAATATAATCTGATGTAAAAACTTTAAGTTTCAGCGTGTCGTCTTAAATAGAAATAAAATATTATTTATGCCATTCGTGAATTTATTACAGCTGTATAAAAACCTGAATTTGGTCGCAGTTTAAATTGTCCGTTGGCTCTTTTTAGCCTGTGAACTGTCATACCGGTGTAGTAAACAGAATTGGCAGCTAACATCATCTCGATAGTCCTAACTTCTGTGGAATTATTCTGAAATGGTTTGGAAGGTAAACTTTTCGCTTAATGTTTCATGTTTATTAATCACACCTTAATTTTGACAACGATGCTGAATGGCTCTCCGAATTGTATCTGGTCTATATCTTCCAAATCGAAAGAGACGTCCTGTTGAGATTCATCTGGGAAATCGTAGTGTAATTGGGCCCTATCGACTCCTCTTACTGCGTTGAATACAGCCATCCGTTCTTCTTTTGAACCTGAAAATGATAAGAGTATGGTATACTTTACATTCTCCGATGAAAAGAATCAACTGACCCTCAGGGTTTTTGTATAACTGAGTTACATCCCACATATCAGAATCGCCCACATCATCATCTACGTCCACCCTTTTTGTCACTATTTTCCTTCCTACACTGTAAATTTTAAATTTACAATTTAATTATAATATTGATAAAATTGGTTATAATAGAATTACAACTTACTGATATCTGTTTATCCTTGTTCTTGTAAATCCCCAGTAGGATTTAGTGTCCGCTTTGAAATGGCACACATCTGCATTGATTTCAGAAAAAACAAATGGATTATCGTAGAGGAATCCAATCTGACCACATCTGACTGCTTCTACTGATGCAGGGCCACATCTCATCATATCTTAAAAGAAAATGCAAAAATTAAAAAAAAATCATCCTTAAGACCTTGATCTTTAATGCTTTAAAATTACGTATAGCATTTTTCAGTCAAATGAAACTTTTTTTCAATAAAATGAAACCTTTTTTTAATAAAATGAAACCATTTTTAAAGAAAATGAAACCTTTTTTCAAGCAAATGAAACCTAAAACCTAATAATAATTATGTAGAGGAATAAGTAAATGACATTATAGTACTAACAATAATTTTTATGATGAATGATATTAATATTACAATAATTGAATCGTAAGCCTTAGGTACAAGAAGGTTTCTTGTGAAGATCTGCATTCATCAAACTTTTCTACATCCACCCCATCGAAGTTTAATTAAGTAGGATAGAAAAAGAAGCGAGCAAAACTTTCTGTGATAGAAATTATGAATGATGGAGTGGGTGTGGAGTTCAATCCTTTTTAAAAAGATGGTTCCTACTCAGTTGTTTCGCAACGATCCGGATTTCGAGCCCTTTAGCTCATCATCAGGTTGAAGGGTTTCTACAAACACGCTCTCGACATGAATTGCAAAAGTGAACCCACTGATACCCCTGCCAATGCGAAAACACCCTTCAAACTGATGATGAGCTAAAGGGCTTGAAATCTGGATTGTTGCGAGGCGTTTTCACCTATCCTACTTAATACTATAATGTCATTTATTTATTCCTCTACATAATTATTATCATTAGGTTTTAGGTTTCATTTGCTTGAAAAAAGGATTCATTTGCTGGAAAAAAGGATTCATTTGCTGGAAAAATGGTTTCATTTGATTGAAAAAAGGTTTCATTTGCTTGGAAAAAGGTTTCATTTGATTGAAAAAGTTTCATTTGGTTGAAAAAAAGTTTCATTTGCCTGAAAAATGCTATATTATGAAAATAAGTACCAAATGCTTTTATTTTACTTTAATTTTTGTCTAAATAATGTTTCACTCATTTTTTTAACTCTAGAAAAAAAGGTAGTTAGTATAAAAACAATATTAACATGTTGGATATTAATTATTTAAATTGACATTAGCAACATACTTCCGCTCATCTCCTGAGGGGTGGCATCAATTATTTGCCAGCCTCCATAGCCTGGCGGTAAATCGGGTCTCGACATCCAGACATCGTTCCAAACGTGAAAATTCCAGCAAGAGTCATGGCACTCTCCATCCGGTCCTCCTATGATTTCTTCTCCTCTATAGTCGAAAAACTTGTCCACGGTTAATGACGAATTAGTGTCGTGTGCTGAGACATAATTGGTCGTCGGCCGGCAAGGCAGTCCAAGTGCACGGCATACTAAAAAATTTTAAATGTTTTTTAAAACTAGTTTTTAACAACAGGATAAACGTTTAGGTACCAGTTGTCACAAGGCCGGCAAATACCCAACACTGGGCGTATGAGACAGGCGTAGCACCTGTTTTGAGAAACTCCTCCATAATCGGAGCCGAACCGGTCCAAGCATGAGGGGAAGTTCCATCCGAGTAATCTCCATCCCATCGCCCAATTACAAGACCCCCTTCATCAGCAGCATTAATCTAAAAACATTCATTTTGAAAAAAAAAATTTAATTGTAAAATAGTAAGTGATAATCACCACAGCGCTTATCGCCCTTGCTAGAAGCACAGGGGATCCTCTATCTTCATGAGGCAAGTCAGACAATTCGAGTAAGTACATCACACAGGGCAATACTGCATCTTCAAATTGGCCAAACAGCCACCGTCTTCCTTGAGGTTGGCGATATGAACCCATCCACACTTTTCCTACATCATTCAGCACATATTCCATACGTTCTGCATCATCCTTCATAAACACTGAATCATCTGAAATGAATATCGATAAAACTTCAGTCAAATCTAAGAATAAAGAGGTTAGACAGATAAAGTTTATTGTGCAAAATTTTTGACACTATTTTTACAAAATATGATCTTGGGCAAAGCTGTTTGTTTAGATCCAATATCATGAAAAATGCATACAACATTAAACTTGCTGCACATGTAAAAAGGTGTAAATAAGACTCATATTAAGTTGGAGAAAATGTTGCTATTCAAAAATAAATAATAAAAATAAAGGAAAAAAATAGTATCTTTTACAGGAATTCTTTTTTCACTACACTATTTTTGTATTTTTCTCTTTCTCTATATCAATGCGATTGTTTACCACTTAAGATTATAATTTTAAAATAAAGAAGTTATGCAATCCAGCAAGATTAATTATTCCAGTTGTCAAAGTTCTACTTGAAATAAACACTCAAAGATTTATGGAGCATGTTTGTCTACATCAGTCGATATTTTATTAATTTTATTTACACAAATACTAGGTGAATATTTTAATTTGTAATTTGTTTATCTTGTACTTTATAATGCAAATTGTGATTTAATTGTCTGTTCAGTATGCTCAAATATGTGATATTTTATAAAAATAATTAAGTTTACCTTGATTCCAAGGATTCAGCAACATATATATGTCATCTTCGACTTTGTGTTCATTGAGAGCTTGTTCATCGTAGTGGGAACCAGTCTCAATCGACATGTGCCAAATTCCTACTTGACAGTTAGACGGGGCTTCCATCTGTCAAAAGAAAGTTAAAGAAATAAATTTAATTGTTTTGTTTTCAAGGCAAACACGCCATATGGCATTTTTGCCTGGAGAATAAAACGGTTAGATTTCTCCGTGTGTTCTGCATGGTGATGAATCTGTGATTTGACCACCAGTCATTTTGGTGTGACATGATGATAATGATGAATATAGAGACTATGATGTGAGGGGTTTTATATTCCCCATGCACAACAGTCTTCTGGCTTATTGTACATTTTCTTTTTCCTTAGTTCAGTGCAATTGACTCGATCACACTTATTTCTGTCATCCCAAGAATAGGTTCAGAGCCTATATAGTCTTGCAGACTCTCCTCTGGTCTGTTTGTCTGCCTTTAATTACCCAAAACTCCTTTGTGTCCTGGTAGCCAAGATATCATCAGGTTATTGCATTTCCACAGGTTTTGGGGATTTTGGATGCATTAATTATTAATTTTGATGCAATTTTTTTACATGCTAATCTTTAACAACTACTTGACTATCCAATCTTGAGGATTTTTTACCAATGTAATCTGCCATTTTAAAATTTTTAAGCCACCAACATTGATGTTTTAACTTGGAAGATGTATACTTCCCTATATTTTGCTCATGTTTTAAACTAGTACAGAAAATGCCTGAACCAGTTCCAGCATTTCGAGCTGATAGTATGCCAATCGATTTGTCATATGAACGGGTGTTTGTTTATAGTCACTGTTGCATGCCAAAAATGTTTACTCCCCATCCAACATGATTGTTTTTGGAGCCTAAATGAGCTTTTCCTTATTCCTAATTATAAATATTTCCAATGGAGGCAGGTTTAGCAGTGTTTCTAGAGCAATTGACGGGGTTGTTTTCATTGCTCTTGTACATATGTTTGCCACTCTTTGTTTGCTATCAAATGTTTGGGTGCTTGTTTTTGCTGAGTTTTGGTCCATCAGATTAATTCAGGTCTTATTACTTGTCTGACAGAACAAATCATAAATGGTAAAGATATGTAGACCAAAATGATTAGTAAAGACCAAATAATAAAAATGATCCATTACGGAAAATAAGGATGAAAATAAAATAAGATAAAGGAATGATTAACATGATTAAACTACTATTGCCAATTTTTTTAAACCTAAAAGCAGATACCATTGGCCACTTCCTTTTTGAAAGTGAGCCACTGTAATATTCAATTGTAAATATTAAAAAAACAAACAAAAAAACTCCAGTTTTGATTCCACTTTCAGGTAAAAACAACCAGGAACATATTAATAATACATATTTACTATTTTTACTTTTCTGCATTAGAAATGCAAGTTGAAATGTGAAATCTGTTATCTTGAGCAATATTAAATTGTATTATATAAATAAATTTTGTACGATGTAAAAAATGATAATTTTTGTTATTGTGCTTTTCATTGTTTGTATTTATTTTATGTGTTAAGACCAATACCAACCTCTATTGTACAGATTATTTCTATAATAATAAAATTAAACTAACATGATTATGATAATGTTTTTGCAAGTTCTTTCAACAGGTTGTTAAGATAAAACTGTTAAAGATAAGTTATTTTTATTTAAATAGGTTGAAGGTTAATTTGATAATTGATTATAAATAGCATATTTTAACAGATATTCCACGTTTTATTGAATCAAAAGGCAGAAAATAATGAAGTCTGTGCAGCAGGAGTGCAATTTTTCTTATCTTGATACAAAGATAAAATTTTTCTGTTCTAACAATTGGACTGAGATTTTTTAAATCTTTAATTATCTGAGAAAGTTTTAAAAATTAAAAAACAGCTTGAAACTTTTTATGTATAAATAAAATACCATTTTAACTCTTTCTTACAATCATTGTAAATTTTATATTTGCAGTGTTTCAATGGTTGAAATATACAGTAAATTTTTTTTGTCTGATTTTCCACTGCAATTCAATCAAATATTTTTTGTTCTCCCTCACACTTTGCTTCAAAAATTTTACTGTAGAATAAAAAATTTCTGGCTGTTGTTAATATTTCTCGTTTAGCTTTTCTTTTTGTTGTGTTGTGATACAAAAACAAAACCAAAACGAACAAAGATCATAAAGACCGGTCTAACATGTGGATGCAGAGTCTGAAGGTCTTCTTTCGATTCATAAAATATATCAAAATGGAAGCCTTCTGACACAGATACAAGTTACCATTGCATTAGAAAAAAAGAAGAAAAAAAATGTACAATTCCATATTGGACACTTTCATCTCAACGGTGACTTACATTTACTTAGAAAAGTTGACTTGCATAAGAGAATGGTTTCAACACACGGGCCTTGCCTGGATGTCCTTGATCTGGCCTACGGCCATTAATATATGTCAACTTGTTTTATTCTTGTAATTTTAATTTGTGTATATGTAATTTCATTCCTCAAGAGGATTACACGATTTATGTTGTGCTGCCTACCTTTGAAAATGTACCTGCGCGATTTCCTTTTTTATTAATTTTTTCTTTTTAAGAAATCTTGCTAAATAAAAACAAGTTTTGTTTTCACAATTTAATGAGAAACTAGGAAATTACTAAACTAAGCAATAAATATAGTTAAAATACCGTTTTGGCCTTCGAAAGTTAAATAATTTACTAGTCCTTAAAAGAATGGACTTTTTTTTATACAATTTTATGTAATTATTTGTCTAACTAGTTGTGTAACTTGGAAAAAAAGTCGAGTTTGCAAGTAAAGCATATGAAATTGTTCAAATAAGATTTTGTATTTTTTAAACAAATTTAAGTTTCTTTTCCTTCTCGATGGGCAAACTGAATAGGTCTTTTTCTGGATTTCCTGTTGCAACCAAATTTGTGATATTATTAATTTTGTCTGCAGGTTGAAGGACCTGAAATTTGGTCCAGCTTTCAAGATTACTCTGTACAATTGATATGTTGTAAGAAGAACCAAATTGTCCAGCCCCCCGAAAAAAAAAAAAAAAAAAAAAAATCGAGTTTGTAAGTAAAGCATATGAAATTGTTCAAATAAGATTTTGCATTTTTTAAACGGAACAGGGAAAATTAGCATTGAGAAACTCAAGTATGAATTTTTATGAGATTCAAATTACAGCTTTTTGGGAAGGAATGGTGCAAGGAAAACATCTACAATGTAATTTCAATGCAAATGGGTGCACACCCGACTTTTCACAACCTTATAATATCAACTTCAAAAATAACACAGACACACTGAAGATGACGAAATGCATCTGAAAAACCCAGCTAGAATAAGCCGATCAAAATGATTGGTAACCAAATTTAATTATTGACTGAAGTTATTAAAAAGTGTATTATCATTGATCAAGTTTAATTGGCCAATTATAATCGATTGACAAAAAATTTTAATATTTTGGTTCACACATTTCACAAACTGATGAAAAGTGTCTGTTTCAAAATGGTGTCCAGTAAATGGATTTTAGGAAATCCAATGGAATCATTAAAACCTTCATTTGACTTTTGTTGATCAGTCAATTCAACTCGATTCGTGAGAAAGTGCATTAAAAGAGGAAAAAGTCTTAAGAACAGTAAATGACTGACACTTGATACTGCACAAATGTCAACAAGCAAAAAGCAATGAAAAAATGTCACATTTTTCAATATATTTATGCTCCAAATTATTTCACTTACTTGGACTGTAATGTCGGCTCCATTTTGGTGGGAGATTACTGCGTCCCACCTTCCAGGCTGCGATTTGGTTTCAGTCCTTTGAGAATCGATGACCATCACACTCCTCGTTCCTTTTGTGACATGTGGCGTGGGACCTTCGAGGGTTTACGTTACAACTTGCATGGTTTAAAACATAAAAAATTCCTAAGTCTTACCGAAGTCCATGACAAAGCGAAGCGTATCCGAGTTCGGATCGAACTCCTTGTCGAACCTGACTGCCAGGTAAAAGGGTTGCCCTCTTCTTAAAACAAGAGACTCGTTGGAAATTTCAAATCGTTCTGTATTGTGGACTTTGGCATTATCTGCTAAGTACAATTCAACGAGAGTGACTTGTGCGACGTCCCGTTCAACAGCAGCATTTCCTTTAAAAAAACAAAGCCGATGATAAAGAAAAAGAGCTAAGATTTAATCCTTAAAGTACCTTGCACATTCCTCTTCTTTAAATAATTTGATGTAACGTTGTTTCTCATATTGTTTAGATAGTTCCTTTGATTAGCCGACCTATTGCCGGGTCTCATCACGCCAGGATACCTGTAAATCAATTTCAACCATTTTTTTATTTGAATATTGTTACCTGAAGATAGATTTGAAGAAGTGTAGATTTCTGAATAATTATCGATTAACGGTCACTAACCACCACACATTACTAAAAATATAGTTTTGGTCATAATGTTAGTATAAATATGATCAAGGATATATTTTTAAAGAAAGCCGTTGAACCTGTACCATAAAATGATAAGTGGGTTCAGGCTAGTCAAAACGAAGTGATGATTTTCAAAAATTTCAGGATTGTTTGAACTGCAGGGTGTATGCAGAGAAAGAACTTGTCAGCTTCCAAGTTTCTCTACAGTCACTCTCACAAACGATTTCAACTTTTGACTTGTAAATTGTTAATAATCATAACAGAATTTTATATTCACTTGTATCTATGTAAAAACAGACACACATTCCTGCTGATTTTATGATTTAAAAAAACATCCTTTGCACCAGCCTATAAATCTCAACCATCTACAGATGGCTCCCAAATTGCAAAGGAACCAGGTCAGATATATGAGTGTACACGCTGAAAAAATGAGCAGTCAAACTCATTTGGGAAGAACACCTACAACCACCAAAACATCAAAACCATTTTCACAAGATTGGATGGCCAAGAGACCAGAAAAACATTAACCCTTAAAAATGTCACATCCATGTGTCCAACCCCTCAAAAACCTTGGAAAATATAAAAACCTAACTATATTTTGGGAATAAAAGAATTTTGCATAATGAACAAGCGGGCAAACAGGCTAGAGGAGTACCTCCAAGCAGTACTATAAGCCTAGAATCAATTATTAGGATAACATAATCGAACGTAGACATGGCCTCAGAATGGATCCCCACAAAACAAAATAAAAATGTAGAAACTCGACAGGTTAGACATAGTCAACTCATGGTTAAAGAACCCTCATCAAAACTGGCAGTAATGACATCTGAGAAAACAGATACACAACACATGAACATTGACTAGATTATGCAATGAGGAAGAAAAACTGACACCCATTTTATCTTCGAATGTGAAGCAACTGCTCATGGTGACATAACCTAGAGTACCAACCAAGAAGACTTGAGAAAAAGAATTGCATCAATGACCTACTATTTCTAAAAAGGAGGATCAAGTCAATTGAATTGTACTAAGGAACTAGGAAAAGCTCAAGCCAAAAGCCCTTGGGTACTTGGGGAAACACCAAACCACCCTGCATCCCAGCATTCTCTTCATTGTCATCATTGACTGTATAATTGTAAAGGAGCCAAAAGGTTAAAGTGTCAGACTCTCGGCTCGTAGACGTCATCTAGGTCATGGGTTCAATCCCCACAGTTGCGCTTATAATTTTCTTAAACTGACCCATCCCCCCACCAAAAAAAAAATCTGATTGTTGTTCCTTCTCTGGCTTATATGTGAGACCATAAATCAATGAAAAAATATTTTAAAAGAAAAATTGAAAAAATTTGTATCATCGTTCCATTAATACTAGGGACATGGTAATAGGTAATGAGGACTCTCCAAACTCCCCCCGCCAAAAAATAAAAATAAAAAAACAAAAAATAAAATAAATAAATAAAAAATACAATAAAAATATAAATTTTTTAAATTTAAAAACAAAATGCTGAGAAAGAATTATGACAAGAACGATTTAATTGAACTAATTTCATGTTATGTGAAATGTGCAAAACATTAAACAGTTTAACATTTTGATATGCGGTCAAATGTTTGTAAAACCCTGTCTGCAGATCAGATTTAGTCCTGACCCCCTTCCAAAATGAGTTTATTTGATGGAAGAACGGCTCAATTTACACATATGTTGTGCTTCCAAAATAGAGCCAGTAAATAAGCTCTATAGAGCTTCAAAAGCCAGGGGGAACTCATCCAGTTTCTGCTATCCACCGCAGTAACAAAAAATTAATTAATCAAGAAAAATTGTAATAAAACTAAAATTAATAATAAGTTAATAAAACTTGTGCTCGGATTGTACAGTAATGATTAATCAAAAATGCTCATCCAAATAAATAGTTAGCGGTGTGAAATAGTTAAATTGACTTACATGATTAGAATTTCAAGTGAAAGTGTGTTTTCGACTGGGAGAGCCGGGGTGCCGGGATGTTTATATATCTTCCCCCACTGATTTTCTACAGAAGCCTTGACCCTCCCTCGAGGATCTTGTAAAAATACGACGAAGACCAGTCGCGGTCCCGGCCGACTTTTTTTCCCCCGACTTGTCGAAATACTTGATTCCGAATATTTTGCCCGTGTTGCACATAACTCGTAGATTTTGATTCATTCTCGATTCGAACTAGAATAAAGATAAAAATCAGTTATTTGTAATTAACATTCTCCATCGTCACGATGCGTTACAGCAAAAGTCTTATAACTTCAATTCGAAACAAGAAGAAATAAGAAGGAAAAACATTTATTGGACAATAATATACAATTGTACCTTTTTGTGTGAGAAAAATAAACATTACAGCAAGGCATAGCCGTCTGCGTGTGTGTGTGTGTGTGTGTGTGTGTGTGTGTGAGAGAGAGAGAGAGAGAGAGAGAGAGAGAGAGAGAGAGAGAGAGAGAGTAAGAGTGAAAGAAAGAGAGTAAGAGTGAGAGAAAGAGAGAGAGAAAGTGAGAGAGTGAGAGAGTAAGAGTGAAAGAAAGTGAGAGAGTGAGAGAGTAAGAGTGAAAGAAAGAGAGAGAGTGAGAGAGAGAGTAAGAGTGAAAGAAAGTGAGAGAGTGAGAGAGTAAGAGTGAAAGAAAGAGAGAGAGAGTGAGAGAGAGAGTAAGAGTGAAAGAAAGAGAGTAAGAGTGAAAGAGGGAGAGAGAGAGAGTGAGAGAGAGAGTGAGAGAGAGAGAGAATGAGATGGAGTGAAAGAGAGTAAGTGAGAGGGTTAGGGGATGGAGGGGGAAGAGAGAGAATGAGAGACACAGAGTGAGAAATAGGGAAAATGAGAGTGAGAGTGAATCAGAAAGAAAAAAGAGAGAGGAGATGGAGTTGGAGAGAGAGAGCGAGCCAGAGAGAGAGAAAGAGAGAGAGAGAGAGAGAGAGAGAGAGAGAGAGAGAGAGAGAGAGAGAGAGAGAGTCATATAAACATTGCATCTGGCCATCTGCCGGATGTTCAGGTCTACTTTCAATAGGAATCAAATGTAAAATTAAATTGAGCAAAGAAAATAAAAGTAAAAGAGCAAAAAACGTGAACATAGAGTCAGAACTGCAAAAAGAATAACAAATGGCAAAACAGAAGATTTAATTTAAAATAAAACGGGTTCCTTGAATGTAGGAAATAAATTACTCTTGGATCATAACAGTGAAGCAGAAATTGAATTCTGTAACCAAAAATCGGCGGTATCTCCAGGCTGTTCTGCAGAAGTCAGTTTTCCATACACTTTTTGTACCACACAGCAAGTTGAACGCCTCTTTATGTGACAACCGTGTTTTACTCAATCCTGCCTTTTTAAACTCATTAAGGACCGGGCAAACACGAAGGTAGTGGAGAGTAATTCGAAACCAGCAATGTTAAATATATAAAATCAATTATATTTAGTGGTCTGAATGACGAAATTACTTCTTTCAATTAATTAACATTTTTATTTAAGCTTTTGGTTGAAATGAAAAAGTTATTGTCACAAGCGGGATTCGAACCCACGACCTTCGGCTCAATACGCAGTTGCTCTAACCACTTGAGCTATCTTAACTTCAAGAGCGGAGGCGTATTTAGCCGAAGGTCATGGGTTCGAATCCTGCTTGTGACACTGACTTTTTATTTCAACCAAAACCTTACATAAATATAACTATAATATTAAAAAATGTTTTGGCTGAAGTTTGAGGGAGAAAGGGACATTAAGATAGAAACGGTGATGGTGAGGTATGTAGATTCACTTTTTGTAAATTTTAGTTCTCCTCACAGATTGCATTACAGCTTGTGAGTAGAATCATAATTAACAAGAAGTGGACCTATACGATTTTAATGATATAGCAAGAGAAAAAGATTGGGGGAGGGTAAACGCAATAATAGAATTTTTCTCTATTTCCTCAGATCGAACGTTAAGAAATCATATCATAATAAATAAACATCATGGAAAGAGGAACGTTTTTTGTACAAAATAATCCCAATTTTAAATTTGTAAACAATTGCTATCTGTACTTATCTTAATAACTAACCAGAAGGCTATAGTACTTGGGAAACAACAAACCCCTGCATCCCAGTATCATCTTCATCCCAATCACTGACTTGTAAAATTGTAAAGCCGAGTGGTTAGCATATCTCTCGACACGACGTCGTCTAGGTCGTGGGTTCGATTCCCACCGTCTCCCCCGAAATTTCTTAAACTGACCCATCCTTCCAAAAAACAAAAAATACGCTTATCATTGGCCCTACTCTGGCTTATATATGAGTTCATAATAAATCAATCTAAAAAATAATATTTAATTGAACTAATTTCGTGTTATATGTTTATCATGTAATGTGCTCATCATTGATCATGTTTAACTTTTTGAAATGCGGTCAAATGTAGGGAGAGATAAAAGGCCAAAAAAAGCTATAAGAATTAAAAATAAAAAGCTATAAAAATTTATATAAATCCAAAGAGATAAATAGACACTTTTGGGAAAATATTCGAATTTATAGTAATTTATTAGGGGCGTCGGTGGCAGCACGGTTTAGGCGTTGACACGGCGCTTATCACTGTAAGGTAAAGGTCCCGGGTTCGAATCCAGCGGCTCTGCATTCGAACCCGACACGCTTACACATGGGCTTTTTTTCAAAAATACCAACACCCCGAGGGTTGATATGACCTCTGCTGTTGCAAACCCTCGTAAATAAATAAATAAATAAATAGCTGAATTTATTTGTCGGACCTCGGATTATTCCGATCCTTAAGCATTTCGTGCTTAAGAAAGACCAAAGCGTACCGTACAACATCAAATCATTCTCTCCAAGTTATTGCCAAAGCTCCACCCATCGATCTGCACCTCATTTTGATAACGATACTAAGGAAAGAAAGGGGGCCATCTGTCGAAAATACAGGGTTGTGATCAAGAGGCGCTCAACTCCATCATGGATGCTGACGAGTCGATGCTCAAAGCAAAGACGGAAAAATGGATCCTTGGCAAGTGGCAGAATCAGTCCCACAGCGCAAAGGGCAGAACCACTTTTGAGTATTTCCCAACAATACAAGTGCGAATGTCATCCTTGTGGATTAAGTCCAACTTTTGGCTCTCCCCAGCTCCTAAGTGGCCATGGAAACGTCAAGTCGTACATACATAGATTCCGCATGTCAACCTCTGCAACCTGCGGAAATTGTGACGCGAACAACTTCAACATAGTGGTCATTTTACTTGGGCACATTTTGAGTTTTAAAAATACGTGTGGTGTTTAGTGACCGTTAGTTAATAATTATTCGGAGATCGTGAGATGGGGTCTGGTGTGACGTAGTTTTTAGAAAAACATGTTCTTTATCGTGCTAACGTTTTGATCTTTATTGAGATCATATTACATACTAACAAATGGGCTTTTTTTTAAAAAACACTGACACTCCGAGGGTTGATATAACCTCTGCTGTTGCCAACCCTCGTAAAAAAAAGAAAATAAGAAAAAAAAAGTAATTTATTCGCTTTTGCGTCATCCAACGCACAATCTTCGTATATAAAAGGAAGTGGTACATATTCCATGTGGATTCAAGGTGCACCTAATATCAAAGCAACTAAAAGTCTTATAAATGTTAAAAGATTCGGTCAAATAATATACATATTTGACAATGGAGAAGTATATTTTTGCATGAAACCAATGGATCAGTCGAAGCGTATCGGGGTTTGTCGAGCGAAGCGTGATGATGATTAAAATATTTTTATTAATGCAAAATTTGACAATAAGCCTTGAGTACCCTTGAGATAAACGATAAAGATTTCCAACAACTGCCTAATTGTGAAATTAAGACGGGTATAGAATACATTATGTAAATATAAATTTTCAGTACAGAACGAAAAAATAAAATGATTCAATTTGTCCAAAAATAAATTTAACAATTTTATTTCCTCTTGATGGGTGCAGGGGGGCGATAAAACGTACAGTCCGGTCGTTTCCGATCATTTTGGCCTGCCTTCCTGCTTTGGTCTGTCCAAATTTAGATTCGACGCTTGAAGTCCAACAGTAAGAGAACCGAGATTGAAACATTTTTGAAATCACGCTTCATTTTTTTATCGTATACATCGTAAGACAGGTCAAAACAGCGAGGACAAGCAGACCAAAATTACCGAAAACGATCAAACTATAAATCTTTATCCTATAACAAGATGAGGTAATTATAAAATTCTTAAAGATTATTTTATTATAATTTTATTCTTCTAGAGATGTTATCAAACGATCTTATCCCATTTAAAAAATTAGGCAAAATAAACAGGCAGAATTACGTTTGCAGGATCGCTTAAATTAAGTAGTAATTTAAATATAACGGAAATATTTTATGGTGATATTTTTCGACATGACCTTTAAAGAATGCTCCATTCTTTTAAGAACTTTTGTTTTTCTATCTTAGCTCAAGAAAATTTGCATTAACAGTACCAGAACAATAAAAAAAATGACATATATTAGATTGGGTGCTCGTAGTAAATTGTATGTAGATTCTATTGCATTTATGATGATAAATACGGAGACGGGATAAGCTGGGGTTTTAAGTTTCTCAAGCACTACAGCCTTCTGGCTTGGAACCAAATACTCAGAACCTACACTAGTATCTTCCAAGTTGAGATTCACGCAATCGAGGGATGTACTAAACTCAACCTGAATAAAGGGTACAAAAATAAGGACAGCTTGTCAGATAGCCAAGCAGCCATCACTAAGCTCAAATATCATTAGTTCAAGGATGGTGCTGAGATCAGTTTTGCAGTTGCAAAACCAAATTAAACATATTAGGTAGGCAGAACAAAGACAGCCTCTACTGGGCCCCAGGACAAATGGGAGTGGAATTGCAACGAGAAAGCGGACACCCTTGCAAGGAAAGGAGCTGCTACACCGCTGACACGACCTGAACCCTTCTGTGGCATAGGAATCCACACTTTCAATGCGTATCTTAGACAGAAGGACAAAAATAAAAGAGGAAACTATGGAATTCACTCATTGGACACAGGCAATCCAAGAATCTTCTAACCAATTTTGGAAGGAAAGAAATTACAGAACGTGTCAAGGGAAGCAGGAACAAACAGCGAATCCTAATAGGATTCTTAACAGGACACTGCAAGCTAAATGGACACTTAAAGAATATTGGAATAATCCTAGACGGCACATGCAGATTCTGAAAAGAGGCAGAGGAGAACCAGCATATCTACTAACTGCGGTACTTCACTTGCCCGCAGGAGGAAGTGTTTTGGGATGTGTGACCAGAGAAGAGCTTCAACCACTGAAACCGGCCCTATTAATCCAATTTCTTGCTTTAGGCAGAGAACGGGGGATACAATAGTTCTTAAAGGACGCAGTAAATTACACATTACTCAAACTCCATCTTGAAATCTACTTTTCAGTCCGATACTACCCCCATTTTTGACTCCGTCTTGAAAACAAAAGCTTTTAGCCCTTCGTTGAAAAATCACAACGTGTTCTTTCATTTGCCACAACTTACCTATGCGAATCCGAATTTTCTTTATGTACAACCACCAAAACTAAATATTGAACCTGTTTAGATGCATACTCCGACAACCCTCTCCAGCTATCAAAAATTAAACCGAACATATCCCAATTGTGCAGGCTAAAACAAGGTCACTCTTCCCATAAATTCAATAAACATTAATGTTCAAATAATTACTTTTGAATTTTGCTTAAATTTTACTTACCTATTGATTCCGTTCTGTTCAATTTGATTTTTGTGTTTGTTTTCATAGTGATATCCCACTCTATCTCCTAATTAGGAATGGAATGGCTAATTTATAAATTTTAATTTACTACATACTGTAAGTACCTTAATTTTAATTCTTAATGAGAGGAGTCCGCCCGGGATTTTGTTCTGTGAAAGGGGACGCTGGCTAAAAAGTTCGGGAAGCCCTGGTTCATGCAGTAAAAAATAGCCCATTTTTATTATATATATAATCATAGTTATTTTTATTTAAATTTAAGTCTTTGCTAAATTTATAAATCGTTTTTTGCACTATTTGAATTCTGTTTTTAAAGAGTGAAAGTTAGCACTCGTTATTGTAATAAGATTTATGTTTTTAATGATAGGATCTGTGTGTAGAACATCTGTGGAGGGCATATAAAAAAACCCCACCAATTATGGTGACCAACTGCAACGTGAGTCACCAAAGATTAACAAGGATGATCAATGATACGCAAACGGTTCAATAGACTTTAACTTTAAGAAAATAAAAATTATAATTAATATAAAATTATTGGATTGCATTTTTCATCTGAAAAAAAGTAACTTTATTGCCCAATTTCACTGGTGTTTTGATTATCAAAACTTTTTTTGCTTCTGAAATCAATTATTGTTTTTGTCCTTCCCATTTCACCCACGGATTCAAATGATCTATACGATCGATTATTTTCGTTCTAAACACCCGGAGCACCGATGAATCACGTTCGTCGAATTCGTCGATAGTGCACACACGATTTAGGTCATTGAGACGGAAATCTTTTAAAGGACGACGACTCAGAAGTTTAGCGGCTGCCTTGGCCCGGGGGCTTCCCAGACTTCTCGGAAATTCTCAGTGTCTGCCTATGCACCACTTCGCCCTTCTTATCAATAAAAAAGTCACTATCTATTTTTATAAATAGAAATTTAACGAATGGATATGGCTTATCGCGACTTGGGCACTTCGACGAAAAAATTGTCCCTTTTCGTATTTGGATTTTTATTTTTACAAATTTATAAGTAAAACCGGTACCACCTATGATCATTGCAGCTAACTCTATTGATCAAATTTAAACGTTTGGTTATGTTGTACTGAATGTCGCCAAGAACGTCCTGCAGTCTGGACTATCATTGTTTATTGTAAATTTGACATAAGTGTTTCGTGGTGCGTACGTCGCGCATGGAAGTCAGTTCACGTGCCGTCAGACCCTTGGTGCATTTACAATACCCGATTCCTATCTGGCAAAAAACCTCCACTACTTTCATTCCTAAATGATAAAGGGTCATTCTGTTATCTTCGTCTATTATATATTTTCTGGTTGTTTGTCGTTGATCAATCTGTTCACCGCGACCTCTTCAGAGGCGTTACCAATCCGGGAACCCAGATGAATACGAACTCTTATACCTCGCAGCGGTAAAATGCTAACACATCTTACACAAAAGCATTACGACTATAAGGTAGGCCGTCCACTGTAGCTGTTTTCGGCCGAACTTGCACGGCCGAATAGGGCCGGATGATCCAAAAGCGAAGAAACGAATGAGCACGCGTCCATTAGAACCAACCGTGTACGCCCGAAGCACTTTCCGATCCAAATAAAGTTGGATTTTCCAGTCCTATTCGGCCGAATGGCTACTTCGACTTCAACTGTCAACCACGTGACATCAAACGCTCACCATTGTTTAACGCCGTTCTTTGCTTTTTGCTTACCTTTTCGTTTCGTTTTCATTTCGATGGATTGCGAAAAATTGATAAGTGCGGTTGAGGAGCAGGCTCTTGGGACATGCGTGATCCACTCTATCATCGGAGAGATGTCCAGCGTAAGCTGTGGTCAAGGATAGCTTTAGAAATGGAACTTCCAATATTTTTGTTTATTTCTTTCATTCCATTTGAATGTAAACTAAGAATTTTTGAGCAGCAACAAATCTTCTACATCCATTTGGGCTACAAAATCGGCTACAGTGGACGACGGCGTTCGGCTATATTGCCGGTCGTCCGTTTGGTCAAATAGTTCGGCTGTTGAACGGCCGTCGTAGTTCGGTTCCAATGGACGAGCAGCCTAAAAATGGATTTGCTTACAAAGATGATACAACAATCGGGCCATACAACATCGCTTTGGCATTAATTGCTAGTCACTGGGCATAAATACTTAACGACGAACCACGATGATCAGGGATCAAACTGCTGACAGGCATTAAACAACACGACTTACAAAACTTAAAACTAAGCCTCGAAGAATTAATAGCATCTACAGCAGTGTTTCCCGTGTGGCCTACGCACCACATGGGGGCCATTTTGAAAATAACTCGTTTAGATTTTTAGTCAACTATGTGCCCATTCTAATTATCAATTTAGTTGAAAAATCATCGAATATTGTAGCTTCTGTTCGCCATGTAATAGCTGAATTTATTTGTCGGACCTCGGATAATTCCGATCCTCGAGCATTTCGTGCTTAAGGAAGACCAAAGCGTACCGTACAGCATCAAACGATTTTCTCCAGTTATTGCCAAAGCTCCCCCATCGATTTGCACCTCATTTTGATAACGATACTAAGGAAAGAAAAGGGGCCATCTGTCGGAAATACAGGGCTGTGATCAAGAGACGCTCAACTCCTTCATGGAAGCTGACGAGTCGACGCTCAAAGCAAAGACGGAAAAATGGATCCTCGACAACTGGCAGAATCGGTACCACAGCGCAAAGGGCAGAACCACTTTTGAGTGTTTCCCAACAATACAAGTGCGAATGTCATCCTTGCGGATTAAGCCCAACTTTTGACTATCCCGTTCCTTAGTGGCCATGGAAACTTCAAGTCGTACTTACACAGATTCTGCCTGTCAACCTCTGCAACCTGCGGAAGGTGCGACGCGAACAACTTCAACAACATAGCGGTAATTTTACTTAGGCACATTTTAAGTTTTAGAAATATGTGACCGTAAGTTAATAATTATTCGGAGATCGTGAGATGCGGTCTGGTGTGACGTAGGTTTTAGAAAAACATTTTCTTTGTCGTGCCAACGTTTCGATCTTTATTGAGATCATCTTCAGGGCGTGGGATTTATAAACATTGCTTACACTTTACAAATACATGTAGGATGTGAAAAAATGAATTTATACAATGCTAGAAATTTTAGATTTTAAATAAATAAATTCATTTTATTTATTTATTTAGTTTTTATTATTTTTTAAAATCTAAAATTTCTAGCATTGTATAAATTCATTTTTTCACATCCTACATGTATTTGTAAAATTTAAACAATGTTTATAAATCCCAGGCTCTGAAGATGATCTCAATAAAGATCGAAACGTTGGCACGATAAAGAAAATATTTTTTTAAAACCTTCGTCACACCAGACCGCACCTCACGATCTCCGAATAAGTTTTGGAAATAATAGAAATAAACTTTCCAACAAACCTTTCCAATCAGTATTCAGGCTTTTTGGAATTTACTCTGATCTAAACAAAACAAGTTAGGTTTTGCATGTCTTAATAATATAAATATTGCTAATTTAGGTTTTTAAATGTACAATTTCGAACAATTTGGGTTTTTGCAGCACAAAAATCGATCACCCTTTCGAGTTACAGTTTGTCTTTCGGATATTTTAATTTTAAATTTGAAATGATCTCTCCTCATACAAAAATAACGGATTATCATTAATAAATGAGCTACTTGGACGAAGCAACGACGAGAATGTGAAGCCGTCGGACTTCTGGACAGGCCCGACTTCCGGTTTAGTGTTAGGCGCCAGTTACGTGTTGCCAAGCAACAAATGTCAAAATAAACTGCTTCTGTTCTGCAATCAGCAACGGACAGGTGACTCGTTTAAGCCTCGCTAAGTCGTTTCAACAATGCCACCCAGTCCTAATTTCTATGCACGGTGAATCTTTTTGTGTTTTTTCCCCCAATTTTCCCTTTGCCGTCGGCCGAGATGGTGCTGTATGTCATTTTTACCAACCCGATACAAACGAAATACAAAACTTCCATCTGCTCCAAAGCAACGTTCATTATTATTTTTATAAATTTTTTAATATTCGCCGTCCCGTTGTTGATCGCTTACAGAACTCACGGTGAGACTTAACTTTTCGATTATTATTCTTTTATAAATATTTCTAATTTTTTAAAAATATTTTTATTTTTATTTTTAAGGATTCTGGATCAAGTCTGATGTCTACAGGGAACAGCCCGATGTCCATTTTATGTATGAATATTTGATCATGCTTGAAACTGAAAAAGCTGACTGCCCAGTCATCTGCACGACTTTCAACGCCTTATCCCAAGCAACAGAATCATTCAATAAATGTTCTGTCATAAAGGTAAAGTTTCAGAAAGGATGTAGAAAATACATATGCTTGTATAAGTAATTATATTATATGCTCGTGCTTCATTTAGATGTTTGTTAACTTAATGCTTTGACTATTGGACAAATATCAAGGTCATGCTATACATTGCCCAAAATACTAGCCAAAAAATTGATATCAACTGGTGAAAAGAGGTTTATTTATTACAAACACAAGTTTAGAAGCCTAATAACAAGAGCACACAAATATAAGTGGATATAAAAATATACATAGTTATGACTAGATACAATTTTGATACACGATATTCCACCATCACCTGCATACTATCTATACAAATCTATCATAACCATCTCTAACCATCTACATGCCAAAACTATACGCAAGCTTTGGCTCAAAAGTAAGTGTCCGTGTGTCAACCAAGCATGGCCTATTCTTAATGGAGAAACTACATTCAGGCTTTGGCTCAGAAGTAAGTGTCCGTGTGTCAACCATGCATGGCCTATTCTTAATGGAGAAACTACACGCAGGCTTTGGCTCAAAAGTAAGTGTCCATGGGTCAACCATGGGTCTTAATGGAATAAAGATGACCTCTCTTCTACGAGTCACATCCTCTGAGAGCCACCTATCGACAGTGCTCTTGTTACATGAGAGCTTTTGATACTGATAACTTATCCATTAATTTAAATTTAATAAGTTTATACATTCAAAAAACTTCATAAAAATACACTTCTTGTTAAATCATATGCCATAGTTCTTAAGTAGGTAGGATTGGTCAATTGAATTGAAAAATTTAAGTTAAATGTTTTCAAGCAAGTTAAAAAAAAATAAAAAAATTGTTTGAGTTGCAAATAAATGTTTACCATAACTACTGTGTGTACTTGGTAGGTGAGAGAAGTAGACAACAATAAGGATGGGAAAAACGAAAAACTCTTTTTCGAGGCAGAAGCACTCCTGGAACCAGTTGAAAATGTATTCTCTGTAACACTCATTCTCGTCTTAAACTATAAATTATATGTAAGTGCGAGTAGTTGAATAAATCCGGTAAATTAATTTTAATGGTTATTTTTAAGAGTTACAGTTGGTTGGAAATGCAGACCCTTGCTTGGATTGAAGCGACTTCAGGGGTTGGTGGGAGTCAACTGTCGATAAACGGAGATCTCAGGCTGCACCAGAGACAGCTTCTCAGTAATAAAGGAAAGGATTTCCGTTACAATACATCAATCGTATCTGCAAATTACACCCACGAATTTGATCTGTTCGACTTTCTGTCCAGTTATGCCGAACGGAATAGTAAGTAGATGGTTCAACGATGTCGTAGGCAGTCGTTAATCTCCAGATGGATTTTTTTCAGTCACGACAAAAGTCGACAATGTCTACACGGTATGGAAGAGGGGTCGTGATCCAGAGATGCCTTTTCAGATTTCGCTGATACTGACGTATCCAGAAGACAACGTCCAGTATCGCCCTGGGACCTGGCACGTACTGAAACTGGCCTGGGTTCAATATTTCGCTCTTTTGTACATTTCAGTTCTGATTGGACGAAGGGTGAAACATTTCATTTTGGATTATAGATTAGTTCACAACATTAGATATGAACCTTGGAAAAAGGCCCTGTAGAATTTAGCACCTTCATACAAGGTTTTTTGTCTAATATTTATGTTACAATTTTTTTTTAAATAGTAGTAAAAGTAACAAAAATAACTTTTTTTTTTTTTAAAAGAAATCTTAGATTTTTATTAAGAGTAGACTTAAACATCAATGCATTTTGATGATATCTTTAAGTAAAAATCTACCTAATCTAGGTATGAACTGTTCATGTATGCTCAAGACGATTGGAATTTGCCATGTAAGACTGAAAAAATGTATTATCTAAGAGATATTCATTCTGATGACTTATCTTTCAACTTTGTGTTCTTTGATTGTATATTTGTGTTTTCAAGAATTTCCCACTTTTATAAACATTTAAAAATCCTCATATTATGATGACTGTATGTAGTCGATTTTCCTTATTAAGGGTTTATGAGTGTAATTAATACCATAATTGTACAAATAGTTGTGTTTAGTGAAATGAGTAGTTCAGATTCAATTAATTTGTGGTAACACTCAAAAATAAATGTAACGATGTTTTAGTGAATAAATTAACTTCACATTGTTATAATTAAAATAATTGATATTATTTAGTTTTTATTGCTTTCTGATTCCTTAATTATTTCTCTTCTACAAAATACATAAAAGAAATATTTTGATCATATAAAATAGTTTGATCGTATTCCATACTAATTTTATAAGAACAGTCCAACTAACTTTCAGACCCAAGTACTAAGAGTTTTTAACCATATTTATGATACAAGTGTGGTACCCAGTAGTTTCAGTAAGGCAATAATATTCCCGTTATTTAAAGGGGGTGATAGGAGTCAGCAATTATAGAGGGATTGCCTTTTCTGATACTATATCGAAATTGTTTGTTGGGCTACTTTTGAAACATTTACAACAGTGGGTAATCGAGAATAATGCTTTGAATGAGTTTCAGGCTGGGTTCCGGCAGGGTTACTTAACCGTAGATAATCTGTTCACTCTTTAATATTGTGAAATTAAAACTGCGAAAAACAGAAAAAAGTGTACTGTTTTTTTGCAGTTTTTCGGGCTGCATTTGATTCGCCAGATAGAAATCTTTTATTTTATAAACTGCACATGATAGGGTTATCGAATAAATTTATAAATGTTTTAAAGGTGTTGGATAAAGGAGGGAGTTTCAAATACCTTTAAGACAAACATAGGGCTAAAGCAAGGTTGTTTACTATCTCCAGTTTTATTTTCGTTATATATCAATGATCTATGTGATTTTGTAGGCGGTGGATTGCATATTGATGGGTTGAATGTTTGTTGTTTGCTCTATGCAGATGACATTGTATTATTAGCAACGGAGCTCAGTACACTGAAGAAAATGATAAATAAGCTTTACAAGTATTGTCAGTTATGGAATTTGTTTGTTAACTTAAACAGGTCAAAAATAATGGTCTTCCGCAGAGGAGGTAGGCTTGGGAGAAAAGAGATTTGGAACTATGCTGGACAAAATAATAAATATCTGGGTATATATCTCACACCGCAGCTTGTTATGGAAAGACATCTTAAAGAAAAATTAAATGTAGCCAAATTTGATATTAATTCTACTTGGAAGTCTCTCTTGTCGAATAGTGATGTTCCCATTTCAGCAAAATATAATGTATTTAACTCTGTTTCCAAGGCGGTAATGTTATACGGTGCTCAGGTTTAGGGCTATAAATGGTATGACAGTGTGGAGAAATTGAACAAATATTTTGTCAAAAGGTTGTTTTTCCTAAGAAAGGACACACCTGATTATGTCTTATATTTAGAGACAGGGATTGACCCATTGTTTTTCAACACATTAAGCCTGCATCTGACATACATCCAAAAAGTTTTATCATTGTCTTCTGCTAGACTTCCTCAAATTTTGGCCTTGAAAATACTAGACAAGAAAATATTTTGGGCAAAAGAATTTGACAATTTGTGCCTACAACACGGTTTAACCCCCCTGAGTTACTCCGACATAAATAAAAATAGTGTGGAAAGCTTGGTAGATGTTTTAAGAACTGATTTTAAAAATAAACTAAAATTAAGAGCACAACGGTCTGTCTTCCATGGTTTATACAAAGAACTGAAGCTGGAATTAGGAGAAAATCACCATTATTTAAATAAAAATTATAATTTGAATGTGATAAGTGTGATAATGAAAGCAAGAGGTCAGTTGCTGTCTCTTAATTACACGGTCCACAGAAATGAGGAAGCGTACCGTTGTGCTTTGTGTAATTTAGGTGTGTATGAGGATGGCTTCCATTTTTTGGCGGTGTGCCCTATATTGAAGGAATTCAGTCTTAGGTGGTTTGGCAAATTGTTTTTAGAAAAAAATGAAGTAATTTCATTTTTGAATGGGCAGAACTGGCACAGTCTCTACAATTATGTTTTCTACTCCCTAAAATACAGAGCGTTCCTAATCGATAATTTCAATTATTAATAAAGTATTGTGTAAATTGTGACTATTTGTATTAGTATTGTTAGTATTAGTATTCGTATTATTAACATTATTAATATTATTCTATGTTTTTTCTTTTGGCAACTCGACAGACAGCCTGTGGGCTATTGTCTAGGATGTTTTATGTACTGAATATTTTTTGTAAAATAATTTTAATTGTAAATAAACATCATTATCTATCTATCTATCTACATAAAAGAAATAAATGGGAAATAGATTTGAGAAGTTTGTGACACGAATGTTTGAAGTCCCAATATCTCAAATGGTAGAGCACTGGAAAATTTACACAAAGATCGTGGGTTCGAATCCCGCCTGTGTCACAAAGTTTTTATTATGAAAAATCATGCATAATAAAGTGAGTGAATATCATGAAAATAAAAAAAGGTAATAAAAAGAAAAATGGGTACATAAATATTGTATTTAATTTACTTAGATGTCAAATATATGTTATAAATTTAATCTTCACTTGAACAAAAATATTCTCTTTAACTTTAGAAGTTAAATTTCCTCATTTAATACTAATGATGTCTGGTTTTTGGTCTTTTAGATGGTTTTGGAGTTGTTGTGCTGTTGTTTTCCTTGTGTTCATCATGTTGTTCATTGTAATTATCGATTTCAAAATAATTGTATTTTACCGAAGGGTCGCCACATTTAGGTCTTCGGTTTTTTCTGGGAAATGACCTTTTAAATTTTCTTATGCACTGTCGTCTTTTTCCTAAAAATAGCGTCAATTTTAATATTTATTTTAACAAATGTCAATAAGATCCCATTACTTTTGTTTCTTATTTTTCTACATGGTCTGTACGGACCCGAAGGGGAAATCTCACATATGAAAGGGAACCGCTTTTTACAAGGCACAGCTTTCCATTGGCGATTTGGAGTGACCACTCCACACCGTTCTTCTTTAGTGGGCTTCGGTTCGCCAGGTGCCCATGCTCGGTATTGGATACAGTTCAACGGGACATCTGATAGTTTAAACAAAAATATTTAGATTTTTAATATTATAAAAAATACAAATTGAAGAAATATTTTCATTCTATTGAAATACCCTGTGAAGTCACAAACTCGCGAGTTTGTTCATTTTCATATAAGCCGATGTATGCCTTTTTAACTTTTTGAGATGAAATCAGCGATGTTATATGAACTGTGTACATCTCTGAAGTAATGTCTGCCAAGAAACCGCCTTCTTCCTCACAAATTTCCTCTGCCTCTGTATAATTCTTTCTTTCTTTGTGTAACTGGTACACGCCAACTTTTGGAATGCAACTGACGTTTGTTTTGGCTGAAAGTGAATGTTTATAATTTAAAAAATTGTGTAATTTGCATGAATGTGATTTTCCTTACGTATTGGTCTTGCATATGAACTATAGTAATCAAATACCGTATTCCATTCTACAGAATCCATTACATCAAACTCAGGACAATCGTATACGATGCACGTTGGTCCTGAATAATTTCTGACCACTTTGTGCAGCATTTCTAAAAATGAAAATAAATAAAAGAAACCAATTTTCTTTGTTGCAGCGTACTTACCTCGTTGACTGAAATTAATAGCCATTCCTCTGTACCTTACTGCGAATTGCATACATGCTTGCAGGTCATTAATATAGCTGGATGCGATTACTTTCATAATCGATTGGGTGCAAGCAGCGACAAAATGAAACCTCGAAGTTTTGGGTTTATTATTGTGAGCACATCTTATTATAGCGAATGTCGGAAGAAAAATAAAACACAAGCAAGCTATTGTGGCCAGGTGGGTATCCATTTTACTCATGTTTGATTCCTGACACAGGATGTCCTTATCAATCATTTTGACAGTCCTCAAAAGCACAATAGTTCAGCCCAATACAACTTTTCATTTAGACAACGGTTAAATGTGATTTACTTGACCAAGGCAAAAAGTTGGGCGTAATGACAGAAAGGGTGCAACATAATGAAAGAGATCAATAATGAAGTAAATGAGGTCCCAAATATATTATAAAATAAAATGTATGAAAACTAAAGGGCTGAACTAAAATTAAATAAAATGTGGATACACAAAAGGAAACTTAAAAGAAATAGCAGGTTAAGGTGAGGTGAGATGAAAAAGCACAATGAAGTGGGACAAAAGAAAGCTGAGGTTTGGAGATAGAAGACTGGACTTTGGGATTTTTTATACAGGCTAGGAAAATGTCAAAAGAAAGAATAAAACAAACGAAGGCAAAATTCATAAATTTGTTGTGATCAAATATACTAGAGTGACATAGTATGGACATAAAAATGTTTTGAAATAATGTTTGTGTTTGTTAAATAATTTTAGACCATTTAGATACATAGAAAAATTATACAAGCAATGTTGAAGCCTGCAGAGTGATGAACTTGTAATTTGTCTAGTTTTTAATCATCCCGCTCTGCCTAACCTGTCTCCTGTTGCCTAACCTGTACATTCATTTTATAAGAGCAAAATTAGCATAATTGAAAGTTTGTGTCTGCTTCACCCAGCTTATATCACTGATCAATAATAATTTAATATAATTAGTCAATCTTCAATATTAAAAATTTACCTTGGTAAAGACCAATTGAAAAGAAACTCAGTTCCTTCCTTGAGCTTTCAGCAAATATACCCTTCATCACGACTTTAAACTTTCAATTAATTTGTAAAAAGTTAACAAATCTGAACTTCTATTCACAATTTTGGAACCTATGGATTCAAGTATAATGAAATTTTAGCTTTAGTGAAAACAAAATTAAACATGATTTGCCCATTTTATAACAAAAAATCTGTATTGAGGGTTGATGACTTATTCAATATTCCGCCATCAGCCCTCTAACACTACACATTCACGTCAATACATGTACATACAATAAAACAGCCTGTTTCCTCCAAGAATCGGAACAGGGACCCAGATACTTGCTGCCATGATCAAGCACAATTCTCATATTGGGTGGGGCATTCCTATGCACTCTTTACATGGTGCCAAGGAATGCCCTCAATCAGGTGGGACAATTTGCATGCTGGAAACATATCAGGGCTTTGGCCTAAAAGTAAGTGTCCATCCTCGCATGGCCTATTTTTAATCGGGTAGGAAGGTCCCCTCTTCGGGACAGATCCCCTGAGACCTACGCATCGACAGTGCTTTATATGTGAGATCTCTGCCCACAGATGCTGCCACTTAATTTTAAGTTCTTTACTTAATTTGACATAAATTTTTAGTGACAGAGGGTAGGATCTCATGATGGACAGGTCTGGGGGTTGAAACGTACCGACCTTAGCTGCCTAGTTCGCCTTTTCATTACACCTCCAAGCTCATATTTAATTAATTGTAAATCCAATGGGGTCTACAAGCCTTAACACCTGACGATTTGGCTACAGCAGTCCCTTACTTTTTATTTAAATCTGTTAAAGTTCTTCTTTTATGTGATATAGAAAATATTAGGTTTTCCTCAGTTTTATTGCAGGATTTAATAAATTAAATTAATTAATTTTATAAAAAGAGATAGATATAAAAGAACGTGTTTATTTGTATTTTCCAATACCCCATTTGTGTGGCTGGCCGTTACATTTGGAGCAATCAGTCCTGCATAATGGATCACATTTTTTTCTTGTTTCTGAAAGGTGAGGAATAGTTTATTATTAGGGTAGATAGGAAAAATCGTTAAATAAATGAAAAATCAACAGTTATATGCATTTATTTGTACAAGTCCATAAATTTAAAAGACAGAACAACTGATAATTTATAAATTATAAAGTACAGTAAAAGAATCTAGTTAGATTATTACAAAGCAAATTTGAAAAACTGTATATACAATGTGTAACAACAATTGACACCTTAACAATTGACTTTTTGATTGAAAAATATGATTTGTCGTCTTTTATTGACTGCTTAGGTATGAGTGCGGAATGCAATTTTCTTTCACTTCTTAAACTAACAAAAGCTAATAAGAAGTCAATAATTTACGAGAAATATAAATAAATAATTTAACAACTTGCGTGTAACATTCATCTTTGGTGTTCTATTTGTTCTTAGGCCCTAAATGTAAGTTATTGAATGACTGTATTTTGATTTTACGTTATTTTAATTTTATATTGCCTCATTTTAATTATTAATTATTAACTTTTACCATTTTAAAAAGGTGATGGCAGTTACTTACTTATCACAGCATCGATTGCTTTTACTACCTGAACAAAAATCTCTTCAGGGGTCTTTTCACCATCGAGCTGAAAGTCATAATGGTCAAAATAAGTCAGTACGAAACAATTAACACACTTACTGTGACAGTTTTTGAGGCGTAGGCATTAACAATCGGATCATTGTGCGAATGGAAAGTGTTAAGACGTTTTTTGATTGTTTCTTCATTGTCATCTTCTCTTCCTGATGTCAAAGCCCTGTGGAGGAGTCTTTTGATAAGAGTTTCATCAGATGCTTGGAAGTAGAGCACCAGTTTGCACATGCCGACCTAAATTTTAAATAAACTGCTACATTGAACTGTCTTGCTTTATGGACTTTTAATAATGAAAAACATAGCAAATGTTTAAGAGGTTTAATGAATTTTTTAGGATCAGAAATTATAGAATTACATACTCATAGATCAATGAGTAGCATTTATCCAACTAAGGATTTGGTGTTGAACCGGCACTAGCCACTTACTGAGGGTTTCCCAACTGGGAGTTTCTCAAATCACTGAAAAATGGTGCAATGCCATTGAATATGAATCAATAATGATAACAGATGGGTCCAGTAAGTGACCGGTATATATTCACCAACTCAGATCAACACCACCTTAAAATTTAAGGGCTTTATGGGGGTATGCAGTCTTTGTAAATTTGTATTAAACGGACTAGGATTGGTCCTATTAAATCTTTTTTTCTAATCCTGCATGTAAATCTGACAGATTAGGAATATCATTTGTTTACAAAAGGATTAGGATAGGTCTCAACACACTTCCTTGTGGCACCCCTGCATTAATACTCTTAAACTCGTAATAAGCATTCTCTTGGTTGATTTTAAAATGCCTATCAGCAACGTAGGATTCCAAAATGACAGAAAATTGTTCGAGTAAATCTTTAAAGACATCTTCAAAATTATAAAACAAGTAAAAGTAAATTTTTTTTAAGGTAAGGAAAAGATGAACACACTAAAAAAATTCTTATGATAGTAATTAGTGTCTATTGGAGTACAATACCCACCACAGATTCAAACTGTTGCCCCTGTTCCAATTCTCTTGGGTAACCATCGATTAGGTAACCTTTGGCTTTTGGGAGCTCGGCCAGCATTTTCTCAGCAAGCAGGCCTAAAACGACTTTCTGGAAATTATATAAAAATAAATAAAAAAAAACAAAAAAACAAGAGCCAAAACCAATTATTTATAAATACATACAGAAGAGACAAGTTTTCCTTCCTTCATCACTGTTTCCAGTGCTTTACCTCTTGCAGAGCTGGAGGCAACATCCGCTCGGAGTAGATCCCCGGTGGATATGTGGGTGAAGCCGTACTTGCCGACGATTTTGTCGCATTGAGTCCCTTTTCCGGAGCCAGGTCCACCTGTGAGCATTTTTCATCACGTTTATAAAGTTTTAAATTTTTGTTTAATTAATCTAATTACAATGCAGGATTGATAAACTTGCATGGTAGAAAATAAAGCTTCATGTTTAAGTACCTCATATCTTTAACAGCAGAGCTGTTTAATATAATTAAGGTAATATATCAAATTATTATTGTGAAAATAAGTTTTTTCTATAAACTGAGCAATTCAAAATTAAGCTTTCTAAACCAGCAAGCTTTATATTATGACTATTTAATTTAATAGCAATATGTATGGCATTTATGACCATGGAAGCATCCAATCATTAGCGTTTATAGAAAGGATTTGAGATTTTTGTTATTGTTATACTTATTATTAAAAAAAATCATTACCTTGATCTACCAAAACATTTAAAAACAGCCAGTCAGAATTGAATAAAAAGTTAATAAACATCAAATCTAGTGATCTTATCAATTATCTGGACTTTTTTCCATTTGTAACTTATTTAATAGACCATTGAGAAAATTTTTTGTAATTAGAATACACTGATTTATCACTAAATTTTGATTTTTTTGTTTTGTTTAGCAGATTCAAATAATATCTACCTACCGAGGACCCAAATAATTGGACACGTGGAGGATTTGAGAGCAGTTGTGTCTGGTATCTCAAAATCCTGAAAAATATCAATAAATGACTATATAATCACACACTACGGGTTAAAAAAATAAATAAATAAAATAAACACTTCGTTGACTTAAATTAATGCTCAAAAATAGGTATACGATTAATTTTAAAAAATTAACTTTTTTTGTTACATTTAGCCAATCTTACGGAATATTTATCAGAAGGGTTGCGCTTGGGATTGAAGATAAATTCGATTATAACGAGAACGTAACAAAATAATCCCCTGGGCGAAGACTTGGCGCGAAAAATTTTCATCTACTGATCTATATCGGTCGGGCCAAGCCTCATTTCTTATGGGTGGAGTGGTCAAGTTTCGAAAAAGGCCCTGTTTCGCAATTACTTTAAAATACACACCAATAAATTTGCCGCCGTACAGCATTTTTAGTTTTTGCAAAAAAACGTACGAACAGATTTGCTAAAAATTTTCAATTTTCTTCTCGTAATATAAATTAAATTACAAGATTGGACCCGGATAACAATAAAATGTGTGAATTAATAATATAGGCAATAAAAACAAATTAATTACATCACAGCTACTTCTTTATTTATGTGATTTTACAGCCGTACTTCTATCACAATGGCTTGGAACTTTTGCATTTTGTAACTGTCAATATCTACAAAAAGTTCTTTAACTTTATATTTGTAGGGTTATAAAAAGGCGAAATCGATAAAGTTTTAATTATTACCTCGCTTGACCTCATTCGCGCTACGTATATGGATAATTTATGAGTTTTTCATAAGTGTCTAAAACGTCTATAGGAATGACCTTTTAAGATTTTTCTTTTAGAACAAAATACTTGGCCGTACGGTTTGTGTAAGTCTTCACTTCCATGTGTTCGATTCCGATTTTATTTAACAGAGCAGCATGGAAAAGCAAGTTTATGTTTTTGTGCTGGATACAAAGATTATCTTTTTGTTTGTTGTTAGGGTTAGAGTTAGGGACGGGTTCATTAGATTAGATTGAGTTGGGGTTAGGGAGGGTTGAAGTTAAAGTTAAGGATAAGGATTCATGATTCAATGCCAGGACTCGAATAATCATCGACATTAAATTTAAAAACTAATTTCAATCAATATGCACTTATTTTAAAGCGGCCCATAGACGGTCAATATTATTGTACAATATAGTTTGCACAATAATTTGTCGGTTGCCCCTTAATGTTCAATAATATTGTACAAAATTTTGTTTGTGCAATGGACTTGAATAGTTTGAAGGCGATATTGAAGTTTGTGCAATATTTTCCACTCGGTGATACTTCACAAACTAACTGATATTGCGCAATAATGCCAACAGACGGTGCAATATTTGCCAGGCTGTACAATATATTTTCAACTTTTCGTCAATCATTCAATGTATTGCACAAACTTTCAATATCGTCTACACACGATCAATTAAATTGCACAACCCAAAATATTGTGCAATAATATTGATCGTCTATGGGCCGCTTTTGTACATATACAATTTTGCTATAACGTTTTTAATTTGAAAATATTTACTTTTAAGTGCCCTAAATGTTTTTCTCTAAACACTTGAGCTACCATGACTTCGATCGCCCATGCCACGAAGTTCTCATGTAGAAACACATTTTATTGGCGATTGTACTATATTAGCGGGACTGTGTATAATTCACAGGTGTGATTCTAGGTTAATACCAACTTTTGTATTTTTTATCGTTTTATTCTTACTTAAGTATGGACAGGGTGTTCGGCTACTCGTGTTACAAACATTGCCCGTAGACTCTAGATTCAAAATGGAACCAAAATGACCTAATTAACTATGGCCCGAATCTCAGCAGTTTCGGAGTTATTCAACTTTTTCTGATTTTTTAAGATTTCACGAGCTTGCTTCAAATAAACAAAGATAACTCCAAAACTAAAATGTTTTGGACAAATTCGTTGATTCCATTGAAAACTAAGTTAAATTTTCAATAAGATATGATCAATACTAAACTTGTAAACGTTCGTGAAATGAGTGTTTTAGTAGCGAGAACTGAATTTTTTAATTTTTTTGTTCAAAGTTGAAAAACTTATTATAGTGATTCTAAACTACTATTTCCAAACCTAGAGACCAGCAAATTTGAGAAAACGTACTCCATTTAATATCCTTTTTAGTGGTGCAATTGTTTTTTAATTATCTTTCCAAAGATGAAGAAATTGATGAAGGAAAGGAAAAACCGTGGCTGACGGATTGGTAAGGTGGAAAGACTAATAATAAAATAATAAAAAACTTAATAAAATTTTGAATGAATTTATTACACGTAGTTTTCAATGGAATCGACGAATTTGTTCAAAATATGTTAGTTTTGGAGTTATCATTGTTTATTTGAAGCAAGATCGTGAAATCGTAAAAAAATATAAAAAGTGGAATAACTCTGAAACTGTAGACATTCGGACCATAATTAATTAGGACTTTTTGGTTCCATTTTGAATGTAGAATCAACTGGCAAAGTTTGTAACACGAGTAGCCAAACACCCTGTACAATTAAGAATAAAATGATAAAAAATAATACAAGTAAGAATTCTTACTAGATTTTATCTATTGTAGATAGTTTACCCTGTATTTGTAAAAAAAAAAAAATTGGAGTGCTTTGAAAGCTGAAACCCAAAACAACCCAGTCCTTTACTGAATATTCAAAATGGGACCGCAGTACGTTTTGTCACACGATCCCAGAACTAATAGGGACTGCACCCAAAAGACATATGCCATGAGGTGGATTAAGGGGCAAGGGGGTCTCGAGGTTATCTTAAGGTAACTGGCAAGTTCTCCGGATGGGAATGTCTAGAGAGGGCTCGAGCAGTTGAATTAGGATGGATCAAGAGGTTGGTGTAAAACTTTTGGAATCGGGAACGGATCAGTTCGTTGACAAAAGAAATCTCGAGGTCGTTGAAGATAGTAGATAAGAGCTTTGACAATTTGTCTGAGGACTTTTGATTGGAAGGATTTGATTTGCTGGATGTTGGATGGCTTGGCAGAACCCCGCAGTTCCACTCCGTATCTCCGTATGTCCAAAGTCACAGTAAAGTCTTGAATAATGTTAATTTAGTTTTGACGGCCAAGACAGGTTTCGGTTAAGTTGTTGGTTTAAGTCTCGTATGGGGAATTTAATGGAAGTCAATATCTCTTTGAAGTATGTTCAATGGAGGGCAAGACTGTTTTTTCAAATGACACTGACATGAGTACATTTACCAAGGTAGTACATTGTGAAGTGGTCTCCGATTTATTCAGCGATGCTTTCTTGGCTTAGGTCGTTTTCTTGCATGACGCGGTCTACCAAAATGTCTCTTTTCGGAACCAACTTTGTGCCCACCGTCAACTTAAAGAACTTCATACATGGTGGAAGACGTTGACTACAAGTCCAGAATCGCTGCGTCAACCATCTCAACAAAAGAGAAATCCAATGGTTTAATCTACGTCATGCGCCTCATTTCGGCGGACTTTGGGAAGCCGGTATAAAGTCATTTAAAAGTTATCTTACGCGAGTTTTAGATCAACATCTGCCTACATTTGAGGAACTGAGTACGATCGCTATTCGAATCTCCCCTTCCTTCTCAACTCCCGTTCATTACACCAGGACATTTTCTTTTCGCCCCTCTATTCTGCAAGCTGGAATGAGATGGTACAGAGATTCCCAGTACGAGGCTGTCCCGACTTCATTCAATCTTGCCCTTTACTTTTTGAACCACTCTTCGATAAGGTCAAGGTATTCTTGAATGTTGGAGGTAGCTGAGATAGGATTCGAGAGGAAAAATTACGTATCGCGTAGGTGGTGATCAAGGTTTAAGGTATATAGGTAGGTCAGAAGTGTAAATGGTATAAAGGATGGTACCAAGAATGCTCCCTTGTGGGACGCCTTGTACCAGTCTGTCTTCTGAGAGTTCATTCTTGCACCTCAATCTGAAGCAGCGGTCGGTTAGGTAGGTTTTCAGGATAAGATAATAAGGAGTGGGTAGGAAGCGTTTAAGTTCCACATTAAGTGCCAGAACCTGTCATAAGCCTGTGCTACATCTAGGTACGCATCCAAGGAATACTCTTTTTTACTAGAGCACAGGTGTATCGACATCTCTGATACCCTGATGGATCGAGGAATGATGAGGAGGGAATACACTAGAAGGAATTTTATGAGTATCTAGGATAGGAATTTTGCTTGAAGGTTAATTTGAAGTAAATAACATAATTGGCCTATAAATATTTTTTCTGATTGTTTAATAAATATAGCATTTTAGCTCAAATGATTGTATTTACATAAATTATATGTGATTGACTGTTTTTTTATTCATTGGGGTTGTTATATTGAAATAAGACTTCCTGGGTCCCAGGTTTTAAAGCATTTTTGAAAGTACTTTGGGGGAAACTTTGACCGATGTGAAAGATAAAGTTCTCTTAGATTTTGATTGTTTAATTTTTAGGGTGATTAAAAAAAAAGATTGTCATTTATTTAAAACAAAACCAACTTACCAACTCAGCCATGTTTTCTTCGGACATTTTCCCTCCTGCCTGCTTCTCAGTCTAACCTGTCGACAAAACAGAGAATACGGTTCTATCAATAGAAATGAGGATATTTGGCAGAACACCCATGTAGATCCACCACAATATAATCCCTGTTGTCTTACTAGTTTACTACTCCTCCAGGTACAAAAGTTCAGAAAAGTCAATTTATCAAGAACAAAAAGAAAAAAAGTTCAATTGAAATATCGATGCCGAACAAGCACGAAAATACTTAAGAGTTGAATTACAAATTTACCAAAATATTTATAGTTTATTATATCTATGTCACGGTTTCGCGCTGTGTTATAAACGAAAATAAACACGTTCGGAAATTGTTGGCAGTTTTTCAAACGCTTTTGCCCTTGTGTTTTACATCGAGGATTGTGAATGGACGAACCGCTAATCAGCATTTTTGTGCTCCTTTATAATCACCAATCTTCAAATTTCTCTCTCCTTTTATTAAATTTCTTCTGTTCCCTTTTCCACTAACTTTTCACTAGTTTTGGGTTTATAATACCTTGATTTATCAGTTTTATTGACAATAGTTGGAATAATGATTCCTAATGCGATATTTTAAATTTATTTCAGTAATTGATTTTTATGCTAATGATCTTAACGAGAAATTTATTAAAAATATTTTATGTAATGTTCAAAAATGTAGTAATTTAATAGTTGCCGATTATTTTGGTCAAACAACAACTAATCTTGTTGGGTCGGTTGTTCAGTTTCGGTATGCCACTGTGGTTATGTTGAGCCATAATACATTTAACACTAAAAGTCTCATAAACAAATTGGGCAAAACACGAGGGTAAACGGACCCACTGCCGGTTCAACATGAATTCACATAGATCGTTTACACAGTACAAAACACTATATCCACTAAAAAGACAAAGGACCGCCTTGAATCGAAAAAACCCACACTTAATCCACCAAAGGCACCGAAAAAAGATAATGCCGATACATGCCCCACACCCGAACGTGCGTACAAAAGAGATCTGACTTCATATAAAACACAGACGCATTGGAGTGTGTGAAGTGCCAAAATTGACCGACCAACCCGAGGATAGACAAACCAAAATGATCGGTAACTACTAAATTAGTGGATTATCACCATGCAGGTAGTCACTCTCACAAGAGTATCCATACTGGGGCCCCTCATGGTACCGTGCTGGCCCCTACACTATACCAGGTTATTGCCAGATTTAGGTTACAACAGACATCCCATCACATCTTCAGATTACCACACTCACATTTGCAGAAGATACTGCGATCCTCTCTATTAACTCCTATCCTACCGTTTGCCCTCGAAATCAACAATATTCACACTTCTAAACTCTTGGTGTGAAAATAATAGAAAAAAGTTGAACACAGACAAATCCACCCATATTTCTTTCCTCCGCGTAAAAATATCTCGTCTCCAGTCAAATGAAATAATATCCCCCCAACTGAAGACCAGGTACCTCGGACGCACGTGGAATCCTCCTGAAACATCAAGAAGTCATGCCACAGAGCTCTTGCACGACTTCTTGACAAACGTAGTGATTTACCTTTTAAAACTAAAAAGCTGCTTTATAACAGAATAGTTAACCCGATAAGGACTTACGGACTGGGAGCGTGAGGTTCAGCTAAACTTTCCAACAACCGTCGCATCCAAATTGATCAATTCTTAATACTGCGAAAAATCCTTGGCTCCATTTTATGTATTGAACCCAACTACACATACAGACAAATATTACATTCTTTCAAGATGAAATCCGATCCCGATCTTGAAAAATTCAAAAACCCTCCCAACCACCGTAAATTAGCTATCCAAAAACTCCCATCAGAATTCCCTCGAACACTCCTCGCCGACTGAAGAGACGATAGCCATGAAATCTCCTACGAAGTGATATAGACACAAGCTTTAATTAAACAGACCAAATTTTAGCATCAATGGAGTACTACCAATTGGTATTTTTCGACTCTTGTCATTAATTTTGAATATATTTCTAATTAATTATGCCTATAATAAGTTTAAGTAAAAGTCCTATCATAGAGGAAGACTTAATGATTAAGTACCCAAGGGTTTCGCTTAAGAGAGGATAGGCAATTTTACAATTTTTTTTCAATTTATAAAAAAAAAATTACAAGGGTGTCCCCGGATTCGAATTCAGAACAGCTAGCGAGGCTTTTGTAAAACTAGCAAAATACATAAATTTACAATTATTTTCGCTCATTCCTTCACACTTGAAGCCTGTTGGCGTTTGACCAATGATTTAAAAAAAAAAATTTTGCGTTTGCCAGATTATTGAGCATAAAACCGAAGTCCTAATCAATTCCTAATAATATTCCTTGTTATTATAATAATATTCTTTAGATATTTATTTTTCCTAGAATGATTTTATCAGTAAATTTTAATTTCCATGCATGTACCATTTAATGCCATATGTGTCTTGAAAACGTACAATTTTAACCTGCGCGATTGAAATTTTTAAAAAGTTAATCGTATTTTGATCGAGTTTGACATCGTTGAAGCAGAAGGTTTGAACTTCGCGAAAATCGTTTAAAAATGTTTACAAAACACTTTCCTTCAAAGCTTACCCGTGGACCTCAACGACAGAAAACGCTTCGAGAATTCTGCAGAAAATTTGTCAAGACGAGTCCATAACCGTCTCTAAAGGATGCTGGTCAAAGAAACCTTCAAGGACTGGGAGAACGTCCGAATAAAGACTTCTTCATCATCTACCTTGTACATCTAAGCTCGTTTGGTCGCGTTATGGGTTGCTTTCCGAATATGTTCAAAACCCTGGTGAGATGTGGCAAAAATTGTTTGACATGTCTGAAGCGAACTCGGTCGCTGTCTGACGTATTGGACACATATTTATATAACAGATGCTTCCCTTTCTTTTTCTCAGCGAAAGTTTAAAGATAAAGCCTGAAATATATAATTGTACCTATTGCACTTATATAGTAGTTTTCTTTAAGTTACATTTTTGCAATAGAAAGTAATAAAATACTAAAGATATGATTGAGCTGTTTAATAAACTTAGTAAGCATTGATCTTTTAAGCCAGCAACAACAAAAAGAAGAAATAAAAGATTAAAAGGGAAGAAATTATGTAGGTCGATAGTATTGTTAAACCAAGCCAAACAATATTTACTTAACAACATATGATAATATTTGTTTTTTTATTGTTGATGCTAAATCAATTTTGTTATGAAAGAAAGACAAAGTGTACGTTGTTGTTTATCTCACGAATATCTGAGTACGCCCCAGTGTATGTACAAGACCTTGTGTGCATCCTTCTAGTTGATATTCCAAACATCAGAGCAAACTTTATTTTTGTGTAAACGAAAACTTTATTTTAATTTCACTCTCTGCGTCCATGCAACATGGTTCCTTTTTTTGTCGCGTGTTTCGGACAAATTAAAATTCAATGTCGAACACTTGCCATTTAACAATGATGAAGTCGTGTAAAGGGCGTTTTTTCTGGGGCAGTAAATAAACTCAAAACAAGACTGAGAGAAAGATAGAAAGAAAGAACGAAAGAGAGAAAGAAAGAGAGAGAGAGAGAGAGAGAGAGAGAGAGAGAGTGTGAGTGAGAGATGGAGGGAAAGAGAAAGAGAATGAATAATCTAAAGAGATAGAGTGATTGAGAGGGAATAGAAAGAAAAAGAGAGAAAATGGAATGGGAAAGAGCGAGTAAGAGTGAAAGAGAGAGAGAGAGAGAGAGAGAGAGAGAGAGAGAGAGAGAGAGATGAGGAGAGATAGGGGTGAAAGGTAAAGAATGATAAGGAGTGGGAGTGAGAGCGTGAGATTGAAATAGATAGATAGATAGAGAGAATTGGAGGAGGAAGAAAGAGAATGAGAATGAGAGAGACAGAGAGAGAAATAGAGGTAATGAGAGTGAGTTAGAAAGAAAAAATAGTCAGGAGAAGGGGTAGGAGAGAGCGAGTGAGAGTAAAAAAGTGAGAAGGAATGACATTGAGATAGAGAGATTAACAGACAAGGAGAGAGAGTGGGAAAGAGAGTAAGAGAGAGAGAGAGAGAGCCAGAGAAAGAGAGGGAGGGAGAGAGGGAGGGAGGGAGGGAGAGAGAGAGAGAGAGGGGAAGAGAGTGGGAGGGAGGGAGAGAGAGAGAGAAGGAGGGAGATGGTGAGAGAGATAGAAATAGGGAGAGTTGGAGGAGGAAGAAAGAGAATGAGAGTGAGAGAGACAGAGGGAGAAATAGAGGTAATGAGAGTGAGTTAGAAAGAAAAAAGAGAGTGGAGATGGACTACGAGAAGCGAGTGAGAGTAAAAAAGTGAGAAGGAATAACATTGAGATAGATAGAGAGATTAATAGACAAGGAGAGAGAGAGAGAGAGAGGGCGGGAGAGAGAGAGGGGTGTGAGTGGGAGGGAGGGAGAGAAGAGAGCGAGAGAGGGAGGGAGAGAGAGTTAATACAATTAGACACATGCATACATAAAGAGGGTTGCTGTATTTCACTAACCTAACAACGGAGTGGGACAAAGTACATATTTTGCAGAGATTATTACCATTTTACATGAATATTTTTAAGAGGACCCTTTCTAAGTTTTTAATATATTAGTTAAGTTCCCGGGAAGATTAGGTTTTTATTTATACAAGAGATAAAAAGTAAATATTTCTTATCTCATAGAAATATGTTTAATGTCACTTTTAACTTTGCTGTTATACAACATTTATTTTATTGCATACATCTGAGGTTTTTTTTTTCCAAGAGAGTGGGTAGGGTGCAGAGACTGATTTAACCGAGGCCTTGGCCTAGTGCCCTTCAACGCAAACACCCCTCTTGCCCAAATTCTACTTAGTGCGGCTTTATTTTGATAAACTTTAAACCTCCTTATTCTTTGAAACACACTAATCAGATTAAGAATTTTTCTTTTATGTTGATGAATATTATTTAAAAAAAAGTATAATAAGGCGGTAGTTAACAAAATCTATACTGTGCGAATTTAACTTGTTTCGAGATTTATGTGTTTAAAAAAATCTAATTTTTATGTATGAATTTTCAGTCTTGCTAACAAATCGGAAGATGAACTCACCTCGACAACCCTCTCCGCCTGCGAGCTCGGCCGAACTGAGGAGACAAAAATTGATGCCAGCTCCTGTTCGATATTCGACGATTCTACAGAGCGCTCTGCGGAAAATCGGCCAAGCATGGACACCCACCACCCCGAACAAACAACGCGCGGTTTATCCAAAACGATGCTTTAAAAAGTTTAGTCTTTCAAAAAATTATTTTTTTTGTCAAAATAAATTTTAAAAAGCTCTCACACGAATTAGTTCTATTATTATCATTTTACGGGGCTGCCAACAATGAAGTCATTTCAGTCTTCCTGTATTGTCAAACCTACCACAAATTCTTTGTGATGTACTCGATATTCCGCCGTCGTCACAGCCATTAATCACAAACCCACAATATTAATTATTACATACAAGTACATACCTAACATAAATATATAAATATACATATACGCATTTAAACTCGTATATATTGAAATATACACACGGACACCACAAAGTACATGCAATTCTATATGTCAGAAAACACCCCCGTTTCATTTAGAAAGTGATACAAGGGAGCCGACAATTGACCCGCCCGCCCGAGAACCAGCTTTATGTCAGCTAGGTCATGCCTACTCGCTCCCTGTAAGGAGCTAAGGCTTTGCACCCTTCGATCAGATATGACGAGCTGAGCCACCTTTGGCTAGGGACAAATCTAAGCGGAAAAACGAGGCGGAATTTCACTCCCGCAATTTTGCGCCTCCTTGTTCAAACTAAATATTAGAGATATTAGCTCCGCTTCTCTGCCAAATTTATATATTTGTTCTGAGCTTTTTGCTCAAAATCTGCATATTTTTGAACAGATAGCAATAAATAGAAAAACTTTGCCGCAAATATTCGCCTATTTTAATAGCTAAAACTTCACAATATGAAATTCATTTTCATTTTTCTCTTTTTTTGAAATATCATTTACATAACATCCAGTTCAGAAGTATTCAATAAACAGGTTATCCTTTTTAGATGAAAAAATACGTGTTTAATAGTTTTTAGTTTAGTTTTACAGAAACACTTAGATGTTTGAAGGAGCGAAGAATTTTTAAAAAAATGTAACCGTTTATTAATTACAAACGTGCGTACCCACTACTACCAGACTAATTAACACCATCCTAAGAAATACATTAGTATTTTCCATAATGTGGTTCATAATTTTCTTCTTTCGGTTGTCGTTGGTTGTTTGGATATTTCTTAGAAAACTGGTCTTATTGGATTTAGACAAAATGAGGAGCATTAGAGCCTAAATTCCAACTTTTCTTTACTTCCATGAACTTTATGTTCTTTAATAAGATTTTATCAGTCAGTCAAAATGAGCCGAAGGGTGCGTTTTTTTTCGTAAAAAACAGGTTGATGTTTACAAACTTCCATTGAATGTGGCGGAATTTCTCGTACTGCAGACGAGTTGTACGCCCAGAAATTCTTCTGGTGAACAAAAATTCGATTATTCTTATTGCATACAATGTAAGGATACCAAGAGTACAGATCTCCTCAGGACAACAATTTTAAATCATATCGCCCTCAGGGGCTTCGGAACTGTGATTTTCATAAACGGCTAATTTTCTTTTCAGACATGTCGAATTGGGGTTCAGAAGAAGATATTCTCCATTACATCCTATGGACTGAGTAATCAAAATTCACCACAAATGGTATTCTTAGTTGCTGGGATTTTCTAACGTGTGCACAGGAAAATCTCCGCATCAAGTATCTAAATTTTAAGTTTACTGTATTGAAGTACTCTGACAAAAAATATTATAAAAAAAGATTATTTGGAGATCGTGAGATGCGGTCTGGTGTGGCGTAGGATTAGAAAAACATTTTCTTCATCAAGAATGAATCAATCGTCGAATTCTTGATGAAGAAATGTTTTTTACGTCACACCAGACCGCACCTCACGATCTCCAAATAATCATTAACTAACGGTCACTAAACACCGCACATTATAAAAACGGGTAAAAATCCAAAATAATTTTTTTTGGTTTTTCGATAATGTTATCTGTTCGAAAGAAATTCAGCCGGACCATCTAAAAAGTGTCATGTATTTGTTAATATTAAATTTCCGACGTTATACAGTTTTGCAATGTGCAGCGTTCTTGCATGTTTAGTCTATACCACGCCTTAAAATAAACATTCCATTTACTTACTATCTTATCCTCTCAATCTTTAAAATACCGATGATTTCAAGGTACCCAAGGCACGTATCCCTTTTATATTGTTAGCATTTTAGCCGGCGTTCCCCAGGGAAGCACGCTTGCTCCCTTACTTTACTACATTTTTACAGCTGACTTCCCATTATATACCGACATCTTAACCCTCACATACGCTGATAACACGACAATCCTCTCCCCCAAAAAAGATCCCGGTACTTCTGTCGGCAACCTCCAATCCCATCTTCATATGCTTGAAACTTCGACAGTGGAGGACCAAGGTAAACAAAAATCTAAATACGTAGTTGTAAAACTTAATGGTAAAACTCTCCCACCTGTCTATTTATACATCCCAGTTCCACCAGCGAATAGTATACGATATTATTTAGTTATTCAGATATCGTGAGATGCGGTCGGGTGTGATGTAGGTTTCAGAAAAACATTTTCTTTATCGTGCCAACGTTTCGATCTTTTATTTCTTCAGGGCCTGGGATTTACAAACAATATTTACATTTAACAAATACATTTAGGATGTGGAAAAGTGAATTTATACAATGCAAAATATATTTTATATTCAAACAAAGTATTTCTACTCACTCGAAGTGTTTGTCTTCTGTGTAAATCTGTCTTTGCGTGTCGTGTTGAGAGGGCCAGTGAGATTTTGCTGTTTTATATTTATATATGTTTGGTTTTGAAGGGGTGGGGAAGGAAATCGGTATATAAAAGACAATTTTGTGTAAGGCGTCGGCTTCTTTGAAGTGAAAAAAGCCGACAAAGGAGAACAATGTGTTGGTAATAGTTCGGCCAGATTATCCTTTCAGGATTATATAGAAAGAGGATAAATAGGAATAGGAAAGCTAAATTGTTGGAACAATTGGACTATGTGAAAAGTATTTGATGTGTGGAATGTACTGTAAGATGTATGTTATCTATATTGTATTTGATTAATGATATTGGCGTAGCTGCGACTGAGTTTACATGCATCTGTTCTGTAATTGATGCTGTGTTTATCTCTGTTGATATAAACCATTTCTAAGAAATTACGTTTATATTTGTTTTGTTCTGTATGTAATATTTTTGGATTTTTGAAGTCAAAATTGTGTTAGTGTTCAAAGTGGTGGGTAGCGAGTGCTGTAGGATTTTCCTTGGGTTTTTTGCAATCATAGATATGTTGCTTTACTCTCTTGTCTAGATATTGGGATGTAAGACCGATGTAAGTTGCCGGACAGTTTAAACAGTTGATCTTGTAGATTACGTCAGATTTATTTGTTATTGGTGTGGGATCTTTAACTTTGGAAAAAAGTGTTTGGATTGTTTTATAATTTTTGAAAGCTATTTTGAAGTTATCGGACGAGAGAAATGTGTTTAATTTATGTAATAGGCCTTGAATAAATGGTATGGAAATGTATGCTTGTTTGTTTGTATTTGATATACTTAATGTAGTATTATTAGTAATAGTGGAATGTGTTAGTGTTGAGTTGTAGTTGTTGACTATTCTGTTAATTATGTGCTTAGGGTAGAGATTGTTATGGATATTATTTAGGTGGAATCCACACACTCGGCTAAAACGTATTGGCTGTAACCTTCGATATAAAATGCTGAAGAGTCTATTGACATTACTGAACAAAAAACTATTGTACACTACCCTATTTGTTCCAATTTGGACATACGGACTTGAACTTTACGGCCAAGCCTTAACATCTTAACAAAATCCAATCCCTACAATCCAAAATCCTTAGTTCATTCTATCTCACTAATTACACTCCGATTTCAACATACCCTACGTCTCAAAACCAAAGTCCCGCTACAAAAAATTTCACTCCAACTCTCCCATGACAACACGTTAATACACAACTATTCCTTCCACCCTCTTAGAAGCGCGGGTAGCCTGGCAACCATCTGATTTTGTAACTTCGGCAATTCTAGGGACTGCTGTTGACTTCACGCCATAATGGCCAATTAGGGCTATTTTCACTGGATGGTGGCTGTTCAAATCAATCACGCCAGACTACATAAGCATACAGTATTGTGTATGTGCATGTTTATATCTATATCATTGTATACATAAAGTGGGAAGTTTATGGGTCGACAAACAGCTAGGTCGTCGCCGGCCCTCTGCTTTTTTTTCTTCTTTTTCTCTTATTTCGCGCATATTTTGTTTTAAACTGGAGCCATTTGAGCGTCTCTCGACTGACGCTCTGATTTCAAATGTATACTACGTTGATATCCTAGAATGCTAGCCTCTCGTTTGTACCTCAAGTTGTAAAATACAAAATAGAAACAAAAAATACAATACATATATATACATGACCACAAACATAGATGTCTGGTCTATGTCATTGTAAATATCATAATTTTTGCTTGTTGCATTTTGAGGTCTAACAATCATAAAACTATTGTTCTTTTGATAAGTAAAATAATGGTCAAACCCGACTCACAATTAAATTGGTATGAACTTTTACTTGTAGACAATCCGATGGTTGTTAGATTTACCGAATCGGGCCGAGAGAGTTTGGCAATGGCTCAGCAATTTCCAAATCGGTTAATAACCGAACTTCCTAAACAGACAATGAGCCTTCACGGAACAGCAATTTCTGCTGAATCGCGGCTTTTGATGCAAGAGTTTTTCAATAAAAAAACAACAACAATTAAAAGAATACTTAAAACTTTATTTGATACGGGTTGTTAGAATGATGATACAGTAATCTTCATTTTGCAATGCTATGGACTTTTTCGACGATCTCTTCTATTACATTTTCCGGCTCTGATGTTCCGTCCACCTGAAAAAAAATTAAGACAATGGATCGCTTATTATTTCAACATACATCAATTTTATTGTTCCTTATTTTTTGTCAGAATGTTGACACGATTTTTGGTTCGTAGGTTGAAAAACAGTACGCAACAAAAATTTTACCAGACGGTTTATACAAAAAGTTAACAATTTGGAGGATTGAAGTTTGAGTCCTAATTCTCAAGTTAATAATTTAGAGGATTGAAACTTGAGTCCTAATTCTCAAGTTAACAATTTAGAGGGTTGACGTTTGAGTCCTAATTCTCAAGTTAACAATTTAGAGGATTGAAGTTTGGGTCTTAATTCTCAAGTTAACAATTTTATGTACTATAGGCCACATTAAAAATCCTGATCTGAAATTTTAACAGCTCCATCAACTCGATCTCGCTACGTTGCATTACTCAGATTATTCCGGTTATTGATCAGCGAATAAAGAAAACGAAATAACCTGTCAAAGACCTTTGATTTGTAGCACTCATCGGCAGATTAACTAGTTTTAATGTCAGCCTTTTTAATTTCACCTAACTAGATCTAACTAGTAGATTTTAACTTTGAACAGTTTATTAATTTAATAATAAATAAATAATAAATTTAACTTTTATTTAATTTTCTTTGTATGAAAAGGAAAGAAGGCTTTTGGGAGTGCTAACTGTGGGTCGCTGCGTTTTCCCTAGGAGTTTCCTCTCTGAACATCGTTGTAAAGGACCCACTTTTCACTCCCGGCTATCAATCTTTTCAAAAATGTGTCATTTACATGGCGTTTTAGGAAGGGATCACAGATGAGGATGAGAGCCAATATGTTATTCTCAATCAACATGTGAGAACACGATAATCTGTGCGACAATTATAACCAGCTACTCGGATACGTTGAAAAGCTTGTATGAGAAATTTCAAGTGAATTTGTCTGGAGTTGTTGAGTGTGAGCTGTACAAAAGCTTGAATTTGATTGCCAACTTTGAAGGACGAAGGCATTGCATTTTTCAAATCAAAATTCCGCATCTGGAGCGCTTATGGTCACTGCTTTGTCGTAAATAATCATCAACGTACACAGTCTCAAATTTTCAAAGCGGTTTGAGCTGCGGTTTTCCATTTTGGTGTAATAAAGACACAATTAAATGAGGAAATCCAATATTTTATTTTCGATCAGTGCCTGCCAAAATTTGTTCATTCAAAAAAGAATATTTGCACTATAATGTTGAGTATAATTATATAAGGGTAAAGAGCTTTAGAATACAAGGTTTATTGCGTTATTGTTTTAGTTGGCTACTCAGTACTTCCAGGCCAGCGGAGAAGCAAAGAGAGGTTGGGTTTAATTGATGACATTACGTATCATAATTGATTTTGAAATATAACTGAATATAAAAATGATTGACTACCTTCATAATTGTTTTGTGCTTGGCAAATTGAAGGACGCATTTTTGAAAATTGTCGACTTTCGTCTTGACGACAGACGGTTCGTCGCCTTCTTCAGCCAGTGCCGTCATCAACTCTTCACCTGTCAGCTCACAAAACACGACCAAACTGACTGGGCCGATCTGAAAATCAAAATGAATCCGCTTCATTTTATTTACTGTTGCAATTCAAATTTAAAAGTTTGACAGTCTGTCAAACATCGATAAAAAGTATTCAAATGACTGCAGAACAAATATAAGCTGTATGAGCTTCATGCGGAAATTAATAAATATTTCCACAAATGAATTCTGTACATTGAAAAAAATTAGTTACCGATGAATTTTTACCATTAATTGAAAACAGAAATGAAAAATAGATTTGAGACTAATGCTATTTAAATTATCCCGTTCCATGAAAATGTCACCTTTGATGTATCGCCTCGATAAACAATATTGTAAGGTCAAAGAGTTCGTAAATGATTTATCGTTTTACTCACTAGTCTTTGAAGTTGCCAGGCTTGTTCTCTGTCTCTCGGTATCCCATGGAAAACGATCCCTTTCACCCCTTCTAAATTTTCCAACACAAATTCAGCGACCAGATCAAGGATTACACTCTATAAACAAAAATGGCGTTTGATAAAAAAAGAAAAAAAAACAGTTATTGCATTGTCTGTCTATTACGGGACAGATGTTGCTTTTGTCTTCCACAACTTCCTTGATGATCTTTCCCCTTTCCGACTCGGCGTCCATCTCCGTCTGTAAGAGAGAATCCTCAGTGACCAGAAGAAATTCCAGTTTTTCTGATATCAATTTAGCCAATGCCAAAGTCTTTTGACTATTTCCACCTGGACAAATTTCCACTTCGGTTCTGACTCATTGCACTCGACACAATTTCACTTACCGATGGTCCATATATTGAGGAGTTTGGCTTTCTTGATAGGTTCCGTGTCATACTTCTTTCTTAGCTTGACAAGATCCACCTGCAATATTCGATAATTATTTTCCTAGTAAACACCGTCCAGTAAAGTACTTACATTTTTCGGATGGTCTTTGGAGTGTCCACACCCCATGTTAGTGACTGAATGCTTCACCATGGAAGTGCACGGTCGACGCTTCATTAACCCATATCAGGAACGACAATAGTACATCCCTACCCAGTGTCACATTGCCCTAGAATCCACGCTCACTTCCTTTTTGCATTTAGCAATAGACAAAACACAATTTTTGAACTTAAGTATTGAGTTGTTCATGTCTGATTGACAAATTGAAGTAAGATCAAAATAAAGTATAGTTAGAATAATTGATCCATCATGCAAATATCTGATCTGCTCAAATTATCTTTTCTAAAAGACAAAAAATCGACGTTGTGCCCGATAGATGGAGCGAATGTGACCAGCTTCCGGAAGAACTTTTTCAATGACCTTGGAGCAGTCAAAGATCCGTTCTGTATGATAATCAGTTCGGTTCAGGTATGGGCGTTGATTTCCCCCAATACTATAACTGAGCGTCTTTGAAAAAGCTGTGACACACGTATGGCACATGAAGCAAAGCGTTCTTCACGTATTGTCGGTACACGGTCTTGGTCATCTTGTCACACACCAAACCGGCACTCAACTGTGAACAGAACAGCCCCCCTTGTTCAAAGGTCCTAGTGAGATGCTGATTTGCTAATCAGTCTAACCAGTCGTGCCTAACCAATTGTTGAGAACGTGATGCGAGACTTATACAGACTAGGCTATTCTCATTTCTAATGACTGTTTTAGAGCTCACCTTTACATGAGCTGTACTGTTTGGAGTTGACTATCTATCAAGGATAATGCGGTAAGGGCAATAAAACGATCTCTAGCCGACGTACATCGCTGTCGACCATTACCTTCTCTTTGATTGACTCTTCCGGTGGCCCTAAATCGCTGACCATCGCGGCTCACCCTTAGTCCTTACTTTGGCTGTGTAACGTCCGTCGTTGGACAAATCTGTTTTTTAATCTTAAGAGTATAAAAGGATTAGTAACACTCTATAAAGGTAAACAACAAATTATTAATCCTTTTTGGCCTAATGTTTTCTTAGAGCAAGACGAACGTGATGAATTTTTTTAAAAGATTACAATTAAGTAAGGTTTTTAGTTGAGATAAAAAAGTCAATGGCACGAGCGGGATTCGAACACACGATCTTCGGCTTGATACGCCACTGCTCTACCACTTGAGCTATCGTGACCTCGATCCACTCGGACACCAACTTACCATCTCAACCGCACCTTTTGAATTTTCCCTCCTTTTTGCCATTTTTCAAAGGTTTTTTATTTTTTAAAAGGTTAGCGATAGAAAGATTAGATTAGCGCCAAATAAATCAGTGTTGCTAATACACGGGCGGAAACAGAGCTGGAACAACACTGCGCTCGCCCTAAACTCACGGGATTTCCTGCTAACCTTAAACAAAATTAGTTAGCATTGCTCTTAAGCAACTTTGGCTAAGAAAGGGTTAGATTATAAACTGGATATGAAAATTTGTATGTATGGCAAATGTAATAATCGATACAAGATACAGCGGTGGGGTGATGAACCATTTTGGAAATAGATATTTCCAGGATGGAGATTTTAGATTGGCGCTTGGAAAGTCAGTGTTGGCAATACACTGGATGAAACAGTGAAGGAAAAACACTGCACCCATCCTAAACTCATACGATTAGCTAATCTTTGGCAAATTGGCTAAATTTGTGTCGCTATGAGGAAACGTTGGGCAAGAAAAAATTAATGTTGTGTTTACGTTTTAAGTAAACTATTAATCTAGCTATCATGGACAAAACAACTAAATCAAAGCATTTAGTTTTTTTAATCTTTGAGTAGATTTTGCCAATTTTCAGTAGTTTTGTCTCTGTAGACAAATGCTTATGTATCATTGGTGTTTATGAAATGTACCCATGATTAACTCAGATTTTTTTCAACAAAGTTTTATTTAAAAAGTTGACAATCATGATTGCGTACAACCACGTAGACGATACATCAGAAAATACAAATCTCTCTTATTTTTAGAAACTATTTGGTCAAAATAATTTTTATCTTATTGAAATTATAGTGTAAACACTCAAAAATGCATTTAAAAGTTTTGGAAATTTAGTTACACTCCAATACATAAATTGGTCATAAGCTCTATACTAATTTTCCAAAGCCATGAATTTAACAAATAACTGTTTGAAAACGAGTACATAAATCTGTTTACATGATATAAAATTATTCCATTTAAATAAATTCATAATAAAATTTATACAATGATAAGTGTACACGATAGCAATATCAATAATGACTCGTTACATTTTCATGTATGACAGTGCGACTTTAATTCACTTGAAACAGTAACGCATGAGCAATATTTGTATTGGGAAAACGTTTTTTACATAAAAAATATCAAATATACTTTGAATTTCAAACAACATTTAATTACTATAAGGTGGTAACTTTTATAAACCAGAATTATAATTTTCTGTAACAAAGAAAGGCACTTTTTTGATTTACTTACTTATCAAGTACTTACATAAGGTTCTTATTATATAATAATAATAATATCTTATAATGAACTACATTTACCAAATTAGGCTCAATTTTTAAGGGTTACGTTTTAGTTAGAAGTTGTGAACTCTTGAATACACTGTGAATTTTTCTTATTAAACAAACAAACTAACGATAATATATTTGTATAGTACACTCTAAGAAAATATTTACATTATAGAAAAATAATTTTCTTCCCAACCGAAACTTTTAAGTTATTAAATATTCCGTAGGCCATTATAAATCGACTACTAAGCTTTATCAATTATCACAACGCCGAAGTACAATAATCTATTTCACGGGCCGATTCTGTAACACCGGAAACTCCTTAAAGTCAATGCAGGACTTGAATTTAAAGTATGGGAAAAAATCCCAAATGAAAACTCAACCTAAATGTTACAAATAAAACCAAAGTATACATATCAGCGTCCAAATGAACGAACTTAGGAGAATCTGAAAATGATAAAATATTACAACTTGATAAAACTGTTACATGTTAGAATCGAGACGGTAGGTCTCGACTTGTGCGTACATATCGCGGATAGCATCCCTGGACGGCCTGTCCCGCCCTTGGTTGATGTTGTTGTAAGCGGCGACAGTTTTGCTGATTGTGCTGATGCCCTCGTCTTCCGACTCAAGGTCTTGAAGAAGGTTTTCGTAATCTCCGTTGGCCACAGTCTCCGGCACGATGAGGCCGTTGGCCTTACGCAGCCTGTCCACCTCGCCAAGTATGATACTGCCGAATTCGTCCTGCACTTCTGGAAGGTCCGAATCACCGTCGACCTGAAGGCAAGAATTTGATTCAACAACTAAATTTGAAACGTGGAAAAGAAATGGAGAATCAGACTCAACGAAACTACATCCAAATTAATAACCATTACCCTCCGCCAGGTTACCTCGCAACCAATGTACTCTTTGGTTTCTTTCATCGACAAAAGACATACATGGACCCTCCCACGCTTGGCTTAAAATAATTGAACTGAAACGATATAACTCCTAAAAGACAGCTTGGCAACAGGACAAAATTCAGTACAAAACTAACGATTCTTACACATTACTAATACAAGTACGGACATAATGAGTTTAACTGTACCTTCATCCAAGCCTTCCAACCTCCAATGCATCTTAGAAAAATTCCAGTCCTTTATCTTTCAAACCAACCCAAGCTCCGTACTTACAATCGGTATCCAATCTTCCTATCTACCATCAAATTCCATTTGTCCTTGAAATCACAAGATTCCATATTGCAATGGACCCTCATCTCAAACACCTCCTGACATCGCAATGGCGCCTAAAGCGCCAATATTTTTTCTCCCTAGAGAAAAAAGTGAATAGTGTTGCGGTATAAGTCAAACTAATGGGTTGATTATGAACTTGGATAGTAGGAAGTCATGGGTTATATTCCTCACTGCAGCCTTCTGGCTTACTGTACTTTCCTAGTCTCTTAGTTCAGGGCAATGGGCTTGATCCTTCTTATAAGAAGTACAAGGTCATTAAATGTCGTCCCTGCAATTCCTTTCCGTGGGTTTTCTTTGCATTTCCAGGTTATGTCTCCATTGAGCGGTTGCTTCGCATTCGAAGATGATAAGGTGGCTGTTTCGTCCTAAATGTATAACCTATAAATGGGGTGATAATGCAGATGTTTTCTCAAATGTATATGGTCCTCTGCGTTTTTCCCTCTTTAACTGCCGCAGTGAGTTTGCCGTTTTTGATGAGGAATGAGGATGAGGAAGAAGGTTTAACGTAGTTTACTGTCTCTATGACCCCTACCCACAGTGGACACCTTCCTTGTGGTCCCAGGCAAAGTCCGACCATCAACCCTGGTGCCTGGGGGGGGGGGTAACCAATGAGGCAAATCCCCCCCCCCACTTACCTTCCTATACCCTTCCTTTCCCAATTTTTCTTTCTCTTCCTTACACCCCTTTCTCTTCCTGGGTTACTGAACCCGCACCCCTCAGGCAACGGGTGCATCAGTAGGGGGTTCGTATGAACTCAGTCTTACCTTAAAAATAATACTGAACCAAGGGAGTAGAGTATACAAGCGACTACTAATTGAGGTTGGACTCGTGGTGGTCGTGGTTTATAAACAAATTGTACCTTAGCTGGCCAACCAAATGCCTTCTGTATCTCTCCGGGGGTGGTGAAAGGCACGGCTGAAAGGCTGTGTCAGAAACCATAAAACTGCCTTTTTCAAAGCAAATGTATGGATGTGTCCTTTTTAGGGCACTTTTGAACTTGGTTAACGATGCACCACCTCGGATGTGATAAGTCCATGCATGTAAAATCTTCCTGGTGTTCTCTTTGAGGGCGTCTGCGAAGTCCTCTCGGGGATAAGACCGGACGTTAAAGATACTCATGGGTCTCTACACTCATGAGTAAAGATGCGAACATCTGTCTCTACGACCTCTACAGTTTATTTACGACTCCTTTTGTCTTGTTTGAATCCATTCAGTGGTGGACGATTTTATGTTTGTTCCTTTTCTCCCAAACCAATGGGAACTTTAGTGTTTAAAATTCAATATCAGGACAACAAAGTATCTTCTAGTTAATCCGTATTTGCTTAGTGGTCATAATTGACCATATTAATTATACCAATTAATTATTATTTTTATTTAAAGTTTATCATATCAACCAAAAACTTCAGATAAAAAAAATAATTAATTAAAGTTTCTTCTAGTGTTGTACAAAAATTAAAAAAAATTAATTTATTTTAATGAATTGAATGTTAAGTTTAAAATCGATCGTTCTTACAATTTGCAGTCTGCCTTCTTCGTCAAGGGTCTTGAGCATTGGGAGCGTCTGCTCCCTGAATACCTCCAATCTTTTCCTAAAAGCAGACACACTGTCGTCAACTCTTCCTCTTCCCAGTTGAAGTTTGGAACAGTCCAACAGGACCACTTTCGGCTGTTGCTTGTACTGAAAAAAAAGAAAAAAAAAGAAAGATGTTTGTTATTCTATGCAAGGTAAAACATGATGAGATTCAATACAAGCTGCCTGTGTCGAGAAGATCTTTGTACTTGAACTGGAGACCATTGAAACTTACTGAAACAGACTTTTTTACGCTAAGAAATTCTTGTTTACTTGTTAAATATATTTCAGAATTTTGGTGTGCAAACTAGTGTTTTTTTATAGCTGTGCAATTTACAGATTGTCTGGCATCCAAAACTGGAGACCATTGAAACTTACTGAAACAAACTTCTTTACGCTAAGAAATTAATGTTTACTTATTAAATATGTTTCAGAATTTTGGTGTGCAAACTAGTGTTTTTTTTTAGCTGTGCAATTTACAGATTGTCTGTCATCCAAAACTGGAGACCATTGAAACTTACTGAAACAAACTTCTTTACGCTAAGAAATTAATGTTTACTTATTAAATATATTTCAGAATTTCGGTATGCAAACTAGTGTTTTTTTATAGCTGTGCAATTTACAGGTTGTTTGTCATCCAAAGTTATTCTTGGAATTCAACTAAAGTCTGCTTGAAACAGGTCGACTTATTAATAAGCTCATGTAAATAAATATATTTCATAACGAGCACATTTTTCGATTCTCACGGGCTCTTAATTGAACCCAGATTATTTCGTACCAAAATTTGAAAGCTTACAAAATAAATTCAGACAGCTGATTAAATTAAAAGTTCTTTTGCACAATTGCAAACGTTTACTAATGTCGTGTCATATTGATCTTGCCATTAGGCATTCAAGGTTATTGCGAAGTAATAAATGTTCTTTAGTAAACAAATCTAAATATGATTGCGTTCTACGAAAAAAAGACAGAGAGGAACATCGATGTATTCATTCGGTTCATCAATTGTTATAATTTTTAGTCCATTATTTAACCAATCACTTGGGTCTTGAGACGATTCACATTGGGGATTTATATTTTGTAAAAAAAATTAATATTTATAATTATCTAAAACCGTAATTTCTATATTCAAAATAAGATTTCTACCTTTTCTTCGAAGTGTTTCACTTGTTCCATGTTTCTAGGGTAACCGTCCATGATGATCCCTTGTGCGTTCATGTTCGTAGTCATTTGAGACTCGACGAGCTGGAGGGCGACAGCCTGGAAAAACCGTAGGCGGTTAGGGGGACTTTACGACTTCGTCTCTCGTCCGGTGCGAACTGAACATTCGTGTGCGTTAAAAAAAAAATAAAACGGTTCGATATAACTGTTAGCATGTAATGTCCAGTAATTGTATCATCCATCGGCTAAATGCTATTGACGACCCTAGCCTTGCTCCCACGCAAATAAACGTATATACATTATTGATTTCATTGCCAAGTTCAATTTATATTGTAGAAACAAGTGCACAACTTAACGTTTTGTAAAAAATATTAAAAAAAAAATCTAGAATTTTATATGTAAAAATAAAATAAATAAAAAATACATGCATTACATGTCAGCTAATGAGAAAGGTTTAATAAAAACTTAGGTAATTATTTATTTACTTGAAGTACGATAAAAAGGATGTTTCGGTAAGAGGTCTACTAGTGAATATTGGTACTTTGGTATGAAATACCTGCGGGACTAAATGGCCTGATGCTATGTGCTGCATAATCATCCCCGAATCTGCAGCTTGCCTCGGATCCGTGGGCTCTGATGCCACTCTGAGGAGTCTCCCTACGCTTAGGTGAACCCAACCATTTGCCCTCCGTACCACTTTTTGGCATAAGCTCCATTTGTTGCTACCCGGTCCGCCTGAAATATCAACAGCTACCTTAAGTCTAAGATTTTAAATACATGGTACATAAATGGTCGCAGACCAACTTCCGGAGTATTAATATTGACGTTTCCATTGAACCAAATGAGTATCTCAGCATTTCAAATATGTATTATTACATATTGAAACAAAAAGTTAGCATCTTAGAGTATTTTCAGTTTTCACAGTGTAGTCTGCAAGGTGAAGATTGACGCTAGTATTGCCATTGCACGTCCTGCTTGACCATGGCCTATTGTAGAATCTATTGTTGCCTCGCAATTAGCGACAAAAATGAAACATTAAAACCATTAAAAATGGATGAGTCAAAATCCTGATGGATTCGCACTCCACAGATGAGGCACGCAAAGAGACGCGCCAATACGCAATATTCGACAACCTCCTGACGGGTTACTGTGTCTTCAGAAAGCAGAAGAAACGTCGTGCCGATTTTGGCAAGAAGAGGATTAGATTAGATAAAGAGTTAGCCTCCTTACGTCCTCCAGTGTTGGTCTACTATATATCTCCCTTATTGTCTAGAATTGCTCATTATGTTTAAGAATTTTGACCAGATCCTAAAACTTTTTCAAGGACTCCCGAGCGTGTTTTGTCTGCACTGTTCAGTTAGCAGTTCAACAGTTATCTTATTCAATAAAGGGAAGGAACAGTTCTGTGTTACTATGAGGGTATATCTAGGCGTAGATCTCTTCAAGCAGTCTACAACAGACCAACTAGCCAGGCAATGGAACCTGATTAACATAGGTGACGAGTGAGTTCAATTTTTTTTTCAAAAACAAAACTGAAGAGGTACAATATTGTTAGATATTTGGATAGAGTCTCTATGGCTACCTTTTCTATCGCCTGTCATAAACTATGTTTTCTTTTTAAATAATATATTACAATTAATTAATTGGTCAAGCGGACCACGAAATTAGTGAATTTAATGATTAAAAATGAATATACTTCACTAAAGCTCTCCGTGGCCATTTCATTTGTCGTCGAAAATACAACCCGATTACACGACATTTGAAAAATGGCAAAAAGGAGGGAAAATTCAAGAGGTGCGGTAGAGATGGGAGGTTGGTGTCCGAGTGGATCGACGTCACGATAGCTCAAGTGGTAGAGCAGCGGCGTATCAAGCCGAAGATCGTGGGTTCCAATCCCGCTCGTGCCATTAGCTTTTTTTCATCTCAACTAAAAACCTTAATTAATTGTAATATATTAATTGGTCAAGCGGACCACGAAATTAGTGAATTTAATTATGGTTTCATTGAAAATGAAATTATGTTGACCAAATAGTTTTAGCGATAAGAGATTTGAATAACCATTTCTGATGACTCAAAGCGACTCCCGCACGTCGTAAAAACGCATACTGCGAAAATGAAGTTTATCTAGGATCACCAACTGAGGAAGGGATCGCAACAAAAAAAAAAGTTCTTGCTTTCCCTTGTTTTCTTCAGGGAACATCCAGACAGTTTCGAGATTCGGTGACTGACGATTTCATTTTCTTTTTAGCGATGAAGAAAATCTGAAAAAATAGTGCAGTGGGAGAAGAACCTCACTTCTCGTTAAAGTTATGCAATGAACCTTCTCACGTGCTTAAAAAGCTTAAGGCTCTTCCAAGTCTCCTTTCACAATCACCGACATTTGCCGAACGTCACGGACAAAAGTCGGTTGATATTTTATCGTGATTGTTATCAGGAAAACATTGAACACATTGGACCTCTTACGTACTGGCTGGTAAACTGATTTTGTGTAAGTATATGTTGGTTTTTCAAGGGTACTCATTACAAAATTATAATGACATAGAAGTTACCTAGTTTCAGATGGGGTGTTGCAAGTCATATCAAACATTGCAGAACATGAATAAGCTTATTTTTCTTCTTTTCAGTCTATCGGGTATTCTCAGTTTGTCTGTTTCAACCACCAAAGAATATTGCTAAAATTTCCCCTCCAATACGACCGTCTATCGAAGGGCTCAATATCACAGTTTAAATTTGAATAAGTTGAATGCAATTTCAGCTTGGTATCTGCCGTAGTAATCTCTCTTTCAGCCGACAGTACAGTTGGGATGAGACAGACCTTGTTTCCATGGCAACTTAATTCTTAAAAGAGTAAGTTAAAAACACCCACTTCATCATTGCTTTGGTTTCCGGTCGTATCCAATTAAAGCGATTAGATATTTTTCCGGTCCCATAAACGATGGTACAATAACCAAAGATCAACGATGTGCCTAAGTTCTCTGAAAATCTCAAAGATCGGTGAAGGAAAAATTTCATCCGGTTGAAACCACGATAAAATATCGACCGACTTAATATCGTCCGGTAAATATCGTACAGTGTGAAAGAGGTCTAATGCTTAAACTAACGTATTACTTTAAAAATTGAGCTTATTGCATAAACATCGTAGTTCAGAGTTCGAACATTTATTTCATGATTTTAGGATTTTTTGTGAGAACGAAAAGAATTTCTGGATCGGTTTTTCACGTATCTACGTGTATTGCTTCAATAAGTATTTTCGGAAACATGTTATGTTTTTACGTAAAACATTTAATTCTTGATCCAGAATATCTTTTTCGGTTGTCAGTATCATGTTCGTTCACCATTGAATGAAGTTTTGATAGGGAGACTTATCCTTGAGGTCTGGGAGGCGATGAACGTGTTGGCTTGGTCGCTTCCCGGTCCGCAAATCCTCGCTGTTTTGGCGTTTCGAAGCGTCGCTTCAATACAACTCACACCCTCATAACTGAAGATTTTTGAGAATTTTGACTTTTTCTGTCTGCTTGCCAATCAATTATTCACGTAGAAAATTCGGAATGAAACAAAGTTTTAAACGATCAACCTTGATGAAAGAGCACACCGACGGACCATTTAACAGTGAGAATAACCAGACCAGAATTATGGAAAAAAGACCTATCTCAAAATCGGTTTCTAGTAGGACACTCCACCATAGACAAAAAGATGGCAAAACACATTCTGCAGGAACTTTGAGCAGGATTTGAATTGAAATAATTTGTGAACTTCGTTGCAAACATGTTAGATATGTTTATGCGTCCAATCGGCGTTAAATAAATGAGAATTGTGTCCTCAACATATCTTCGAAACGTTACAAATGGATGGATTTTTTAATTGTGCGATTAAAGGCATTTCTCCTTGCGTACCTACGACCCAAATAACTGGCGGATATCCTTTCGTAGGTGGAAGGTAGACGGAGGCGACGGTCGTCGGTGGCCTGGCTGTTATGTTTCCGTTGGGTGCAGCCCCGTTGGCCGTCTTCCTCCCATCCTGGCTCCCGACGATCCTCATGACTGCCGTGCGGAAGTCGGCGTACACCTCCGCCGGGTTCCGCTCACCGTTCACCTTCAAATCAATCATACACACATTTACATTAATCACAAAATAAATATGCTGTCCAGAAAATAGAAATACATTAAATTACTAAACATGTAAATAACGTAATGTTCAAGTAATTAATATTTATGAAAGGTATTGATTGAGATAAAAAAGTCAGCGTCACGAGCAGGATTCGAACTCACGACCTTCGGCTAAATACGCCGCATCTCTACCACTTGAACTATCGTGACTTCGATCCACTCGGACGCTAACTTACCATCTCAAACTCACCATTGGAATTTTCCCTCCTTTTTGCCATTTTTCAAATGTATAATCTATTTGATTCTCGGCGACAAATGAAATGGCCAGGGAGAGCTTTCTTGAAGATATACTTCAGTTTAATTATTAAATCCATTACAGTTCGTGATCCGCTTGACCAATTAACATTTTTCAATTAATTATTATTTATGAAAGGTATTGGTTGAGATAGCTCAAGTGGTAGAGTAGCGGCGTATTTAGCCGAAGGTCGTGGGTTCGAATCCCGCTCGTGACGCTGACTTTTTTGTCTCAACCAATAACTTTCATAAATATTAATTGAAAAATGTTAATTGGACAAGCGAACCACGAACTGTAATGGATTTAATAATGTTTAAGGTCAGGATATAGAATAGTCGCTTTTTGACTTAGACCTGTAAGTCGGAAGAAAGATAATTTTAATCCTATATGGTAAATCATTGGTAAAGCGTAAATACTAATAAAAAGGCATTTAATTATTCGCTATTGTGTTGAGGTCTCCGAGTTGGGAACATCTAATCATCCTGGCCGTGTTCGATTATTATTAATCTTTCCACCTTACCAATCCGTCTCCCCACGGGTTTTCCTTTCCTCCATCAATTTCTTCATCTTTGAAAAAAATAATTAAAAAAGAAATTACACCACTTATTAAATGGAGTATATTTTATGAAACTTGCTGGTCTCCAGGTTTGGAAATAGTTGTTTAGAATCAACACAGTAAGTTTTTCAACTTTAAAATATTTTTTAAAAGTTCTTCCTACTAAAACGCTTATTTCACGAACGTTTACAAGTTAAGTATATATCAGATCTTATTGGAAATGTAACGTAGTTTTCAATAGAATCCACGGATTTTTCCAAAATATTTTAGTTTTGGAGTTACCATTGTTTATTTGAAGCAAGATCGTGGAATCTTAAAAAATTATAAAAAGTGGAATAACTCTGAAACTGAACACATTCGGACGATAGTTAATTAGGACTTTTTGGTTCCATTTTGAATGTAGAATCTATTGGCAAAGTTTGTAACACGTTTTTTTACACGGTCCCAGAACTAACACTAATACCAGCGCTTCACCCAAAATACATATGCCATGAGGTGGATTAAGTGGCAAGGGGAGTCTCGAGGTTATCTTAAGGCGACTGGCAAGTTCTCCAGATGGGAATGTCTAGAGAGGGCTCGAGCAGTTGGATTAGGATGGATCAAGAGGTTGGTGTAAAACTTTTGGAATCGGGAACGGATCAGTTCGTTGAGAAAAGTAATGTTGAAGCTGGATAGTGATATGTTATTGACGTGGTAAAGAAATTTGCAATATGTCTGACAATCTTATGATGGGAAGGATTTGATGCGTTGGATGTTGGATTGCTTGGCAGATCCCCACAGTAAAATGTACACGGTTATTTTAGTTTGACAATCAATACAAATTTCCATCCTAGAAGACTTCGTTGTTGCGGCCTCTTAAGTCTTGTGTGGGGATCCACGTCAGTTTGCTGCCTAGCTATAAGTATTTGACCTGAATTGAAGTATTGAATGGAAGTCGAACGAGAGTTATTGATGTACAATGGAGGGCATAACCGTTTTTTTCCAATGTGAACATAAACTGTGTACATTTTTCTTCATTCACTCTTGTCCTCCACTTTTTGCACCTGTAGCTTAAGTGAATCATTCAGTTTTGGAGACAACCTAAAATTATGACAAAATTAGTCAAAAAAATGTTTGTTTTTGTTCCTTAGTGTTTTTAAGTATTTCCAGCTACGATTTTTTGTCCATTGTTGCAATTCAACGTAATGATCGGTTTTGAAGAAAGGTGGACCGAAAGGTAAAAATATGTTTTTTTTTGGAACGTAGCGATTTGCTCATCAAGATCTAGCATTTTACCCGCTGCCCACCAATTTGCGCCATAAATTTTTTACAGATTTTCCTTTCATTACAACTTAGACTCGGTGTCCGAGTGGATCGAAGTCACGATAGCTGGTTTGAGCAGCGGTGTATTGAGCCGAAGGTCGTGGGTTCGAATCCCGCTCGTGACATTAGCTTTTTCATCTCAACCAAGATAAAAAGAATAATTAATTGAAAGAAATTTCATTAGAAGGTTGATAATTGATGTTTTACCTGGAAAGGAAGTTCTTGACTCAAAAATATGTATATTAAAGACTTAAAAGAAGCTGTAAGTTCATCAAGTTAAAGGTAGGCTCGGAAGAATCAACTTTAGTTTAAGTTGAAATTTGAAACTTCGATTCAACAGAGTTCATCAAATAACGTGCGATGAAGAAACTTTCTTATTCTAATAAATATTGATAAAGGTTTTTAAATTATCAATTGATTCATGCACATCAAATTCTTCTACGTTTGTTAAAAAAATTCAAATTATCGACATTTTCAACGGCGCACAAATACGATTCCAAATTTCGTCCGTCGGACCCCCATGGTTCCGTCCTTGTGACCCAAACCTTGGCTTAGTTTTACATCGATTATGGATGGCATAGACCGACCAAGGACCTGAGATAAATTTTTAATTTAATGACCCAGTTGGATTAACCTCAACAATAAGAAAAAAATATACAAATATAAAATTCGTGAGTAGTCAATTAACTGTACTCGAGTGGAAATCGATTTGCCACTTATTGCTGATTATTAGTTGTAATTATAGATTTCTTGCGTATTTTAATGTGAATATTCTGGCCATCGAAATTTCCTGACCTGAAGAAAATTGTATTATTTTTGTGAGTTTTCTCTCCAGACACTGGAGTTGGTGAAATGATGAATCTGGCAGTCCAAAACAGCGAGGACAGGCGGACCAGGGAATTTTTGAGCCCATGAATCAAAGATGATTTCGATCGATAAAAAGCGGTTTCTTGAATATTTTTATTGGTTATGTTTGATAAATTTTATATAAATTTTTGTATCAATGCATAGATCGTTATTTAGTAATAAAAACCGCTGAAAATAGTCCATAGTTCTAAAGGGTTGCGTGTTTAAGGGGTATTTTTCTTCCAAGCCCTCTTGATTTTCGAAGAAGTGCCGAGTTTGAATCTCTGATAAAATACTGCCTTGTGACTTAGAAGAAAGCCCATTGTGAATCTTTCATAGCCGGCGATTGTAAATAAAAACGCCTTTCGCTAAGATAATTCTAATCGGTTCGATTTTGTAAATTGGCTTTGCCAACAAGCATAAAAGAATTAGAAACGTTAAGGTTTCCAGCCAATCGCATTACTGTATGAGAATAAGATGAATTATCTCAAATTTGGCCATGGACACTCTCGTAAACATATTTGTTTGTATTGATCCGCGTGATTGATGAGAGATATTTTGGACATTTTTTCGCACAACCCCCCGACAATGGAACAAACGATGCCCATACATAATTTAGACGTTTCGACCCCGACCGCCGACAATAATCGGTTTTCATAATTTGAAGGCGAAATTAGCCTTATACTGATCGATGCCGATGGTTAGACACCGTCGGCAGAGGCCTTTTTAATATATTCATTCTGGGGTAGCAGAATTTCTAAAATAACGCACTAATACGGGGTCGTTTATGCAGGAAATTTAACATACTGGGTTGCCACAACACGCAGAAACATATCCCTAATGTGTTTATTCAGCAAAGAGGTGTACACATCGAATTTAGACTCTTTGACAAAGATTTAGGGGTCGTTTGAAAGTTTTCTACCGATGATTTTTTTAAACTCTTGTTTAATCCGGCTTAACCGGTTAATATGCAAATTAATTAATTAAACAAAAATTATAACTATGCATGCTTGATAAGATATAAATAATTTAAACAAGATTTTACCAAAGGCATTTTGTAAATAGGATAAAAATGGATACAAAAGTAAATAAGAGGGTGAAAAATTAACAGAAATTAACCGAAACAACAGAAAAACCAATTATTTTAATTTTATGTTTAATGAAAATCGTATTTGTTGCTGTTTATATCAATTCATATAAATTAATTATTTATACATTATAATATATATTAATGTATCTAATATAATATTATTTATATTTTCTTTATCATGCCAACGTTTCGATCTTTATTGAGATCATCTTCAGGGCTCAAAGTGTTTGTTTTCCGTGTAGATGTGTCAATTTTGTCTGTCGTGTTGAGAGTGCCACTTTGAGCCCTGAAGATGATCTCAATAAAGATCGAAACGTTGGCACGATAAAGAAAATGTTTTTCTAAACCCTTCATTACACCAGACCGCATATCCCCATCTCTGAATAATTATCGATTAACGGTTACTAATCACCACACAATTTTTTTAATTTTATATTTAATGAAAATACGTATTTGTTGCTGTTTATATCAATTCATATATATTAATTATTTATACATTATAATATATATTAATGTTATAATATAATATATTATTATTTGTATTTTCTTTATCATGCCAACGTTTCGATCTTTATTGAGATCATCTTCAGGGCTCAAAGTGTTTGTTTTCCGTGCAAATGTGTCAATTTTGTCTGTCGTGTTGAGAGTGCCACTTTGAGCCCTGGAGATGATCTCAATAAAGATCGAAACGTTGGCACGATTAAGAAAATCTTTTTCTAAAACCTACGTCACACCAGACCGCACCTCACGATCTCCAAATAATCATTAACTAATGGTCACTAAATACCACACATTATTTATATATTATTAATAAAGAAGCATTTGCGTGTTTCTTAGTGACCTGCTGTTTCATAATTTGTTGAAATCGTGAGGAGCAGTTAAGAACCAGGTAATTTAGAAATACACTTTTTCATTTTTTGCCGACGTTTCGACCTTTATTCGGGTCATCTTCAGGGCGTAAAGTGTGGTGCTATTTTTGTGGTGTCATATTGGTTTCGTGTTACTTCACAACAATTTCACACAAAACCAATATGGCAGTACAAGAATAGCACCATACTCTATGCTCTGAAGATGGCCCCAATAAAGGTCGAAACGCAGCAAAAAAAATGAAAAAGGTTCTGAACTACCACATTCTTGACCGCTCCTCACGACTTCAACAAATAATGTTTAAATTTTTGATTTTGTTTACTTTTCATCAACAAAAAAGGTAATAAAATTGCAGGGTTTTAATTGTCGTGTGAACGAAACGACGAACGGTTCAACCTTCTTTGTTTAATCTTCATTTTGAAATTTATTATTGGCAGTAATAAAAAACAAGAAAGGTTGAACAGTTTGTCATTTCTTTCATATAAAACCCTGCAATTCATACAATCAGGATTTACGCGCACTGGAGCTGGCACACTGAAATTCAAAATTTACCCATGGAATTTTGAGTAAGATAAATTTGAAGAGATGCGCGGTTTCACTGAGCGGGCGGTTTGATTAGATCCTTAAAAAGAGCCGTTTTTCCCACCTCTAATCATCATCATGAACAAAACATTTACGTTGTTGTTTTGAAGCTATTCTGCAGATCTTTGAGGTCAACATCATTAAGGTATAAACTAGACCGATTTAAAAATGTAATTATTCGGTCAGTATTTTTGAGATGATTCTAGAAGGTTTTAAGAAATTTACCTAAATAATTCAATAGCTGTTTCAAAATACTAATCAAAATTTTTGTTATCTTACCGCTATCACCATGCCCCTTTGGTCGAAATAGTCAGCGACTGGCATGACGTTTTTATAGAAATTATTGAGCTCCATTTTGGCCAAGCTGAGCACAACGTGGCCCAATTTGGCTCCGTAGTCTATCTGCCTTTCTAGCACCCTCTGTCTCCAGGCTATCAGTACGACTCCGTTGACGATTTGGATCTAAAATACAAATCAATAAATTTTTATACATATTTCGAAATATTTATTTTACACTCGTTATTAATCAAAGATTATAATACAAAAGGAAAATTATTACGTGATGAAATTCATATTAAAGACTTGAAAAGTTGGTAGAGTCTGAAGACCGTAAAAAATTACTTGAAATATTAATACCCTATCATTTTCCAGACTAAGTAGTACAAGCTGAAATAAATAACAATTACTGTACTAAAATTGTCACCGCGGAAGTTCTAAGGTCAGTTACACCTAGTACGATGCTGATCAATAATAAACTTTTGAGTAGGAAAAACTCTAATCGATACATTGTGATTATTTAACAGGCTAGAAAAGTAGAATATAATCAAAGTGGTAAATATAATCACTTTTTTTGGATAATTTTTCGTTTCCATTGATATTCATGATTATAACAGACCTGTAATCATGGACTTCATAACGTTTTCTTTTTTGGTTTTGCGCTCTATCTTGGAAAAGCCATAGTCTAATCTGGTATTTCTTTATTTTTTCAAAAAGATTGTTTTTTTTTGTTTTTTTAAAGAATTGTTTTATTTTGAAATAATTCAAATTGGCATTTTTTCCATTATCTTTAGGGTTTGGTTACATGGAAATAATTCTCAAACAATTATTCCTGGAATATGCCATCGAACAGACAATGGGACCTTATGAGGGTTCTTCTCGTCGACATCGGCGTCTCATTCTTGAAAACGGTCCATCGGTGTTTAACATTTTGTAAAGGACCCGCTTCTCATCCCCAGTGGCCAAATAAGAAATAAACCATTTTGAATTATTCTATTAAGGTAATTGGTCTTCCTTGTACGTGAAGAAAAAAGAGAATCAGATTTTGAAAAATAGAGCTTTTTAGCTCGTTTGACAGAATAGAGCAAGAGGATACACTAATACTGTAGAAGAGTTGTCGGAAAGATTTCAGGTACATCGTTCAACCATAAAAAGAAAGATCCGATCTCTGGGTTATATTGTGGGGCTTTCTAAGCCCGAGGTGGAATTCGTATAGCAATCACTGTCTTGAATGATTTTATCTGCTTCCTTGTCGTACACATCGTAGTTTATTCTAGACTTACTTTTGGGATCAACTACCCATTTCTTAACACTCTCTCTCAAACTGCTTTTCCCACCCTCGAGCTAACGGAGCAGGTAATGTAAGTATAAAAAGAGACCAGAGTTACGCAAATGGTCCAATGATTTTTGTCTAATTCTTTTTAAGTCTAATTTTATTATAGGGCCTTCAGAAATAAATATAAAGTAAAAGATTCCAGTATAATTTTATTCATAAACAGTAACTACAAATGAATACTGAATATCCTGGATTTTTGTGCTTGGTATGCGACGGATGTCCGATGCAAGCTGTTTCTTTAGGAAAGCAAGCTAATTGATTAATTAATTAATTAAAATAAACGAAAAATTAGAACGTTAAGGATGTCAATTCCACAAAAAATAAAGAAACCATGACGTTGGACAAATTTGATCGAAATTTTCGATTAACACAGCAGATTCAAAAATTCCTTTTTGTGATTTTCTCATAAGAATTACTTCTTTAAAAATATATAATGAAAAATATGCCACTTTTTACTTAAAAACATAACTTTTCGTGTAGAACTTTGCATATTCTGTGATAAAATCGATTTTTTTTTAAAACGAGGGCTCGCAACAGCAGAGGTCATATACACCCTCAGGGTGTGGTGTTTTTGAAAAAAAGTCCTTTTGTAAGTATGTCGGGCCGCTGGATTCGAACCCGGGACCTTTACCTTACAGTGATGAGCGCCGTGTCAACGCCTAAACCTTTGTGGCCACCGACGCCTCAAACTCGAACTTATAAACCTTAATAAATCATTAGACACGGATGGTTCACTTTTTCCGGTATTTTAACTATTGAAGAAAAAAGTCGTTTGCAACTCTTATAATGTTGAACAAAAAACTATATTTGATTGTAGACAGCTAACTTACAACTGACATCAGCGAAAATGTGCTTACAACTCTTTCAGTTCTAGCTATTATAAATGACAAAGTACTTTATCTCAATTTTGGTAAGTAAATTTAGTTTTATTTAACTAAATAAGTATACTATGTTGTGGTATGGTATTGTGATATTTCTCTGTATGGTTTGCGAGGAGTAATTTAGTTGTTGCCTGGTCTGTCTACCCACGCTGCGTTGGTGTGATGGACGCCTTTCGGCATTTCGTCTTCTTCAGTGTGTGTTTTCTGTGAGGTGTTGTTCATTTGTGGGTTATGAATATTTTACGTGTTAAATGTGTTGTTTTTATATTTCAAAGTTTTCAAGTAATTTGAGTATTTCTTCCGTTTTATACATCGTCGGGTTGTTTCATGACTGTATAGGACGGTACGTGATCTGTGAGGTGTAATTTGATTTTGCGTTATTGCCTCTGACTTGTAAAATTTCAATTTAAAATATACTCCATTTTCGTTTTAATCAGAAAGTCATACAAAATTTTTCAACGTGATAACATTTTACAATCATTAGTTACATCCGATGATATGTTTATCTTTGATAATTTTAAACAAAAATTAATGCAAATTAAATGAAAATATGAGTCAGGTTTTATTAATTAAACAAATGCCGAATGTTAGGTTTGAACAAACACTTTAGAGACAAGAAGAATAAAACAATTTTTCACCCAACTAGAAAGTCAATACCACCCACTTTTGCGTAAAGAGCGATGACCATCGGTCGATATCCATTGACGTTTAATCAAGACGACCATCGCGGATATGATATAAAAACTCATACAAATCTTACATATCGATAATTGAACAGTAAAAGTTGACTTACTTTATTTGAATATTCCACTACGTCTCGCATGTTCCTCGGGTAGCCGGAAATCAAGAACGTCTTCGCTGCCGGTGACATTTTCATTTCAAGCATTAAGACTTCAGTCACGGTTTTACTCGAAAGTTGGCTGAAGTCCTTCATTTCAGATCCAATGGTCCCAGGGTCTAAACAAAAGTGGATATAACGAGAAAAACGAAACATTATAAATTTTTTTCATTATAGGTAAAGTAATTCTTGCCTAATACCCTTTGGGTGTCATGGGTGAGGATTCAAACCACTTTAAAATATATTTACCATACCATTTTTAATTAATAAACCATGGCTCTGCGAGATTTGAACCCATGGCTAATACGTGTTTGATTCTCTAACCACTCGGCGAACCCTTTTTTTAATACAATTTCACAAAAACGAACTTCCATTATATTATGTATTATTCCTGTTCATGTTGATGTATAATATACATAAAATATTAATTAAGTTTTTTCTTTATAAGTCACCATTGGCGTAAAGCACCAGGGAGTTACCAGTTCAAGATGTTTCTTTATTGCAAGCTTCCCAAACTTTTTGGCCAGTGGACTCCGTTAAAAAAACAAAATCCAAGGCGGACCCCTCGCATTCAAGTATTTAAAATAGAAACTTATAGCACTCAGTAAATTAAAATTTTATAATTTAGTCTACTATATTTCGTTATGCGATTGACCAAATAACTTCTTTCAATTAACTAATCTTTATGTAAGGTATTGGTTGAAATGAAAAATGTAGTGTTACGAGCGGGATTCGAACCCACGACCTTCGGCTAAATACGCCTCTGCTCTACCATTTGAGCTATAGTCACTTCGATCCACTCGGACACCAACTTCCCACCTCAACCTACCTTTTGAATTTTCTTTCCTTTTTGCATTTTTCAAAATTATTATTACTAGCTTATATTGTATTATAGTAGCTATATATAATGAAGTTAGAATGTAATATGATTTGAATTTAATTTTTAATCTAGCTGTACCTTGTTGTTTTCTTTCTTTTCTTGCGTGTGTGTGATTGTGACCAGTGAGGAGTACTCTCAACACGACACACAAAAATGGCACAATTACACAGAAGACAAACACTGAGCCCTGAAGATGGTCTCAATAAAGATCGAAACGTTGGCACGATAAAGCAAATGTTTTTCTAAACCGTACTTCACACCAGACCGCATCTCACGATTCTTTTTTTGCACTGGCGCGGATATTTCACCTCAAATCGACTCAAAGATCAAATATATTGATGAAGCTTAAGTCAGATTACCTCCGACGGAAGAGATTTCATCCTATGTAGCATATAACTTTTTGATTTATTTATTTTATGCTGTTTCAGTTAATTTTAAATGCTTTGCATAAGCTTATTAGTGCATAATTATCAAATTAAGTAAATGAAGTTTTCTTCTTCATGCCTTGGATTTTCTTTTTTCTTCTTTGAAAAAAAATTATATGTATTAAATAAGAGGCGCTCAAGTCATTACAATTTCGTCGAAACAACCTTGATTCTCTTTCTCGACAATTGATTGCCAAATACTTCCAAACTGGGTCATTGTTAGTATATAATGGTTAACCCCATTCTTTCTTGTTTTTTTTTTTTATTATTTCATACCCGACCAATTATTCGTTTTGCCGACCGTTTATCATCCAATGCGAACTTCGTTATTTTTATTTCAAAACTATACATAATTGAGGCTATATATATTGGGTTTTTAAAAATATATTTTAAACTATTGCCCTATTAACTTATCTTTATTTTCTAGAATATCTTGCATATCGCCATCTTACATTTAAAATGATTAATTAAAATTTTAACCTGTTATAGAAAACAAGAAGTGCCAGTGAAATTGGTCGCTTCTCAATGAAATATAATTCCAACGAGTAATAATTAGAATTAATAGAGTAATAATTGAAATGAGATGATAATGTATACCGGAAAATTAACAAAGAAAATAGATTCCCATCATCGTCATAGAAAACTGCATAGATTTTTCATTATTCGCAACGGTTAAAGGTCGATTCATAGTGACTTTCCCACACGTAAACTTGGACACAAGTTTTCACACCACGACAACTCACTACGGACGCTGACAGACAAAGTAGAAACTAAAAGGCAAATGTGCCTACTTACTTTGTTTAGGCTTAAACAAGTTTAAAATCTTTCCGGTTGAAGCAATTTTACTTGAATAAGAAGAAGGAAAGAAATTGGATTGTGTGGAAGTAGAGCAAAAAATAAATAAAATAGAAGATTAAGACAGATATTTCAAATACTTCAGAATAGTCACTAACGCCACAGACACGCATCAGCTCAGAAAAAATAATTTATTTTAAGGTGCCAATGGTACAGCCACGAGCAAATATGCACAAACAAACCAGCAGTTTTTTTAATGCCCTTATGATCGATGCATATTTAGCCAAGGTCACCATTATAATATGTGTATTAATATTAGGGGGGGGGGAGCAAACCAGCACAGTTCAAACATTCTTTACAATCTTTCTATTAATTAAGGCTTTTAGTTGAGATAAAAAAGTCAGCGTCACGAGCGGGATTCGAACCCACGACCTTCGGCTAAATACGCCGCTACTCTACCGCTTGAGTTATCGTGACTTCGATCCACTCGGACACTAACTTCCCATCTCAACCCAACCTCTCGAATTTTCCCTCCTTTTTGTAATTTTTCAAATGTCCTGTAATCTATTCTCGGTGATAAATGAAATTGCCACGAGAGCTTTAGTGAAGGTTTCCTTCATTTAAACTTATTAAATTCACTAGTTTCGTGGTCCGCTTGACCAATTAATATCTTTCAATTAATTAACGTTTTTAGTTGAGATAAAAAGCTCAAGTGGGAGAGCAGCGGCATATCTAGCCGATCGTGGGTTCGAATCCCGCTCGTGCCATTGACTTTTTTATCTCAACTAAAAACCTTAATTAATTGTAATATATGTAACAATGTTTTTGCATCTTAGTCCGTACGTGATTGACACGGTACCTGTTGGTATGTACGAATCGCTCTTAAGGGACTGACATGTGTCCTGGTTCTAATCAGGACATACGTACTTAAAAATGAGTTTTTTTTCAAAAACATGGAACCCCGAAGGTTGATGTCTTCTGATGTTGTGAACCCACATAAAAAAATTATTCATCGTAATTTATCGAACACGAATGGAAGTTACAGTTGAACCGCTGTAGTGCAGTAAGTAAAATCGTCCAATTATTCGTTTGTTTGGGTCAATACGGAATTTATACTTTTATAAATGTAGTATCCACTTTTAGCATAAATGCTCAATTTGTTTTTGAGTTTTTGCAATATTAATTAGATTTTCTGCCACCTCAACCAGCTTTAACAACTTAATTTAATTAATAGCAGGGGAATGTCCAGTACTATCAAATTTTATCGATCCTATGTTTCAAAAATGCAAGAAATGGCAGTCGTTAGCAAAGAAAGACGTTACAAGTTTTGCTTGCGAGCCGTGAAAGTTGAGCAGGAACGATCAATAATAAAAAAAGTAGTTTTGTTCAAAGAAAACAGTTGTTGAGAATAATTCTGTCTTTCCAGAACTCAAGGATTATTTTTCTTTGTTTATGCAATGAAATATTTTTTCCATTCATTCATTGATATATACAATTTTCTTAGCATAAGCATCAAACTTTTTTTTCTTAAAAATTTATTTAAAAATCCATTATATTTAGTGGTCTATTAATCAAATTACTTCTTTCAATTAATTAATCTTTTTATGTAGGGTTTTGGTCGAAATGAAAAAGTTACTGTCGTGACACTAACTTTTTCACTTCGACCAAAACCCTACATAAAACAGATTGATTAATTGAAAGANGTGACAGTGTTTCATTTGGCTTTAAATGAGTTTCTTGTAAACTGATAATTTCGGTCCTAAACTGCCCAATTAAATATTGGAGTTCGTTGCGTTGTGTGTTATAGCCATTTAGATTCCACTGAAGGATTTTCATAAGAAATTATAACACACATCCACACTTCCATACATACAACCACAGAAACATGTGAGAAGGACGATTATCGTTGGTGATAATACACACACCTGCACAGGCGAAAGACCGTCCAGAAAATCTTTACGAATTACCGAGCAGCTCTTGAGACAGAATTTGTCTGATGTTCGAAAATGAGTTACTTGAGAGCAGAAGACAGTTGAACCTTGGCTAGATGTTAACCGCTGTATTTTCTCTCGGCGGCATTTTAATTCCTTTGAATTCCACTGTAAAGTTTTCATTCTGATAAGTTTTGGTGCCATAATTGTTGTTTGTGTTAGTCATCAAAAATTTCGGTATCAGCTGGAAGCTTGTTTTTTAAGTTTGTGCTGGAGTTTTCCTAAGGGGTTTGGTGGATTTGAGCAATTGCTTGATGAAGAGCCCTGTGAAGCGGGTCTTTTTTTATTTATGCACTGGTTGGTTTGGCTATTGTTTTCTGGGATTGTTTTGGGCATGTTAGATGAACGGTTTAGATTGTTTAGATGTGTAGTAGATGAGTTTGTTATGTTTAATTTTGTGGTTTCACGTTTTTGTGAGGGAACTGTTATTACCAGTTGGCTGTTTGAAGGAGTTTCTGGTCTGGTTACGTTTTCAAGATGGCTAAATTTATTTACTAGTTTTTCTACAATCTCAGTAAGTTTGTTGATTTGTTGGGTTAATGGTTCAATACTTTGGATTGGTTGATTTGAAGTATGGTTGTTTAGAGTGTTGGATTTATTGATGGCTTGAGAGAAGGTAACATTGAGTGGGGTATGTGGAACATTGCGTTGTTTAAACAGCAATTCTGCTTGTCTAAATGAGACTTTTTCCTTTGATCTAATAGTTTCAATTTCTTTTTCTCGTAGGTAGGTTTTACAGTTTCGATCATATGCAGGGTGGGCCTCACCGCAATTGATGCACTTCAGTACAGATTGGCAGGTGTTTGTATCATGGTCAAGGTCTCCACATTTGCCACAGTTCTTGGTTTTACAATATTTGCTCGTGTGCCGAAAACGAAAACAAGAATAACATTGCATTGGGTTTGGAATATAGGGCCTAACTTTAACTTGAAGGAAATCAAAAGTGATTTTGTCAGGAGTTTCAGGTTTTTCAAACGTTATAATAAGTGTTGGTGTGGGAATTCTGGTGTTATTTACATTTTTCGTTATTCTAAAAACCTTAACTACGCCTTGTGCTTGGAGTTCTAATTCAATTTCCTTCTCCGAGCATTTTACCAACTCAGGGACATAAACAACACCTTTGGAGAAATTCAAAGAACGGTGAAGTTCTAATAGAAGAGGAATATTTTCAAACGTTTTCATGTTCTGAATATTTATGAAGTCTTTTTCAGTACTAATGTTTAAGAGAACGGTGCCATTCCTGAGAAACTTAATACCTACATTCGGGGCGTAACTTTTTATGCATTTGCACACTTTGAAAGGGCTGAAATCATTGAATGATTTCTTAAATTCATTTTCAATGAACGACATTATAACATGTTTTTTACACCACTTTCCAGTGGGTTTTAATAAAAGATTATTTTCATCAGTGGTTTTAGAAGCTGGAGGAGTATCAGCTTCCATAGTTAAGTTTAACTATGAAGAGTATGTAGTAGAATAAATAGATAAATTATAAAAAAATAATAATAATAATAAGTAAATAGAAAAAAAGTAACTGAAGAGTTTTGAAAGTAAATTAATTTTTTTTTAAAGAAGAGAAGAATAATTCAAATGGGTACTCCCTATAATACTGAAGGTAGATTATCGTTGAGATAAGAGACAGCAACACGATGTTATCAGCTCAAGGTGCACACAACGACTGTGATTAATTCTTTAAAAATTTAAAAAATGAACTTTGCTTTTATGAAATGGTCTGACTGATCTGTCAGATTTTTATGTATGAACGTGTAGTAATTGGAAAATGAATATTTTTGATCAAATAACGATAAATATATAAATTTCTCTCCTATACATTTTTTTTTTTATTAGGTCGGTCTTGTGAAAAACCCTGAGACACATAAATTTTTAATCTTTTGTCTAGTTTCTTATGAGCAAAAACGTTTTGATTTAACACTTCATGATATTCCGATAGGAAAATAACTATTTCATTTTTCGACGGTGAATTCAACGGTATAAACAGTTTCTAATTGGAGAAACCGTTGGGAAGTTACCCGCAAAAAGCTTTTTCTTTTGGGGTAAAAGAAATCTCTTATACATTCTTGCTGGAAGAACCAACACCAAGAACCATTCTATTTATTTATTATTTAAACTGATAAGAAATTATTGTTTGTGGTACCGAAAGAAAAATTTCTCAACAATTTCCTAAGAAGACATCGATAAACAAGACTATCTGGATGATCCCATTGAAATGCAATTCAGCTTGGTGCAAATTTCGGTCACTTTTCCTAACAGTAGAACCATTTTCAACTTTTCTTGAAATATACAAGACATTTTTACGATATGCACTACTTGTTTTTATGATGTGTTAACTATATATCAAAAATTCCCTTTTTTATTACATTTATTTGATATTTACGACTACAAATATCGTATTAATTAAATATGTTCATATATGTTGAATTTATCATTTGAGGCTCATGTGGGAGAAGGTGCTCAGTGGGAACACTCCTTCACACTGACATCTTGTACTGTCTTCACCAATGAGTAGGTTTCGGGCTACTTTTGCTTTAATCGTCTTTGAGGATTCTCAGGTAAGGTTGGAAGTGACAAATGTCGTACTAATTGATTATTGTGTGTGTTTAGTGATGTCTAAATTTTTTATAGCGGGTTTTGATGAGTTCATGTACCAACGGGATGTGTAGATCGTTATGAATAGTGTAATTTGAAACGTAAAAAGTAACTTTTATGATTTGACGGAGAATTTTAGATTGGACTGATTGGAAAACCAAATCCTTGCTTGAACCCCACATTTCACAACCATACGCCCAGAGAGCATCATTGTTTTCTAAATTAAAAGTTGTTTTCAATGTCTAATTTTGATCATGCGTCATGTAGTCTTTTTAATAATTTATAACGTCGGTTTGTTTGCTGACTTTTCAGTCTAGTGTGGGGCTTCCAAGTCAGTCGTTTATCCATGAAAAGTCCAAGATAACGCACAAGGTCGGTGATAGGCAATGGGATTCCATTTATATGCAGGGCAGATATTTTTACGTAAGGTAAAATTTATCTGTACGCTTTTCGTTAGGTTTATCTTCATTCTCCACTTTGTGAATCATACTGTCAATTCATTCAGGTGTTGTTGTAAGCGTTGAGTGTTAATTGAGGGGTCCGAATTACGTGTAAGAATCGTATGTGTTGAAATGTTAACATGTGTAGAAATATCTGCGGTGTATATTGAAAACAGAAATGGACCAAGTATGCTTCCCTGAGGAACACCCGCCCTAATGCGTATAAAAAGTGAGAATTCAGTTCTCTGACGGACTCGGCAAAATCGGCCCGTCAGATAAGATCAAAGTATGAGTAGTACGTATGAGGGAAAATGTTCTTCTCTCAAAAATTTTAATAATTTTTTTTCTTCATCAATGTTTGTTTGTTGTTTGTAGACCGAACTTTGCTCCTGGCTGTACCGTATGTAGCTGCATCCAGAGAGTCCTGGTTGTCCATGTTATTTGAAGAAATTGTTGCGAAATTTTTCTTTCTGTACCACGAACTATTAATTGATTGAAATACTTTTATTTTAAAAAGAGAACACATAAAAATTACAATTTGAACGATAAACAAAGATTAATGGCACATTATTAGTAATATAGTAGCTATAAATAGAGAAATTTGAAGTTTTTTTCTATTACTCGAAAAAAATATGCCTTCAACAGAACTCGAAAATTCATTGAGCGCAAACTTATTTAATTATTTTTGTGAGTCAATTTGATTTCTACGTATTACGCTAGATCGAATAGGTGCGGCCTTGAGAGATCAAAGGGCTCAGAGCTTCTGCAGAAAGTTCTAACTGAATTGACCGATCTGAAAATAACCCAAAAGAATTATTAATCAAAAGCCATTCCGTCAGCGGTCGATTACTCAAAAATGTTACCCTTTATTCTTCTTTAAACGCCGTCCTTACAAATCACATCGCGATCAGGCCCACACAGAAAATCGCGAAGCTCATTTCTCAGAGGTCTGTTTTACACTAGGTTATTAAACAGCCCCTTGAATTCATCATGTTCTCGACTCCTTTGAAAATAAATCCAGTTTACCGAGCGCTTGATAAATACTAAATTCGACCGAATTCCGTTTAAACGCCAGGGAGGAAAATGAAAAGTTAACGTATCAATCGATTCACACTACAATAACTCTTCTATTTATCACCCGCGATTGTGTGTTACGCTTCGCGAGCTGAAATATCTACAGGTGTTTGGAGAAAAGTGGATCACGGAATGATTGCCTATTAACAGCTAGCGTGATGCACACAGCACCGGTTGATATTTACTTAGCTGGAAAAACTAACCAATTGAGTATTGTTGCAATAAATCAGTCATGTTGATGTGGGTGATGCCTCGCTTCTCCTGCATCAGGTTATCACAGTGTGTCACCTTTCCGCTACCAGGTCCACCTGAACATTTACAGAAAGAATATTTGACGATTTAATAATTACTGATTATTAATTTATATAAGCTCAAGTCTACACATGTATCTATCTACAAACGTTCACTCATGTACTTAGTTGTTCCTATGGCGTAGGGTGGTTTTTAAAGCTTTTGTAATTTTCAATAAATTACCCACACGACACCAGAATCACCCACCCAGGGTTTTGGCAGTTTGGGTTAGACCTTAATCCTTGTCTTAATCGACCAGCCACGAGGTTGGGTTCTAGGGGCTATTAACAAGTTTGGTCATTTTAGCCCCAAACGCAATAGTTTCTAGATACAAACCCATTCACACTCTCACCCACTCTTAAATGCATTCTTCAGTTAGGAGTACGGATACCCCTTCACCCTTTACACTTATTATAACAAACCTAATTGAAGGTCGATGAGGTACTCAATATTTCGCCATCAGCCCTTACAAATTACACCTTCACACTCAACGCTCGCTAGGTACTCAAAACTATCCGTACCATATAGAGTAAAAAATTGCTGTTTCTTCTAAAAATTGTAATCCTGCCATGACCAAGCGCGATTCTCATATGGGGCGGCGTTCCAACAGGATTTCTAAATAGACCCAAGGAATGAAATGTGGCACATCGAGCGATATTTCCCTACATGCGGGACACATACGCGGGCTTTGACGGAAGGAAAGGGAGTATCCGTGTGTCAACCTTATATGGCCTATTTTTAATCGGCTGAGGATGACCCCTTTTCTACGAGACAAATCCTTCAATGTCCATCTATCGACAGTGCTCTTGATACGTGAGATCTTCTCTACCGATCCGGCCTACTGACGATACCACTTTCTTCTAAGCGTGTTTTTTAATTCGACACGAATTTTTGCGGCAGAGGGCCGGATCGCGATGGTCGTCTCGGCCTTAGCTGCCTCGCCCGCCTTTTCGTTACTCTCCATACCTATGTGTCCGGGTAACCAGACAACACCCACCATTTTGCCGAGACGTTCATGGTATCTATCTAACGAGAGCACCACGGGAAGATCGACAGAAGACTTATCACAGTCAGCAGAACGCAGAGGGAGTCTGCAAACAAAAAAGGCAGAGCCTCCATCCTCTTGTATCATTTAACAGTTAGATGCTTTTTCAATTTCGTGAGATACTATATATTATATATATTATGAAGGGTGGACCTGTTCACAAACCCCAAGATTTTGGACCATTTAATCTCGGGGAGTGATTTGGTGATGTCCTCTCCTTCAAAGATTTCAAATCTAACCTAGCATACCTATCACACTCTGCGAGGTAGTGCCTTGCCGTTTCTTCTTTTATTTCGCAAAAACGGCAAAAGGGATCTGGTAGGATACCCATTACGAAGAGGTGTCTTCTCAGTGGGCAGTGGCCCGTCAGAATACCTATCAGCCTCCTAATTCTCTTCCTTGAGAGAGAGAATAGCCATTTCGATTCTGCTGGTTTGATCGCCTTAACAAACTCTTTCGATTGCCTGTGTCCGGGGGATAAATTCCACTCCCTAAGGAATTGTTTCATGCCTCAGTTATTAATACTCTCTTTTGCTGTGCTCATAGAGTGAGGTAATATCGGTTGTGGCCCGACAAACGCAGTATTAGAGCCTTCTTTGGCCAGGCTATCCGCCTCTTCATTGCCATGGGTGTCCTTTATGTGCTGGTATCCAAATATGGGTTACCTTATTCTCAAACCTGGAAGAGATCCTATTGATAAGATCTATAGTTTCCTCCACCAGTCGTGAGGTTGACAAACCTAAGACTAGCCTGACTGTCAGAAAAAATTGTAATATCTTTTCCCTTAATTGCATTTTCCATAAGTGTTCTACAACACACATTGATGGCCCAGATTTCCGCCTGAAAAACGGAGGTGTTATTGCCAAGAGAGGAGGAGATGCTGATTCCTAATTTTGGTATGTAGATTCCTGCACCACTCCTATCTTTGATAAGTGATCCATCTGTGTAGGGTGAGATACTAGGCTGTTGTAGAAAGAATAAAAATACGAACAGTTTAGATAACAAAATGTCTGATGGAGGAACCAATTTATTGCCATAAACTAGATGAAATCTATTCACTTGTTTGCAACATCGATTTAATCAATTTTCAACAAAGGTTTTAGCAAACAAAGAACTGTTCCAATTAAACGTTTTGCTGACGGTATAATCGATACTACAATAATTTGAAAAATAATTCGTTTGAAATTTTGATAAAGTAACTATCACTAAACGAGGAAGGCTTGCTACGGCTCATCTAATAACTACTAATTATAAAGATCAAACTTCTAGATAATCTTAAATAAAAAAACAGTTTGCTCTAGTGATAGTAATCACGTACCAAGTACGAATAAAACGGGCACTTTAGGGGCTTCGAACTTAACGGTGCCTCCGTTTTGAGATGGGAACTGACCCTCGGGGGGCGTCCTCGTGAACCTGTAGTTGGCCGTGTTACCGCTGAGCCACCGATCTCTCCCTCCGGATTCTTCAAACTCGTCTGAGTCATTTTGGTCTCTCTCTGTAACAAAAATATTGACAATCTCTAGAAAACGTTTATTATTTTTTATTTTTTACTTAAGAAAAATATTCTGATAAAAAATCTGGTTTGCTCAATAGCATGATAATGAGGAATAAAAACAGCCAGTTTTTCGTTTAATACATGTCGATATAAAATTATACAATTTAATCTTGGAGACTTAAGAGTAAAATACTTATACAACATTTGACTTACCCTTTAATTCTTAATTGTAAAAATATGAATATTATTTAACGTAATTTGTATATCTACTACCTACAAATTATTTCTTCTCTATTAATTCTAAAATTCTTCTAAAATTAGGTTCAGGTTCTAAAATTAGGCATTGAAAATTTTCTAGTGATAGTCACACTAATTTTATATAAAAGGCAAGCATGATTTTTGAGCTATAACTTTTTGCAAGTAAAATTTGGGTAATCAGGCTTAAATTAATTGTATAAATAATAAACCAAAATGGTGACTCAAATCAGTAAATTAAAAAATTGTTATTTGTGTTTTTGTGTAGAGAGTTAATTATGATTTGCTAGTATCTGACAAATAAAAATATTTAACGCTTAAAACTTCTATCTTTTCTTCTATTTGAAATATCTCTTTTTTTTCTATTTTATACAAAAATAAAATTAACTGCTTAAAGTAAATATAATGACTAAGATAAAATATTTTTTTGCAGTATTGAGTGGAGAAGCCTTTCGGTAGTGACACTCCGATATCGGCGTTGAGGATTATCAGAAAGTGAGGCTGAGCAAAGTTGGGTTACGTGGGATTCCAGTGACTGGCTATTGACACCCTGTGCAGGGAGATCAAAAGGCTTGGTAACTAACAAAAGAATAGCCATCTACACGGGTAGCCAGGCTAAATGCAACTACCTCATTGGTAGAAAAATCCAGAGCCGTTTGAGATTGCATCCAGGCCCTGTCATACATAGAGGATAACAACAAAATTAGTAGTTTGTGTTCCAGGGCATTCAGAGCAGACAGGCAACAAGAAGTGGCAAAGGAAAGTTTGATCAGGACTTCTATTAGTAACTAACTCTTTTGCGGCATGCCAAATTGCCAAAAACTTCGTCGGACAACAGATTAAAAATAAGTTCTTGGTTCAATTTAAGGACATTAGGTTCCCGCATGCTACTCGGTCGTGGGTGTTACAGCCGCAGCATTGGTGTAGAGGCTGTCCCAGCCACGAGGGGCCAAGACAGACCTCGCCCCCCCGCTTGCGCATTCCGAGTGGTCGGGTCTGCATTCAACATCGAACCGTATGCCGCCCGCAAAGAGCTACCTAGACCGAAATACATCAGCCTGGTTTCCCGCTCTCCCTAGATAGAGAAGGTCACTCTATTTCCTAGAGTATTGGGAATTCTTAGAGTATCCCAAGCGTAGAAACTACCGGATCCGCTCCGGCCGCGGTTTTGTTTAAAGTGGAGTTGCTAACCACCCCTAGAGGAGTACCGCCTACGATGAAATCCGCCAATCGAGCTCAGCCTACACCTACAAGAAAAGCATACTCGAGTAGGAGCAACCGATTCACTACCCGTTCCCATCCGCCACTTCCCACACATTCGAGGGACTTTTCAGCATAATCAGAGCGTCCTCAACGTTTATACGTTGCCGTCCGATCCGCCGTATCCCGTGAGGCCGGGTGTATAACGGTCGTCATACGCAAGTTTCGTGCGAATTTCACTGATAGAAGACAGGCTCTTCTCTAAATTCCTGCCAGGGATCTCGCCACGGCCAACTACGAGTCCATTCCCATTGAAACAGGGGATGAACCTTGGAACATTTCTGTTACCCCGTAGTACAGATGGCTATGTACCCTCCCCCGTCATGCAGACTGGTGCCCTAACCCTCGTGTGCCTCTGCTAAGGCAACCGCCGCCCCATGCCGACCCGAGGCCTTTAGAGAGGTTTTTGCGCCCTCAATTTAAGGATACTGGCATAAGAAAAAATTCATTAAATGACATCGCAGAAATTAAAAGCAGAACTGCTAAACCGAAGACATGTTAGGACTACTAATAGTCAAGAACGCTGATTCCGGAGGTATAAAAAAAGGTACTGGTAGAGAATGCCTTTATGTTTTTTATCATCTTAGCCTACCAAACTCGATGGAAATCTTGTACAACGTAAAGAAAGATAGCTAGGCAGTCCTGTTTCTTTTCAACGTAGGAAGCGAAAACGTCTACAACGTGATTGGTTGACAATTTTGTTTTTTGAATTTGCAATCTACTTATTAATAAGATAATATTCATAAATAAGCATAAGAACTAATAATTGTATTGGTCTTTCATATTTTTCAACATGTTGAAAATTTGAGATTTTACGTTGCTTTGTATGTTGAAGAGGATCAGGCCTATGGGCTTGAATGAATTCAAGACCATAAGCCTGAGCCTCTTCAACATTGAAAAAACTGGTCGGTCCTCTCCGTAACATGTGCTTTGTATGTTTAAAACAAATTTTGTCGTCCTGAAAACGACTCGTATCGATCCAGTTGAATTATGGCTACATATATTTTTCGCTTTCATTAAAGGAATCATTGATTCGCTGATCGAATATTGTATCGTAGGTAAAATATCAAACACGAAATACTGCAATAAAGACCGACCCGTGACATTGAAAAAATGTCAAGTCACATCCACGCTTGTGCCCACGCATTGTCTGTAATATCTCTATAACTGTAGATAGATGTAAATAATTAAAATTTAAAGCGATAATAAAATTATCTACTCTTCCATATTTCTTACACAGACATACATATATCATATCCATGACTGTTGAGTGTTAAGTTTGTCATCACTGAAAGCTTGTTAAATAATTTTTAACTAAAACAATTCGTTTCTGAACTGTTTCATTCGCCGTTTTACTAATCATTAATGTCTTACATAAATACACACACATAGTCGCACCCATTTCTAACATCACAGCATATGTTATATCTAGAGTGCTTCCCATTCGACTTCAGCAGGAAGAATTGTTTGAATTGGATTAAATGTAGAAGGGCGAACAGGTGGCAGATAGACAGACCGCTTAAAGCTGCTATTTTTCCATTTTTGTGGTTGGATTATGAGGAACTATGTGAAATGGAGGTCTATGCGGACATCAGTTTGTTGAGTGCGTCTTCGTGGTAACCAAATAGGACCAAGGGATGTTTAGGATGGATTATCTTGGCCATTTATGCTGCAACGATCAGGCTGAACAGCTAGCTAGAGCAAATGCGTTGGAAGATTGCTGGATTGTGCACATGAAATTGGAATAGGGACTGGGATGTTATTGGGTATGTGGTCCTAATAATAACATAACATCCAATACCCAATAGCATCTCAAACCAGATTATAATCAAAGTTGGTCGATTACTGAACAACCTCGGAATAGGGACTGACAGCCACAGCACCCTGGACTCTTTACAGAACATCGGAAACCATCTTACAGAAGTTATTAGGGAGAGACTTCAGAGAAGTTGCGTTGTCAGTTTGCCTGGGTCAAAGCCCACGCGGGTATAGCTGGTAATGAATATGCAGATTATTTGGCAAAAACAGCATTTGTTTTAGATCTACCTATTAGCTACAACAAGTTCCAACGACGGTAGTGAATTTTTTTGCGGCGAATGGAATCGAGGAACTCTGACGAAGGAATTTTTTCCTCTGTCGTATTTCGCCTCCGCATGCAACACTGGACTACAGTCTCATCCAAATCTAATCAATGCAAAATGTCGGCACATCACACAGATTCAGAATAAATGCGTCTCCCGCTTGCAAGTGACATCCCATGATGAACCAAACTGTTGATCATTTTTTATGGGATTGTGAGCGTCTGTGGCGTACCGGGCAACTTTTCATGCAGCACATCCTGACATGACAGCTGGCCATCTGAATTACTTCAACCTAAATTTCACCCTTTTTACGACATTTGTAAAAGAAATTTTTATTTACCTCAACTATTTCTAACAGCCAACGTATTGTATCGATGTTTATGATGTCTTCATTTCTATTAGTTATTGATAATTTATATTTGGTATAAAATGTTGATAACTTCATGTGGTACTCTTATTAAGTGAAGCATGATGAAGTAAACTATTTAATAAAACAACCTCACCATCGAAGCTATAAATTCACCAGAACTACCACACTGTTAGCTGCATCCATCAAGAGCAATTGATATCTAATGGAACAAAATTGGAAAGGATTATTATGAATCCTATACAGATAGAAGCCGTCTGTATGATAAAGCACGATATGGATTTGTTGTATAAGAAAGAGAAAATACCAACCCTTTTCACATCGGTGGCTTAGGAGATTATTAGAACAATTTAATAATAATCAGGTCAAACTTTGGGATTTTAGTAAGACGGTACTGTCGATGTAAGACCCACTATAACATGCCACAAAAAACAGGCGAGGATTTGAGACAGCCCAATATTTCAAGCAAAGGCCAATATAGGATAAAAAGAACTATGTCATTATCATAAAAGAAAGGACGTAGGAATTGGTTGCTCGTAGGAATATGGACGTAGCAATTGGTTGGGTGAAGGCGCATGGAGGCATTCTGGGAAAGAAAATTGCGGATTTATGGACAAGGGAAGAAACTAACAGTGGGAACTTGACCATCGAATTTAACATTTTATCAGCCTAATTACAGAGCCTTGGGAAGAAATATGGTCTAATAGTCAAACTGGAAAACACACTAAACTGTGTGAATAGTCATTTCAGCCATTTACAAGATGGTAAGCATAAATAATATTTGTCTTGTTTGAACCTAACTGAAAATGATAGATGCACATGTTGCACTCAATCATGGCGACATGTAATAAATATTCCAATGGCCATTACATCAAAACAAAAGATGCAGTAAATAATTTACTATAATTTTAAATTAAAAATATAATACGATAAATATTTTTGATTCGTTTAACTGTGAAAAGAGAATTAATTAAGATTGTAAATGTAAAATGAAAAATTTATACTGAAATCAGAGATAGAAACAAGACAAAAAACTT